TTTCAATGATCTCTTCAATACATTTAAGTGGTTTAAGCGTTTCAATTTCTATTTGGACGAAACGAACGAGAATTCGAAATCAATAATTATTTTCAGAAAAGATATTTCAGAGTATCGCATAATTGCTATGTAAATTTGACAGGCGCTTTGAATACCTAAGACTAGTCACTAAGAATACCGAAAGTGTCATACGGTATGCAAACAGGCAACAATTTGCAATCAGTTGTCCTAATCGATTTGCTTTCCTGTTAAGTTTCCTACTTTAAGAGTAAAATTTAAAGTGAAAGTTTTTAAAACAGTTCATTTAAAATTCACATGGTTTTAAGTAAACGTAAATGAGAAGCAGTTGTATGTGCTACACCAACTATACTACGCTCTACATGAATGTAGTTAATAAAAAATCTCTCCCTTAAAAAAAACAAATTTTGTTTAAAAAAATTATATATCACTCTAATTCTATTAAGGTTAAAATTACTCTCAATTGAAACAAGCAATAATACTAATCCATAAAACATACTTTAAATATGTTATAAAGCCCGACGTACAGATTGTTTGTGTACTTTCCCAATTTAAAAACCTGCTCTTAACACGTTAGCTGCCATGTCGGACTATATGTCCGACAACCTAATGTTTCAATCAGGCCGTGTCGGACTATGTGTCTGACAACCCATACTTCCATTTAACACCTCGCTGTGGCTTGTCGGACGCTTTTTAATCGAATTGTTGTAGACAGCGTGACCCGCAAGGCCGTGTCGGACTATATGTCCAACGAATAGTAAATATGTAAATAATAAGTATGAGTAAGAGCAATGTAAATAAGGTATTACTATATTTTTAGGTGTTTACAAATGGTTTTGGACAATTTTTTTTCGTTTTTCGAAAAATCATTCTAGCAGCTAACGTGTTAAAATTGTGGTGCGATATTTCACTTCTGCTACGTGTCCCAGCACACAATTTGTTTTTTGACTTGGTTCGGAAAAAACAAAGATTCTTTTTAGGTTTCTTATGTTTATTCTTGCTTAAAAATACAGAAACAAATAAACATTTACCGTTTTAAAAATATAATAAAAACTCGAAAGTTGCAAGCACTGAAATTTCGCACCTTCGTAATGAATCAAAGCTTTCGAGTTCGATTCTTAAAAGTTCCGTTAAAGAACGGTAAATGACTGGCAACTTTTTATTGGCAGTAAAAGTTAAATTAAAAAATGTATCTTGCAGTTTTATTGCTTTATTTTTGAATGCTAAGGATTATTAAGAAAAAAATATAACTACAAACTTGAAATACTAGTTTAGGAATCGAAACTATTTATAAAACTTGCAATTACTTGGCAAATACACTTTAACCAACCGCCTTTATTGCACTAATTAAGTCTATACTTGGTGGTTAAGATTCAACAAATGTAAGATTTACTCCCATCTTTCTTTTCACACATCCCCTTTGTTGAATGATCTTAAATCGAACAGATATTCTAATCAAATTCTTTCTACGAGTATTTTCTATTGTTTTATAAACTTACTCTATTATTATATCTCTTTAGACAACTTTGACGTACCAAGAAATCTTTTCTGAACATTCGCGTGTTACAATATAGTAAAAGAAAGTTAAAAAAATATAACAAAAAGATTTTAATAACGACGATGTAACGAACTATCGTACTAATATTAGTAAGATAATATTATAAATGCGAAGGTTTAGAAGGATGGATGTTTGTTAGGATTTTTACATATTTCTGCACAGATATAGAACATAATCTGAAAGAACATATAGGCTACTACTTAGATTACTTAAGCTACTTTAAGTTTTTTTTTTATTCCGCACGGCGGGCAACGGCTATTTTATTATAAACGGTTCATGAAAATTAATGAAATCGGTTTTCATTCAGAAAAGAGTGGAATTTAGAATGTTTCTATGGCAGACTAGCGTAGCAGCGCAAGGTTGGTTTTAGTCGTTGCATTGCTATGAAGGCCAATGAAAGGGAATCGTGCATAGTAATTTAGATACTGTATACTGTGCCACAGATTAACAAACATGTTAAAAATGTCTGCACTACATGTTGCACAAGGAACTGAATTATTTATGAAGTAAACACAATGTAATAAAACTTATTAATATATAACGTGGGAGTAATAATTAATAATGAACCATCTACCAATAAAATAAATATAAAAAGTATGTAATATGTTTTGTCAATACTTGTGACTTTGTCAACTTTTCTTTTTTATATAAAAACCACCAGTACATACAGTACCAGTACATTGTAATTTAAATACGAAAATAATATTCTTATCCAAGTTTTCCCGTTTATATAATAGCTAGTTTCTATCTTTCGGAAGTGACTGCGTCTGCGCAGGATTAAAAAAAAGATAATAAAAAGTCTGTGTGTTCTTCCACACGATGTTCTAGATTTATGCCAAATTTCATCGAGATACATGCAGCCGTTCTGAAGATACCTTCGAACAAACATCCATCCATCTATCGATTCATCTAATCATTCGCATTTATAATATTAGCAAAATAATAGAAAATTTAAATAAAAGCATTAATTCTATCTATCTATGATCTAATAATTACAATCATTGGTGATAGCTAAAACTGGTATATAAAAGAAACCGGTTCCAACTAATTTCCATAATCATAAACATTATCAAACGTGACACGAGAACTTGAACCACTCTCGATTTCAATAGACACACTTTTCGCGTCCAACGACACCATGATCTATAATTTTTAGTTACATAAATAAAATATTGCGTACATCTTGCATAATTCTGATATAACATGATTCATTGAAAATTATATTTGACCCAAACAGAAAGTAACTCAGTGGAATAAGACAGTGTGAAAGTGTGAACATTTTGTTGATTATCTAACCAAAGTGTACAATTCCATCGACGGAAGTAATTGCAACTGAGCTTGCAATGAGGTCACTATTTTACTTTATTAACTAGCTGTCGCACGCGACTCCATCCTCGCGGAATTAAAAAAATATTAACAAGTAGCCTATGTGTCCCTCCAGAGTATGTTCTACATGTATGCCAAATTTCAACGAGATCCATGCAGCTGGACCTGGAGAGGATCTGGAGATACCTTCAAACAAAGATCCATCCATGCATCCATCCATCCAAATTATTATGCATTTATAATATTAGTAAGATAAATAAGATTTAAATATTTTCGTTTTTAGCTCCATATTTTTTATGTTGGAAAGAAGAGGCTTTTGAGCAAAAATATTTTCGATCCATATACTCGTTTTTTATTTACTGTTACAATCTTCGCCCTCTCTCCAAGAGGTTTAGCCTTGTGGAAATGTCATAAAAATCGTTAAATGTATTAGTAAGATGCCACACGTGCGGTGCCGCGCCGCTGCTCTGCATCTCACTTTGTGTCGACATTGTCATAATAATCAGTCGAGCTTGACATTGAGTCTCTTCGATCGTGTAATGGTTCTACCCAGCATTGTATGGAACAAACGAACAACTAGGAGAGGGGTAAAATTACGAAAAATAAAGTTGTCGGTTCACGAGTAAAATAAATATGTGTTTACTTAATTAATAAAAAAAAAAACTTTGTGTATCTGTGGTTTCCCAAACTTATACTATCTAATCTGATTTATTTTGCCTATCAAATTATTATTGTGCATTATCTTGGTACAGGTATTTCATAGTCTTGTCAGCTAAGATCAGATCATTAACACACTTAGTTCGAAAGAAAACCTCAATACATGCGATAAACTCGTTACCAATTGAGTGAATTGAGCCAATTAACGAACTAGCAGGATGTTTTAACCTTGCTATCACGCAGGTGTGACATGTTTACTTTATATCAAGATAAAAAAAATAGAATGTTTATTTTCACGTACAAGTTTTCCCATATAAATATGTAAATTTTAAACATACGTATTTTTAATTTAATCTCACAGCCAAAGTCACGTGTTACATGTGTTTAACATAATAGTATTTCTGTATAATTATTTTCCTGTATAATTTAGTTTTCTTTTTTTTTAATAAAAATTTAGCATTAAAAAAAGAAAGGTTTTCAGGTTCAAGGTCAAAGTTTAAAGGCTTCGTCGTGAATTGCCACGAAGATCGGTCCGCGACTTTTAATACTATCGCCAATAATGAACTGGTGATAGAATTTCATTTTCAAACTTAACCCTTTGTTTTTAAGAGCTATAATTGAAAACATTCAATATCGTATTTGTACAATATTTTACGAGTAATGTTCTTGAATATCGGAATACTACAACGATCGTGAAATACGAATATTTAGAGAGAACGGTTTAAATTTAAAATTTATTGCAAATGTGCAAATTGTACCGCTGCGAGAGTAACGATCTAGCTTTCATAAATATCATTGAATAATTTCCTATCTATATCACAACATTTATTGACCTTGAAATATAAATAGAACAATACCACAAAGTGTATTTTACAGCGAAGTAATATTATAAAAAAACTTTTTTTTTTTAATATTAGCAGATTTTTTGTAAATTTACTTATATTTCTTTTACCATTCCAACTAAGCTGTATGCTTGTGCTAGGATATTTACGACAATAGTCGAATGGCGGGATTCGAACCCCCGACCTCGTGATCGAAAATCCGTATCCTTAACCTTTAGGCTATTGACGCTTAACTGTGAGAAATGATTTTCCTTTTTTTAATTTTAATAATAATTTCTTAGAGCATCGAGTTTCGCAGAAATAATTGATTATATATTCTCGAATCGAACTCACGTCATGATAATCCCCAGTTCTTATTATAAAAGATGTACGCAAAATGTTTAGTGACGTAGTTATATGTATATCAATTAACTTCTGCAGTTTTGCTGGATACTAAACATGCGAGATATTGATATTAAATCGATGTAAATTAATCGAAGTATTATCGAACGACCGACCCACGTTGCAATTGTGCCTTAATCCAATGATCACTCATTATTAAATCGATTACTGACTCACGACTGCAGATCTGCAGTGGATTATCGATTCGAATGGTAACTACCGATTGCATCTTGCTGATCCGAGGCCGGATGGAACTGGCCGACTCCAACTCAATTTGGTGATTGTCTCTAAACAATATTGTTTGTTGTGTTTCGCAGTTCAACGTTCGGCGCAAGATAGAGCGGTGCGCGTTCGAGAAATAAAATTCGCACCAATTTCGAAAAATAAAATATATATATATTAGTGGACAGTGATATTTAAAGTGAATGTTTTGACTAAAAGACAGTGTAATTATCGTGTGAGTATTAATTTAAAACATCATATTAATGACCTTAAAATAATTAATTTTAATTTTTATAATAAACGGAGATATATTTTTGAAATGTTCCCTAGTTTACAATGTATTTTAATTTTTTGTTTTAATTCTTACCTTGTTCTTATTAAAATTTTAAGTCTAAGTAACCTTATACATGAGATATACCGATTTAGTTTTTATTACGTTTTTATTAACATTTAAAACTGGATTGTATTCGTTCCATTCACTTTCATTGTTTTATTCGGTACCTCGCTAAGCCTGTAGTAGCCAATAGATATTTCTAAGTATTCATCAAACTACCAAGAAAACCATTCGTCTGAAACTCTTAAAAGTTTTTCAATTTTGTCGCAACTTCAGCTTAAACTATATTCTAAATGCTATTATTTTTTATATTTCTAGCCTTATCAGGAATTAATTACTGTTACATTTTACATATGTACCTAAAGTAAACGTATCACAACTATTCAATCAAAGTTGAATAAAAATATTTTTTTATTTCTGCTTAGAGGGTTTTTTTAATCGTGTAATGTATAAAAATAATTAACCTCAGATAGGAATCAAAGCCAGAGTCGGAGAGAGGTACAAATTCCACTAAAGTTCAATTACTTTATTCTTTAAATGTACATTCGTTGCAATCGAAACCGGATACAACGAGGGAGATATCATGGAAAATTTTATACGCTTACTTAAGCCCTTAGTAAAAAACTGGGTTAAGTTTCAGCAAGTTACATTATGTTGTAACACTGTATATTAAGCATGTGTAAGCTTTATAAATAGTTTTTTGAAAATCATAAAAGTTTTTACATTTTAACGTAAGAAACCTCCGTAGGAACAAGGGTAAGTTGGTGATTATAATTACGACGGCGATGATATTGATGATGATGATCACGATGTGACATTTTTATATCCATAACCGTTCTAAAGTAAAACTTAACATATCCGTACATGATTTAAAAATGCTATCATAAAATATTAGCGTTGTAAATTTGATGGTCAACTACTAATTATTTGCCATTTCTATAAATGAGTATAAAATATTCGTCATGTTATCACAACAATGCATGGCCAACCTGATTGTCAATTGTCACGGTCAATTGCAGTAACCAACCTTGATGAGGGGAAAATGTACAACCTTTCCTCGTGTCCGTGTTACACTACTTGCTTGTTAATACTCTTACGTATATTTAAATCATACTTATATTACTATAATTTACTGCTTTGTCATCGTTTTATCATTTCGTTAAAGTATGTGATTCTACTGATACGTCCGCGCGGAACTAACAACCTACGTGTTCTTCCAGTCTATATTCTACACCATGAAAAATTTAATTGAAATCTATTGAGTCGTTACGGCGATACCTTCAAACAAACATCTATCTATCCATCTACACATTCAAATTTATAATATTAGTAACATACAACAATGAAAGTATCTCGATGCAAAATAACATAAATTCATATAAAATATTGCTTCGGAAATAGCATAGTAATATTTTAGGTCTGACAACAGCACGCAACAAAGTTTCCTAAATATCCAGGAAATACCCATCTTGTTAGACCCCTTTTCTATTAAGCAATTATCCGTACATGACCAGTCGTTGTTAAAGAGTATTGAAAATAGAGCAAACGACACATTTGTTATCTTTCTTTCCGTCTAACCTTCTAAATAAACGGAATAAATTTCTTCAAGATCAAGTCGTTATCCTCGAGACTTGGTAGTAGTGACCGGTTTGCTTTAAAGTCAATGATCGTTTTGCTTCTTAAAAGTATTTAATTATCTTTTGACATTTAAACAGTAAATGTACCTAACCTAAACGTACTTCCGGGCTTGTATAAAATTAAAACAAAGCGCCAAGTACATACTTATTCAATATTGTTTTTCAGTTTTTAATAAATTTATGTGAGAACGGCATTTAATCTTTATTTTGTTAAAACAGATTTTACGTAATTGGCAATTATAAGCCATTGTTTTCAAGAGGTATGAAAAAATAAAAAAACATCATCAAAAAGGTTATGACCTAGTAGTTGGAGTACTTAACACTTATAATACTACTTTTTACTAAACACTTATTATTATTATTTAACCCTTATTAACGATTACGCCGCTGTTACATCGTTCGATTCTACGGGAGGAATTATTAAGACAAAAAAAATTCAATATATAAATCTACCATTGTATATATCTTTTAAAAATATAGCGACTCTTATTTCTTAACAACTTTAAAACCTTAAAAACCTATCTTTCTCAGTATTTCCTTATATGAAAAAAGGTCAAAACGGGAATTTGGCCTCCAACATACACACGCATCAGACGAAACGCAGCAATACTTTGAATTCACACTGTTATTCTGTGTCGTGTTATTAAAGGGCGAGCGAACTCATTTATGCAGCAACTAATTCTGCTGCAGACTCTACCACTGTGAAGTATATAAAACTACTTAAACGTTCAACAAGCACGGCTGTTACAATTGGCACACAGCACGGTCTGAGTTAGCATACGACCTCGACAAAGTGGTACAAGGTTTGAAGCCAAGCGCGACAAATTGCAGAGAAAATTAAATGCAAAAGCAATCAAGAAAATCATTTAAATTATTTAATAGTAACATTGACATTTAGTAACATCTTGTTTCTCCATACATGGTTTATACTTAACATTAGTTTAAGGTCTTCCATGCAAATTATCTAACATCTTGTCAAGTTCAAGTTAAAAAGCGTGTGATTCGACAAATACTATATTATATTGTAGTTATGTTGCTTCCTATGACCTCTGTCTTTTATTAATTTTCATGAAAAAATAACTAATTACTTCCTAACAAAAATAAAATGTAAATTATATTGTATCCATTATGAAACCTTCCCGAGAGTTCTCAGAATACCGTAACAAAATTTCATTATAATCTGTTCAACAGTGTAGTAACTCGTAAAACACAAATAAACAATGAATTTTATTTAAACAGATCAGTAGACAACTATAAAAATATTGATATGTTTATCCTAGTTGAAGCTTGTAAACATTAACAGTAATTATGTCATCCATTGAAGTGATTAATTAAAAAAAAACAATGAGCACATTCAATGCACAATGAAATAATGTCATAAATCGATATCTAAGAACATAGCTAAGGTATCGTCATTTATTTTATCTCAACTTCAAGCTGTTTCTTTAGTAAAAGGCTTATAAAATGCATTAGTTAATAATTAGTGCGTGAAAAATTAGACAAAAACCATGAAATTTACATTAGAAACAGTTGTCTTTAGTAATAAGTTTATTTTTTTTAAGAATACGACAATCTCTCCGGTCTTTGATGTCCGAGAGAAAACATCAACAAAACACAGTTACATGACAACATCTTAAAGTAAAGTTTCTCGTTAACCATCCAATTAGTTAACCTAAACGATACTTACCCTAAGCGAAGACCCTCAAATGGCTTCCGGACTTCGGCAAACTTCGGTGTTCTTCGAATTATCGATTTTACAGAAAAGGGCTATTAATTTGTATATCTTTGTTGTTCTGATATAATAAATACCTGGACACGGGCAAAATCTTAAAAAAAACTATTTCCTAACCACTTGAATGATATTTAACGTTCACAATTCCATGACGTTGAAAACTTATTATAGCATATGGAAAATTATAGCTCTTGGAAAGTGGAAAGTGAATTAAATTCTTTAATTGTATAAGTAACCTTCAATACTGTATCGATTAAAAACAATACAACTAAAAGTGAAGTGCTAATATCTATGCAATGCGAACACGAGTACTGTCGGCTAACATTGTCTTTGTGATTTTAAAAACATGTTGTCATCCCTATCATTATCGTTGAATAAATAGAGATAACAATATTTTAATGTAACACTGAATGCCTGACATATTACAAATATTAGAAGCATTTGTAAATCCTTCGAGCACTTGTATCATATCATGTAAGTAATATATATCTGAAGTTGAATATTTGCTGTTATAAAACATGTGTCTTGAAATAAATAATTTTATTAAAAACAAATTTGTCTTATATATAAAATTCTCGTGTCACAATTTTCGTTCTTATACTCCTCCGAAACGGCTTGACCGATTCTCATGAAATTTTGTGAGCATATTGAGTAGGTCTGAGAATCGGCCAACATCCATTTTTATTACCGCGCGGACGGAGTCGCGGGCGACAGCTAGGTATTACATAAAAATATAATAAAGGTACGCGTCCTATTAGCCTGTACCGGACGCAAAGCATGCTTACAACGGATTTTAGTTTGCTTTGTATGATTTAATAGCGCTACGTCCATCATCTGCGCCGCACCGCTCGAAAAACAAAGAAAATCCTTTGCAGTGCGTCCGGAGGCGGTCAATGGACGCGTACCTTAATAAAACATTTTTGACTGACAGACGTTGCGTAGTCCTTAGCGTCTTGACAATTTTTTTAGAGTGAGGACTCATTTGTTTATTCCCCAAATTTCCCAAGAGTAAAAAGACTAAAAGTCATTACGGTATTAGTTTTTTTTATAAGATTGCTTCTTTAGAAATCATCTTATTTTATCTCATCTATTTGAACATTGTTCTTGTTTTTTTATATATTTGAGTACAGTTCGCTTATCATAGCGCAAATCCCACGTAATTCAGAAACGATCTATGTTAATTTCATTTTCATTTGTAAACTTATTTTATGTCGCGATTTAATTAACATTAATTCCTTAATACAAGCTATATTGGCACTCTCATAATCCATTTGAGGCGTTATATATATTTCTGTATACAAATTATAATGAATCGTGAATAGTTACCGCTACTGAAAAGTTACAGCATGTTCTTCATTGTAATTAAATATTAAGAAACTATTGCGATGTGCAACAATCTTAACACTGTTAGAACAAAGTACTGTAAGAATTGGTACACAGTAATAGGTAAATTTTGCAACATCCTGTATACACTTGTCATGTCTTGATGATTGTTAGTCGGTGGTTACTCGTGGCGCGACAGCAGCGCAGAGAGCACGGCAAAGCCGCACGGCTGATAACAGATGCTTTCCAATGATAACACGTAGAGAAACGCACTCACAATTAATTACATCATTAGGTGAGTGACTGTGGTCTGGCAAGTTATAATTTATTTTTAATCCCATGATAAATGATTGTCTATGGTCGCAACTCACACGGAACATTTTTAGAGGCGTCAAGAAGTCTCAAAGAATTTTGTTGTTGAAATAACTGGACTATGTCGAGTTGTAATCCTCTGCCCAGGTGGTAAGGGTGTAGCAAAATATCCATCCATCCTTTGGGGCTCCTGTGGCAGTTAATGGTTTAGCAAAATACAAACAACTATTTATGCGTCTGTATAGTTTAATATTTGTAGTGTTTTATATCTGTAACGGCTTCTATTTTCACTTATTTCTTAAGCTATGGTTCCTTGTCTTTTCCAAGCTGAAACCTGTCAAACTTTGTTCAGACTTTCCCTAAGAATCGCTACATAGCTGCTTTTGTTCTCTTTTTCTATCCGTTAAGAAAGTTAAACATAGCATATGGTACTTTTATTTGTGTTAGATTATCTAGGAATTTTTTTTTAATATCCATTACTTAAAACATTTACATCTTGATAACCCTTAAAATGATAATTGAAACATTATGTGACTAGCAGCTTATTTTTGTTTTATAAAAAAAAACTAAACTGTTTAAAAGTTATGTGTAAACTCGTCCAGTACAACTACAATTTATGTCTTAATTTTAAATTGCTGTTCCAAATTCGAATCATTTCATGTAAGGCGTTTTTACTTCAATCTACTCTCTGGCTTGTGGTATTCACGACAATTTGCTTGATTTGAGGGTTTCGAAACCACGATCACGTGATCGAATGTCTGTAATGTTAGAGGTATTGTGGGTTGCCAATTACAATTTTTTCTCGATTTTTTTTTATTTCGTACCTTTGTTACAGGTAACAAAGGTGGCAATGCTGGCAAGGCAAAGCGGTGAAGTACTCAGTTAGTATACGTTAAAGACTGAGCTAAATAAAAGAAAACAACATGAAGAAAGAACCGGAGATCCCACCGATACGAACTGTGCAGGATGCATACAGCTCAAAGTAAGTTGCTTTATCTTTGAGAAGGGAATTTCGAAATATTTTTTATATATTTTCCAAATTAGTTTAACTGGCAAAAATGTGTACAAACACAAATTAAATGGCTCAGTTAACATCAAATAATTCATTACAAACTGTTACTATAAATGTAATATGCATTGCGATTATCAAACATTTGTACGTTGTGGGTTGGAAATTAATTTCCTCTAGCAAACGTCCCCAAGTGTTTTTAAATCTGAAAAATTTATTTTTGGAAATTTTAAAGTATTTATATTAAAATTATTTCGTTAAGTTTCACTATCTTGGACTAGATTAGACTTAGATATTTAGTATTGTTTTCATAAAATAACTAGATTTTATGTCTTGCTTGTCACACTACATTCGTGTCTTTGCATTGATTGCAACATATAATACAAAACATAATTCCTTTTATATATGATTGTGTTGAATAATATATCAATACCTGAACGTATTGTCAAGGATAACACGATTTACTTCCAGCATGACAAACATTGAAATATGAAACATTTTATTAAAACAGCGATAAAAAATCGCGTGCAGAATTAGCTTATCTTAAAAAGACAATTGTTTGGAATTCATACGTGTAAATATTGAAATAAAGTCAAATAATTGTCCAAAAATGCTAACACTTTTATGTGGAATAAGTCAGCGCTTAGCCACGAACCAACCTGATATTAAGAATGCCTTATATTTCAACGTTTGACTTTCAAAACATATCAAAGATTGTCTTAATGGTTATATATGGTAAATTCTGAAACTTGAAATGAATCCCTCATTATCATTTCCAAATTGTTGAATTACATTTGCCTTAACTTGAATATTCCGTTTTCTTGTCGAAATGTAGTACGTAATATATTTAACAATAAATATTAGAGGTTACAAATAGATTTCTTTCGCATACTATTTATAACAAGAACTGTCTATTGTGGGAAACTATACGATGGACTAGTGCTGACTGAAACAGTGTAACGCCTGAATCTGACAATGCATCAGCCAACTGAATGGTTCTCCATTCACTCGCGTTTTCAACAATATGCTTTGGAATGTTGCATAACCAGACCGATATCAAATATGCAACAATTATACGTATTGATTCTTATCAATACAAGCCCGATTACTTGCCTTAACATAGGGTGGGCTTCGACAACTTCGGTGGAGACGAACAATCAACTAATGATGATGATTTCTTGCCCTCTGTCTTTCAAAAGCTAAAAACACATCAAAGGTTGAATTAATGTATATATTAACTGTTATATAATAGTAATTTTATTCACTAATTTAATATTGCATTAGTTACAAAGGAAATAGAATGTAAAATACCAAAGACTGATTGTTTTAACCTGGTTAAAGATAATTATTGTTCAATTTATAGACCAACAGCCACATAACCATTTGAAAGGTTATTTAAGCAATCCTATAGTTAAAGCTAGACTTACAAATTCATGCCAAACATTTACTTTAATAACTATCAAACGTTGCCGCATAGCATTACCTCATACAACTTCCGAATCTTGATATAGAGAGATTCTTTGTAAATTTGAAAAACTAGCGCAAATGTAAGCAATTTTATCACAAAGCGATACAAATCTCTGGCTGTTAATACCTCAAGGCGTCAACAGATTACATTCTGAATGTTTATTGCAGTCGTAAACATTATATTGTTTGTTCGGTACAATTTAAACAAAGACAATATCACCAAGCAATCATGGACGTATTTTTTTTACGTAACTAAAAAACACGTCATGAAGTTTTCTTTTACTAAACGTTATTCTATATACTGTCATATCTTTTGTATCTACTGTGCATAATATATATGCTTATGTATTATAATACATATAAGGATATACTTTTAGTATGTCGTTATATCTTCATTCTCTTGTATATTATTTTTTCTCTGTTCAAGGGAAATTTTACTTCCTTACATTAAAAATGGCTTTCTTTCATTTATACTTATAATATGCCCATAATACAAAGAATATAATACCTTCATAATTATTTATTATATAATATATTAAATTAAACTTATTCAATTATATTTCTACTAGTACTTAGTAGTACTTCTAGTAAACATATAACTTTCAGTGAATCAAATCAAATATGATCTTCTCTTCTTCGTCGCTACAGTCTCGTCAGACTGGTCGTGGTCATCAAGTATCAGTGACCCACTTTACCAGGCGCCGCCACTCCTCCCTAGTCGCTGCCTTTTTTGTGCATTGGTGCAGGGGGATTGGTCAAATATAATAGTCTTTTACAAATAAAAAGTAATAAAAATACAAGTCTACTTTGTTACAAGCAGTTCATAGTATTGATTGGCAATCAATAATAAGGAGCAATTCATTGCGATGGTGTCAAGTTAACCCCAATCTCTGAGCTCGCTTCATTATCTGACGAAAGAGATATTTTTCATTGCATCACCCGCAATGGGCCACGTGTAATTAAATATTCAATCATTTCCGATCCTGGAACAACATTGATTTATTACGCATTCACAAAGAGAGGTTGTGTTTGTAGGACTTCGAAATGTCGGATACACAAAAGAGGTATCATTTATATAAATACCTATCTTGCTATACTTTTCCATGACTTTCGATGTATAGTAGTGTTCATATATCTGAGCGGCTTTTAACTTCGTGCGAGTCCATATGCAGAACATAATTTTAGGTATAACGGGGCGTAGCGTAATGCGGGTCGAGAGCATTGCTCACCGTGTCGATGAGTGTTGGATGTTTATACATTTGAAAACAACTATACAAGAATAAATTTAAAGTTAGTCTAAATAAGGCATCAGTTAGTATAATACGAGCAATTACTGAAGCACAGTACTCTCTTCTAAGTATAAAGGGACTGAGTGATGCTATACTAAATGGTATAATTTATCATAAGATCAATTTCAATCTAGTTTTCTCGTTAATTAAAACAGATATTAATGAACGAATCTCCTACAATTTCTAATTAATATTATATTATAATCTACTAATGACAATCTGTAACAGCTTGCGCGTTTTTATTAGTGAATCGTGCCAATATAGAAAAACTTTTTCCTCATTAGTCTTTAGAAATAGCGCTTTCTCATACTAAACATTATAATGCTATAATAACTATATTTTTCAGGATCGAATTGGCTTACAATGGATCGCGAGAAGACTTGGACCCATATGTACCAGCGGAGCACAGACCTTCGGAATCTAATACATCGTAAGTTGTCTTCTTAATGTCCCACTAAACTTAATTAAAGAAGGTTAATTACACAATAAATTAATTAAATTCTTGATAATGTGTGTTAAAATACTAGTTATGTTTATTATCGGCTCGATACATATCCCCACTGAAGGACTCGGAGCTGAGTTAGGGGAGACTAGACCATAGTCAACCACACTGGCCCAGTGCTGGTTCGTTGACTTCACATATATCTTTTTCGCAGATATATGCATGGTGTATCACGATGTTTTCCTTCACCGTAAGAAAGTCGGATAAATGTACATATGAAGAATGATTTTTTGCTTAAACAAAAATGGTACATACTAACATTTGTGCCTGGACTTCCATTTAAGCATCGTGATTTTTTAATCACAAGCCCGTTATGGATGACACATAAAAATCGGATATCGAATAACATAGTGGTACATGGCGGGATTAGAACCTAAGGCCTATAGATTACAAGTCTAATGCTTAACCCCTGAGACACCAACGCTGGCTTACGTTTTTATGTATGTTTAATTATTTTAAAGTTACATAATCGTGATGTTTTCTGTCTATGCACAGAGTTACACTTAATCTGCTACAATAATAAGAGATACTAGATCGTGTTATATAAATTAACATTATGTAAATAACTTTTTTTACATAGATATATACCTACCTCTTGACTAGATGGAGTGTTCGGAGCGTAAAATTTGGAGGCCTTTTTGTATACTTTTATTAGTGTTGTCATTTAAATTTCGATATTTAAAAAATAAATCAGATACAACCTTTTATATGTATTACGAATATATTTGTGACATTTTTAAAACGCTGATTATTATTTATCGTATAACAACGATAAAATCGTTTTTTTATTTGTATTATATATAATATTTTCAAACAGAAAAATACTAAAAAAATATAGTTTATTTTAATTTAATTTTTACATTATAAATTACATTCACGCGAATTCGGAAAAAATTACATTACACGGACATTTGCGTCACGCACTAAAGACATTTCGAAAACCGTCTTACTATTATACATCAAACTTATATTAAAATAGTCCATCTAGAGTTATATATCTATGGTTATATAACATAAGGCATCTTGTGAAAGACAATAGAGTCATTACAGTTGCACGAACACAACTCTCTTACGTAAAACCAGCTCATGGCTCATTAGTATGTAATTTAGGTCGAAATATTTGGGCTTATATCTTGCTTTCTGAAATCAATTTTACTACATAGTTATGTGAATATATAAAAATTATGCGTAATTATCAAAGTAAATTTTACTTTTTATTAATATTATAAATGCAAATTTAGATGGATCGATGGACGGATGTATGTTTGTTAGAAGGTATCTACAGAACAGCTGCATGGATTTTGCTGAAATTTGGCGTAATTGTAGAACATAGTATGAAAGGACACGTATACAAAGTCTCCTTTCTACTGTAAGTGTACTATTAACTAGGTTTTAGTACTGTTAGCTAGTGTTTTATATATTTCATTCGACTAATGCTAATATTGAATACATTTTGTAAAAGAATATTGTTTAATCTCATAATTATACATCGAACAATCAATTCTGTGGAATTATTTTACGAAAAATGTATGCCACATTTTGATAACGAAACATTTTACTTAATATTTAAATCGCATGTATTTTCATTTAATTTTAATTTCAAAAATGGAATACACAATGTTTGCATACTTTGCTTGCCTTTCACAATGTATTTCTCAATAAAATTTTAGAAAAAGATGAAAAAGTTAATCTGTAAAGAATCTTATTGTAAGTTATTTTCATAAAATTGTTGCCTGTGCAAGTATCTAGTTTGCATAAAAACACCCTATTTAAAACGCTTTAATTTCTTACTCTTTTTTACTAAGTTTTTCGAAATTTGCAAAACAAAATCTACATATTTTTATCACCCCAAGGCTATTTTACTTAATAAATTACCATAAAAATCTGTGCAAACAGAGAGTGACATTAACTTATGTTAATGCCTTTCTTGCGAAGATAACGTCGCGTTTCTAATCCGAGTTAAAGCTTGTCTGATAAGATTTAATGTACACGATACTTATATACTCTACTAAATCTAGATGCAAAAATTGGTTACAGACCGAAAAGGACATCTAACCCAGTTTGCATAAATCAAACTAGTCTAGTTTAGTCTAATGACTACCGGATTCGATATCTTCCTTGTCGGTCTTAAAACTGTTAGGAAGAAAATCCGACACTGTGCAACACTAGCCTAATCAAAATGTCGACGTTTATGTCCCCTCACTATTCATTCTGACACGTGACTTTGTAATGAAAGCGCGCCATTCACACCAAAGGATTCTAACTAATAAACCCTAAAAATACTGACTGGGGTTTTATTCGGTACGAGTCCTATAAAGATAGGTATAAAGATAGGCATAAGGCATTTCCCTGCATTAATAAAGGTGTCTTGACGAGGTTAACTGTGATTAAATAAAACTTTTATTAGTACAAATCATCACAAAAGCAATAAATTACGCTATTTTTTTTTATTACATTACAATGCGTATAAATTCAATAAGGTACCGATCGCAAAATAATCGTCAATCATTTATCTTATATTAATAACTTCCCGCTATAATGTAAGCTTTGAAAAGGCTTTGATGGCACGTCGCCGCTTAGAATACCCTTTACTTAATGCTCACTCACATTTAATATTACCCCAGGTTTCTACTGGAACAATACAAGTATAAAAACATATAGTCATCCCTTTCATTCGCTTTGTAAAGACAGAGATAACGATGTATTTCCGTACAGGGAAACGTAACGGGTAAAGCTCAAAGATGATTTGGAAAATATTATTCAAGCCTTATCTTGAAAGTATATATTTTTATCTTTAATATTACCTTATGAGGGCTCCAAAGATAATGCAATATATTCGGTATAATTTGATTACAGTATATGGAAAGATAACATAGAAATGTTTTAAATAAAATGGATATAATCAAACTCAGTCTATCGCCAAGTTAAATGGTGTTAATGCGTGCTCTTAATTCAAGTTACTTTGCTTTAAATATCGTATCATAATTACTTCAATGATTATTGACACTTATATTATAAATCGACAACGTTTAAAATTGTATATTTGTAATTATTATCGGAAATTAACTAACAAACTATTGAAACGATTTAAAAATTTATTTCATATCTATTAGTATTGAGTAAAATTTCTCAGTAACGGAACGCTTTGAATACATTTCTATCTACAAAGTGATCTACAGTACAACACTATTCCGCAAACAAACGTAATACTCCTATTCCACGTAATACAATGAGTGAATTGTCACATCGAATATTGTCAACAAACTCATCGAGACGCACTTGATTTCAGCTTTGCTCTCGACACAAAAACAACTGTGTAATTTCAGATCTAGTAGCGTTAGTTTCAAACAAGGGCAGAACAGACCATTCAAAACTGCTTTTGTATGAACGCTCTGGTCACACAATAGCAATACTGTTCTGTCCGACACTACTACCCTCGTGTGAAACTAGCGTAGTTAAAATGATTTTTTCATATGGATGTCTGTTTATGCCGTAAATGTTACTTGATGTTTTAATAAAGATAAATTTATCGTTGATTTATTATCGGGGTAAATAATAAAAAAATTTACATTTATCTTCTCATATTCATATTAAACTTTCCGAATACTTCTTAGCTTACAGGAAGGTAATGTTTTATGTCTTACCATTTTTATTAGTCGCCTAAATATCAGTCAGACGTTTTAATTTTTAGTGCCTATTACTTTGTACATGAGTCACCGCGCCAGTGACTTCTGTACAAAGAAATAGGCAATCCATACAAAAGCGGCCAAAGTCGCACTAGCTATTAAGTGGGAATTAGATTTTAAATTAATTTGAAGTCAACACTTAATTCCAGGAGCTTCGGTGCCCTGGCTCATCTGTTGAAGGCGTCCCTGGGGTCTGGTGTGCTGGCTATGCCGCTTGCCTTTAAGAACGCGGGCCTCCTCGTCGGACTCATTGGCACACTTATCATTGGCTTCATCTGCGGACATGTCATACACGTGCTTGTAAGTTATTATATGACTTAGTACCATATACTTACACTGTTTCTGCAGTAGATTGTTTACATGTAACATGTTACAGTAGTGTGTTACGTGTAATATGTTACAGTTACTGCTATAATACGTATCAATACACTGTAAAGTAGTTACTGTAACATACTACTGTGTAACACTGCCCTGCATAGTATATGTTTGTTACATTCTCTTTTTCCTACCGATAGTTTGTGTTTGTTTTTATTCGTATTTTTTTTTTATTTAATGAAAGTTATAAAGTATTTACCATTATATTTAGTACCTTTTCAAAAGTGTCATTGCGTAAGAATGTTCACAATTTAACTTTCTATTCGTTGGCTTATGAAAAACAAACCAGTACGCCACAACTCATTACCCTAATGTTGCCCATTGTGGACTGTCTCTTGGTATTTGTTATTCTTAGCTAAATAGAAATGTATAATTACTTGGAAAGCCACAGACGCTAAACGATAAACTTCGTACTTACCTACCATTCAACTGCCTTGGTTATTCCATATGTTTTTTCTTACTTTAAATATTTACAAAAGTGGACCGAAGTATGCATTTTGTGAAAGAGGATAAGCGTCAAGAGTATGAAATGTAATGTTTTTGTTTACAAAGTTTAGATCTTAAGTTGGATAAAATTTTATGCTACGGTTATGCTTCTTTTCGTAGTCCACGTATTATTATATGGCTTCTTCTTCATGTTTGTATTTACATCTAAATTGAATTAAATTGTACAAACCGATTTTGATTGAGTAAACAATATTTGTGTAATGAGTAAGTTAAAATTACTGAGACAATTTCAATGTTTATTGTTAAAGGTAAAAACCTCGCAACAGCTGTGCGTTGAAGTAAAGAAACCGTCTCTGGGATATGCTGACACTTGTGACCTGGTGTTCCAGAATGGACCTAAACCTGTCAGAAAGTTTGCACCTTTCGCGAGGTTAGTTACGATTTGAATTGTCTTAATTTGTTTATAATCAAGACGAGTAACTAAACAAAAGTAATAAACCTAAGAAATATTTTTTTTTGTCACACTTAGCTTACAATTTCAGGACTGAGACTTAATTTAATATTAGTAATTGTCTTATCGATTGAAATAATAAAGTTTTCCATCGTAGGGAGCTTGCGGATTGGGCGTTGGCAGTCACACATCTAGGGGCGTGCTGTGTTTACACTGTAGTCGTTGCTGAATCCTTTAAGCAGGTTTGTATTGCTACAAATATGATATTCATTTATTTTAAGGTAATTTCAAATTTTGTGTATCATGTTCCCAGGTGTCAGACGTGTACGGAGGCCCTAACTGGTCGGTGACCGTCTACTGCGGCTTGACTCTAGTTGTTCTTATACCTTTAACACAAATAAGTACGCTAAAGTACTTAGTGCCTTTCTCCGCTTTGGCGAATTTCGTTTGGTTGGGCTCTATTTGCATATCAATTTATTACTGCCTGAGGGACCCTCCGAAGATCAGTGAGAGAAATTTAGCCACCTCGATTACCGGAATACCGAACTTTATTAGGTGAGTTTCGTTAATTATCAGTACTTTATAACATAATAATGTTATTTTAGCTTTTTTACCCCAAATTTATAAATTATAAAATAGAAGTGACGGAATTAGGCCGGTACAGGCTTATTTGTATTTAACAAATACTGTTATTTAAAAATAGCAAAATCTTAATGTGACAAACTTGCTATTTCAAAACAATAGGAGTTTAAATTTACAAAACCTTTACAGGAAACATCTATTGTATATCTTACAGATTAAAAATGTATCGTATAGCAATATATTTATTCCCTTTATTATTGTCGCAGTAGTAACAGTCGCTCCATTATTATTTTCTCAGTACGAGTCTGTTCGCAATGGAGGGTATTGGTGTGGTAATGCCGGTGGAGAACGAGATGTCGAAGCCACAGCACTTCCTCGGCTGTCCGGGCGTACTGAATATCGCCATGTCGGCGGTGGCCGTGCTATACGGCTTCGTCGGATTTGCCGGGTACCTCAACTTCGGCGAGGAAGTACGAGGCAGTCTCACATTAAATTTGCCTCAAGATGAGATGTAAGCGTTTTTTTTTATTACAAGTAGAGGCGGAGAAATACAAATAATAAAAGTAATAATCTATTGTCATATCAAAAATGAGAATTCAATGTTCACTATTTCCTCTGACAACTTATAAGTAAGACGAAATATTAAGATACGAGTCTATATTATATTCTTTAATTTCCAGATTGGCTCAAACTGCTAAAATTTTAGTGGCGTGCGTAATGTTGTTATCGTTCGCGTTGGTCTACTACGTACCAGTGGACGTAGTGTGGCGAAGAGTACAGGATAGAATACCAGCTCGAGGACATAGATGGGGTATGGCTGCTCTCAGGTTTATTGGGACTGTACTTATTGGTGAGTTGATACGTTATTATAACTAGATAAATAATACCATAGAGACAAATCTACAGACGTTAAAACTAAATGAAAGAAAATCTATTTTCTTGCCTCCTTTCTCAATCATGCCCCTGCCAATATTCCTTTGTGCTATGTCGATCAGCGCACTAGGTTTTTCATAACAATTGTTTCTTCTTTCTCAGTTGGGGTTGCCAGTGCGATCCCCAAATTAGAACTCTTTATGGAGTTAGTGGGTGCAGTCTGCTTGTCAGTGATGGGTCTGCTCCTGCCCGCCATCGTGGAGACCGTGTGGCTGTGGGGCCGGGACCTGGGACCTTGCAACTGGATTCTTTGGAAGAACTGCCTCATAGGAATCTTCTCGATTATCGCCATGGTATCTGGCGTCGCCTACTCCATTATATCCCTGTTGGAACATCTGTGATATTTTTATTTATTTAAGTTAATTTTATTTTGAGATTGATAAATATTAAGCAAGGATATTAATAATTAAAATAGCATTATATTTTTACGCGGAATTAAAATAAATCTAGCCCATCTAATAAAACTATATATGTAATAGTCGGAAATATTATAGCTTCCCAACCCTGATTTTTTCAAATCCGTTCAATATTTTCGTCGCCTATTCAATGCAAACAAACGAACAGACAAACAAACGATCAAATTTCTTTTATGTTATTAGTAACGATATAGACGCAGGACGTCGTTATTAAAGTCATGAATCGTTACTTTCCTAATACTAAGGCGCCTGTTGCTTTTTAACTGCAAATTTTTAAATTGACAAATCATTTTAATTTCATCGATCAATAACCGAATATTCATTATACAATTAAGTACTTTATACAGATTAGATATCAGTTCTAATCCTTTACCACATCACTAACCTTCTGCTTACATGATTAAGCCAATCCCCATTCTCTAAGAATTGAGATACCGTGTGGCTGTGGGGCCGGGACCTGGGACCTTGCAACTGGATTCAATAATACAAAGCATAAGCATACAAAGCTTTTAATCTGTCATTGTAGGATTTATTTACCTTTGCACTTACTGTCTTAAAGCATAAAAATTGTGATTATAAAATATGCATAATAATTAATAAGTTGTATACAGTGATAGAATTATAATAAATAATATAACATTGTAAATAAATGATTAATTTTAAATTTGTTATATATACTTACATTTTATGAAACTTAAAATATACGAAGTAAGTTTTGTCACCAACATACAATTTAGACGGGTGCTAACTTGATCGTAAAGTTGTACTTAAGCCAGACACGAAATAAACAGTGTGTAACAGAAATAAAGGTCTTTTATTGCGCATTTATTTGAATTTTATGGTTATCTGTTGACCCTTATGTAATGGCAGACTCGTGAAGCGATCTGGTAGACACATTAATAAAAAAAAGCTTTTTATTAAAACCGAGAAAAATGAGAAAACATTCGCACAGATTACATGTACAGCACGAATCGGCCGACCACACAAAAAAAGGCGTTAAGTTGAATTAATTCTGCCTTTCGTCTGATCAATGTATCTTTGAACACTTTCGATCCCCACCATTTACTTATAAGTAAACAATGGAAGAGGGAAGTGGATTTAAAGGAAGAGGGGATGTATAGGAAGGGGGAAATATTCTGCTTCTATGCGTAACCTCTTCTGCCCATTAAAGGTAAACCACACATCGTAATTGCAGATGTCTATGTGCAGCGGTCGCTTCGCCATTTCTATGAATTCAGTTGGCCGCATGCACGTTCGCCACCTTATAATATAAAAAATATGCCAATTCATGAATGAAATAAAAAAAATGAAATAAAATAGGTCAATGCATGAAAAAGTCAGCCTATTGCAGTGACCTTCAACAACAGAAAACTTTCTTCCATCGCTCTCTTTCACACACTCGATGGGATATATCTTCTTTCCCTTTCTTGTAACGAAATGATACATCGTAATGCATATTCAATATAAATCGCTGTCAAATGGAATCACCTTGATAATTACACAATATTCAATAGCGTGATTGGATCGTTGCTTCAATGTCGTTGGCAATTCACGTTATTATCGAACAATATGACTTTTATAATCACATATGCAATGATAATGATATAATCGTGTCTTAATAATTATTGTTGTCGCCACACGCGATGGTCAGTACATCCCGTGGTAATTGTCTATTATTTACAATAATTTGAAGCATATAAGAATGTTTGCTGTGAATACAATGTTTTTACAATTATAAAATGAATATATACCAAACGAAAATAATAAACTTGTAAATAAAAGAAACAACTTTAATCCTTAATTGCCTGACTGTGCGAAATCTAAAATTTTATCTGACTTTTTCAAACAAAGTTATTCTAGGGATAATTTTAGAATTATATGTATGTTTTGATTAACATTATAACGCTGCTTTTTGCAGAATAAGCAGTGCCTACACTAAGGCTACATGTACTTTAATCTACACTAAGGGACTGCCTCAGTAATCATAGTATGAACTTTTTGAAAATCTCCATTGATTATCATTTATTTGCATCAACAATTTAACAAAGTCCGTATACTAATGAAAGAGTTAATTTATGCTCTGGACGCAATTTTGCTGAAACGAGATTTTTAAATAGGATTTATACGTTTAACATTGTATTTACTAATGAGCAGTTATGTCATGATCTGTTCATGACGTAATATTAACCATAAATGTCATAACTATGAAATTGTACAAAACCTAATAAAGCAAAAGTAATATGACTAATTTTGAAACGGACTTTAGGAAAACAGACACTTCAATAAAAATAACGTTTATTTTAAAACTTTCACAAAGACAAATGACGATCAAACCACAATGTTGATTTTAGGCGAAAGATGGCGCTATTCAATTGGTAACAAGAATCAGTTTTATGAATTATTATAACGACAAACGTCTGCAAAACCATCGGTTACGTTTACGATATTTCAATTATTTTAGTCCAAAATAATAGAACAAAAGGGTGACTTTGGAATTATGTATTAATAACACAGAGTTTTTGCGCACAAAATTGAATAATAAACTATGGAATGGTAATATTTCGCATATTAACATTCGTTGTTTGAATGTTATTGGTTTTTTATTTGATTTACGACTTTTACCTTAAGTTAAGTACATTTTGTAAACATCGCACGATTTGGCATACATTTAGCTGCCTTATAAATAATGAATGTGTAGTGTAGAAAGTCTTGCGTCAATTTACTTTCTTCAATATTTACTTTTTGTTACTGCTTTCTTACTGTTTAAATTATATATTAATTTACAACTATGACGCATAATACGTGATATCTTATTAAGATTATAAATGCGAATGTTTAGACAGATGAATGGATGGATGTTTGTTTGAAGGTATCTCCAGAACGGCTGAACGGATCTCGATGGTTTTTTTTTATATCATAAGGTGGCAAACAAGCGAGCGGCCACCTGAAATCGCTGAAATAGAGAAGTGACTGTTGCCCATAGACGGAGGAGAGGATGCACATAAAGAAAATATTTTCCCTTTCCATGCATCCTCTCATCCGGAAAGTTCATTTCCACTTCCCATCCTTTACTTATTAGAAAAAGGATGGAAAGGGAAAGAGGACCGAATTAGGTCTCTTGGACGCACACTCATTAGACGAAACACAGAATTGCTTCCACTTCATGCCTGTCTATGTGGTCGTGGTATTTCACCGGGCGAGCCGGGTCAATTCGTCGCGAAGATGTTAAAGCGGGCTCTACCACCGTCAATTTGGCATACATATAAAACATAGTCTGGAAAAACACATACGCTACTAATTACATTGTTTTAATCCTTCGCAGACGTAGTCGCGGGTTACAACTAGTAGTCTCAAGTCCAAATTAATTAATTTTTGATATTTCCAAGTCAATTCTATTAATAGTAAAAGTATATGTGCACGAAAGAAAGTAATAAATCATAGTTGCGAAATTGCGAATTAATCAACTTAATGATGACGATTAGTAATCAAAATCAATCAAAAATAAAATATCACTTTCTCCTTAACAACATGTAATTTATATAGCAACTTTTTTAATTAAAAGACAAAGCACTTTTTTTAATTAAATTCCTATCACTTCGAGAATTTCTCATAAAGCCAATTACTAAAGGATTATAGAAAACGTTAATTGAAATCAAATTACAAAGTTATTTGATGACTTTAGATTATTTGAATCAATTTTTCCTTTGTTAATTTTATTGGTAACAATAATGCTTAATACTTAAGTATTCTATTAAATACATAAGTACAAAAAAGTTTATTAATAACTACGATTAACAACTGGTTTCTGACATCAAAATCTCTGTGTAAAACATATCGAAATCCTGACATAATCTTTGACAAAACAGAGAGAACAATATGTTTTAAACGGAGTTTTTGGTCTCAGAAACCCACGGTGAATCAAATATCGACAATCGTAGTCTTTAACACGTTAGCTGCCAGAATGATTTTTCAAAAAACGAAAAAAAAAACAATTTAATTTTTGTCCAAAATCATTTGAATGGGCCCTTGCGGGTCACGCTGTATACAACAATTCGATTAAGAGCCACAGCGAGGTGTTGAATGGAAGTATGGCTTGTCGGACATATAGTCCGACATGGCAGCTAACGTGTTACGGCTTTTTAAGGAAATATCAAAAAAGTTAATCGACATCACAGGAGACCGAAGAGCTGGCAGCTACCTCGGACAAAGAATTAGTATATTCTATTTTAATTTTCTTTGAATTAGCTATTCAAAGGGGGGGCAGTATCTTCGGAACCTTGCCTAAAGGGGCTCCTTTTAATACTATATTTTAGTTAATTATTCGTTTTTAATATTTTATTTAATATCATAGATTTAAGACTCCTTTGTCATAAAGAATACAGTCTGTTTAAAGAAATCGTAGTCTTATTTTAATATATCTTTATATTCGCATCCATTTAAGTGGATATTGCTTAAATGGATGTGCATTAGGTGGATCACAAAACAAGGTCAGTAGATATGCTACTAATGTAAACAAAACGGTTTGCTGGATATCAACACCCACGGCGAGTCTCCTGCAGAGAGAAAAGTAACACTTTCGTGACCGCCAAGCGCGACACAAACTTAATATTCAATAGTAAACGCGATATATAGCACCGCTTTGTTCAACCTTATCGCATTTCACCGACAATTTAGTTTAGGCAGTGTTATTTAATATGATGTGTCCAATGTTGCGTTTTATATTTATTTCTCTGGCTTGTTTAGGACTCAGTGTAGCGACAGGTAGGTGGTCAATACAAAAATTCACAATAAATGATTGTTGAAGTGATAAACATACCCGACGACCTTTTGAGCATGGAAATGGACTTTGTCAATGTGTTTATCTAAGAGCCATTATAGCTAAACATGAATGTCATGTATTTGTTTAAGCTACGTGTAAATCCATAGATGTAGAAGTTGCAAAGGATATTATAATCGTGCGAAATTAGTAAGTTACTGTTATATTTAACTATAGTATATAAAATTTAATTACAGATATAATATTATCAGAAAGAGTCCCGACGAATGGTAAATTCACAGAAGTAGCAAAGGAGAGTGATACGAATGAAGAACGTATTGTGGGAGGGAGGAACGCGACCTGCGAGGAGTTCCCGCATCAAGTTAGCTTTGTTGTCAATAACTCATATTTCTGCGGTGGATTTATCATAAGCGATCAGTACATCCTGACCGCGGCACATTGCGCACAAGAGTATGTTAACTAGTTCCATAAATTTCTAGAATATTTGAACAACAAATTCAAATCAACTGGGTTGCTAGACAAAGTGCAATCGCTACAAAGGGATTCCATAGCGAATTTCAAAAATGTATGGAATTGACACGCGACCATGACGTAACTTATCGAAAGTTGTTCTATACATTTTTGAAGTTCGTAATAGAATCACTTCAGAGCGAACGCACTTTGCCTAGCCGAGCTGTTTTATTTAAATTATAAATTGACATAAAGTATTTTGTTCAGTCTTAATGAAAAGAATCATAATCAATTTTTTTTTTCAAATTTCTCCTCAACAGGGTCGATCCTTCAACAGTTGTTATGAGAATCGGCAGCACATGGAGAAAAAATGGTACAAAAGTGACAGTCACAGAAGTAATTCCTTATCCGGAGTACAACAATCCACCTTACGACAAGGACATAGCGGTTATGAAGATAGCTGAGCCTTTACAGTTTGATGCCTGCACTCAACCCATAGCTTTACCTCCTAAGGGACTATCAGCTAGCTACGGAGAAGTTATAACAGTTAGTGGATGGGGACGTACTAAGGTATGCACCTACAATGTGTAGGTCTAGACATTCTACCAAGAAGTCGATTGTTTGTAGTGAGTAATAACAGCAATGTTGTTGTTCTCAAAGTCTAGTCAATTTGCGGGAAAAGTCAATAATATTAGGTTCAATAATTAACATATTAATGAGGATTCTAATTGCTGTCCTTTGTACTCAAATCTTGTTCGATTTAAATAAAACTTTAACAACTATTAGAGGACTCACTTATATTTTATTCTTACTATTTCAGCAAGGAGTCACGATGATACCTGATAGATTAATGGCAGTCAACCTGACTGTAGTGAACCACACGCTCTGCCGGGCGGCTTACCTGCCTCTCTCCATCACTGAGAACATGCTGTGCGCAGGAAACTTCTTTTTAGGAGGACAGAGCACTTGTCAGGTAAAACCCTAATAAAGGTGCGGTTGGGCGACCATCCAAGGCGCTGGACGGAAGTAGCGCAATATCTCTGCGAATTAAACCGTCTCACTTAACCGTTGAAAAGGCATAATAACAATGGGGGCGCCGTAGAAAGTCAGTTCGATTCTGGCAAGAACCTTTTTTGTTCAATATTCATAATATTGTGATACTGATATAAATGGCCTTAATTTAATCGAGCTTTAGTTTCGTCTTCTCTGTATAGATATAATTATGCTAACTGTGAAACATGTCTTATCTTAGGGCGATTCCGGTGGTATTGGTGCAATCAACAATGTAGCTCGCGGCATAGTGTCATTCGGCCGGGGCTGCGGTCAGCCACTGGCACCCAGCGTCTTCACCGATATCTCCGCGCCTGATATGAGGGACTTCATTACGAAGCACACGGGACTATAGACTGTACTGTTCTAGACTTAGGATCTAATTTATATTAAACGTTTATGGTAAAAAATACAGCTTTTTATTTTACATCTTATTATATAACTAATATTATACATGCGAACTTTTGGATGGATGGATAGATGGATGTTTGTTTGAAATTGTCATAGATATAGATGTAGAACTAGAAGAACACATAGGCTTCATAGTAAGTTTTTTTTTAATTTAATTTAAGGCACGGGCGATAGCTATATTTCATACATCATACTTACGAGATTGAGAATTAAGAGGAAGCTAATAAATCTGTTTTGATTAAACCACCATGATTTAAAAAAAATTGTGGCCTTGTCATTGACTAACACACATGATGATAATTGGAGTAAGGTCAGGAAAAAGTAGCATTGAAGGTATATGGGTAATTCTAAACAAATATAAAATCAGATAAATTTTAATAGATAACTTCTGTTGCTAACTATTGTAGTTAGTTGCAAGTTAAACATATGTTAGTAGACATTCATTTAGTTTGTTAACCAAGAACATGTGGGCTTCAAGCTTTGTATATTTGGTCTTTTGTGGATTTATTCTAGCATATCGTAAGTAATTATGTCTTCAATAATCTTGTTTTCTAGCGTTTTAATATGTTTCTTAGTATATCCCACGCCAATGTTTACATTAAAACGTGATTTTAAAAGCTAATAGGTAATTAGTTTTCCATTAAAAAATAGATTAATTTACAAGATTTTCATTTTCATACTTTTATTATACTACTAGCTGTCGCCCGCAACTCCGTTCTCGCGGGATAAGATAAAACTGAATTAGTAGCCCATGTTCAAACAAACAATGTTCTACAACTATGCTAAATTTCAGTGAGATCCATACGTCGTTCGTCGTCGTTCTAGAGACCTTCAAACAACCTCCTCAGTTTACGACTCTAAATTAATGCGAACTCATTATCTTCGTAAAATCATTCAGAAAAAGAAAAGACTCAACAAAATTTCATCGATAAGCTAAGTGAAGAAGAGAATGAGAGTTATGGGCAAGAAGTTAGGATAGTCGGCGGTCGACTAGCTACCTGCGAGGAGTTCCCGCACCAAGTTAACTTTGTTGTCAACAACACCTATTTCTGCGGGGGATTCATTGTACACGAAAGATTCATTCTGACAGCCGCACACTGTACACAGAAGTATGTATAGACCATTGCTAGTACTATGCTTAAGGTATTTAAAGGTTTCATTTGTTAGTTCACTTCCATCCTGATAATGTCTTCTTTCTCAAAGGCCAGCAACTTATCTTTGTTTCTCCTGGTGTTGGTGATGTTCATAGGCAATGGTGATCTCTTAACAATAAAAGTACCAAAACTTGTATGTTCCCTTAGCATATAAAGATTAACAAAGAATACCACAATTTGATCAAGTATTTGCTTAGTAGGTTTTCTTAAATATTCTATTTTCAGTGTCGATCCGTCTACTATCGTATTAAGGACAGGTAGCTCATACCGAACGAACGGTTCAATAGTCCCGATAGAAGAAGTGATATCAAATCCAGAATATAATGAACCACCATTTGACAAGGATATAGCTGTGCTAAAGACGGCTACGCCTATTGAGTTTAATTCATGCACACAGCCTATAGAGTTGCCTATCAGAGGTTTCTCACCATTGGCCGGGTCTGAATTGACTGTCAGTGGTTGGGGACGCACTAGGGTAATGATGTTTACGAATACTATTTTAAACAAAATCGAACTTAAGCAATTATAAGCTAATAAATTATATTTCGTGTGATTCAGCAAGGAGCAACAACGCTACCGGAGAGGCTCATGGCAGTCAATTTAACGATTGTTGACCGCATGCTTTGTACCGTGGCTTATATGACTACGTTCACAGACAACATGTTCTGTGCGGGAAATTTTCTATTGGGCGGGAAAAGCGCTTGTCAGGTATGTTTCCCGTACATCCCTTTTACTTTCTTTTAAATAACAAGAAAGTATGTTTGTACAGTAGGAACGGATCATCACGAAAACGAAATTTATTCAACGACAAATTTTATGAAACTCATTTTTAATGTTAAACGATATACAGCCAAATAAGATGTATGTTAGCGATATCATGTCGCATAGTTGCCGCATTCCAGCTCACTGCGATGCTTGGGGATTTAAAGGCAACATTCCCGAATAAAGTTACATAGGACAAATACGTACATGAATGTTTACATACAATATTAATGAATAAAGCACTCAGGCTCGTCAACCACAGAGGGATATAATATGCCGCTTTACTTATGTACACTAAGTTTCGTTTATATCGCTTTTTGATAATCTAGCAGTGATTTTCCAGTGTCAGATTTCAGATGTGGAGCAATATAGGCAAATGAAAGCGTATCGTAAATAATATATTGTACTTTTGTTTCTTATTCTAGGGCCATTTTAGATGCTTTTTGTTTGCTAATTATCCTGTTAAATGAGAGATGATGATGATGATAATGATGTGTGAAATACTTTTAGTACAATATTATCTTTATTGAAACTAGGGTGACTCAGGCGGTGTTGGTGCGGTGGATGGCGTGGCCCGGGGAGTTGTGTCTTACGGGCGCCGCTGCGGCCAACGACTAGCGCCGACAGTCTTCGCTGATCTGGCCGCACCGAAGCTCCGAGATTTCATCACTGCTGTAACCGGACTATAACAATAAAGTAGACCAAGCATCTGTTATAATTTTTTATCCACCCCACCATAAATATTTATGTATCGCCCTTAAAAGCATTTTGCCAATTTCAAATTTTAATTTTATTAACTTTATTTTTAAGGTGAATAAAAGTTGACGTTTTTTACGATTTTTTATGGACAGGGGCAACATACTGAAGACATACATCATCTGTAGAATCCAGGTAGACAGAAAAAGGCATAATGACTGTGTGTCTTATTAAATATAGATGTCTCTCTAATGACAACTTTAGTGTGCTAATAAAGATAAGTTAAGTGGTCTGTATGTTGTTTGTAAAAAAATGTTTTTTTTAAATTCTTTTCGTAGTTGTGATCTTGAAAGTATAAATTTTAAAAATGTGTCACAGATGTGGATGGATAACAAATATTGTTCTATAAAATGTTCTAATTCTACTTAATTGTATAATATATTTAGGTAAATTATAGAAAACAAAAGAATCTTCATTATTCTTTTATATTTAGGAAATATGTAAAGGCAATTCCATTACATTAAAGCAGAATGAAAAATATAAAAGATTTTAGGTTTAAATAAATGCGTAAACAAAATGATAAGATTTTTTATTTCTAAAACGAAACGAATCAAATGAAATTTACAGAATCGCTAGATCCTGTCTGCGTTTTAATCTTTGACATAAGTATTAAGATTTTAATGATGGGGGCAGCAATTATGTTTGCTTTTATTTTATTGGTATAAAAAGCTATATTTATCATAAACATTGCAATTGTTTATTAAACGTTGAAACGATTCGTACTGATTTGTTAATCAACATGTGGTTTTGGATTTTTATTTGTGGTCTAACATGTTTATCATCGTCGGAATCAAGTGAGTGGATAACAAGAGCATATTTTTATATCTCGCTTTTTTTGCAAAATCGGTGGTTACAAAGCCAGAATTCTATACAAAAAGAGTATAGACAAAAGATTAAGAGAATTGAGTGACCCATATTTTTAATTTAAGTAACACATTTGAACAACTACAATGTTTATAATAATACATCTTCAATATATCGTCATTGATATATCCTTTTATTCTCTTCAAATATGTCGTTTCACAAGTATTTCTGTTTTCAATAATAACACACAGCGACATAAAAACATTCAATCTGACCGTAATTCAAATACCAACAATATCAAGCAAAAGACTCACTTCAAGTCTACTCCATACAGAGATCATCGTATCAGAAAGAGTGCCAGTGAATAGGGCATCAATAGCCAGTGATCCAGTCGAATTCGAGCCAAATGAACCCCAAGGCAGGATAGTGGGGGGCCGCAACGCCACCTGCGAAGAATTCCCTCACCAAGTGAGCTTCATCGTGAACAACTCCTATTTCTGTGGAGGATTCATAGTCAGTGAACGATTCATTCTTACAGCCGCACATTGCGCACAAAAGTAAGTTAACAATTTTCCTAATCCTAACCATTTTATAATATCCCGTATAGTTGTAGTGTTTAGAATCTTAATTAATCTCTTACATCTTGTAGTGTCGATCCATCAACCGTAGTATTACGATCAGGAAGTACTTTTCGTAAAAACGGGACCATCTTACCAATTATAGAAGTAATCCCATACCCCGAATACAATAACCCAGCATTTGATAAAGATGTTGCCGTTATGAAGACAGCAGAAACAATAAAGTTTGATTCCTGCACTCAACCGATAAAGCTACCGCCCAAAGGATTGACTGCACGAGCTGGGACCACATTAGTAGTAAGTGGGTGGGGACGCACAAAGGTAGGACTTTTTTCAAACATATGTTTTAAATTCTTAGCAGATATATGTGCTGAATGCATCACTTTTCCATCACCCTAAGAAGGTCAGATAATGGCGGCCAGTTCCACATGATTATCATAAATGCTACATAAGTATATTGGCAAAACCCAACACACAATAAGATAACTTGGTATTCTTTTAGCAAGGCGCTTCCACGATTCCCGAACGACTGATGGCAGTTAACTTAACAGTCGTGGATCACACGCTCTGCCAACTTGCTTACCAGCCCTTGGAACTAACAGAGAACATGTTGTGTGCTGGTAACTTTTTCCTGGGAGGGAAGAGTACGTGTCAGGTAAATTAAAACATTTTTTTTAATATCAGTTCACATTTTTTTCTTCACCTCAACTTCCTTATATCTATTGTTCATTTCTGAATGCAAAGGAATCGATATTTGTGGCGATCAATAGGAAGACGATTGACAACTAGTGTAACAGTGGCTTTGTTTTAATTAAACTGCAGTAACAAGTTGTGACATTTAGAACTAAGCTGGACGAAAAGTAATAACCTCATCCTTTTGGAAGCCGGTTAAAATGGATTACAAAAACATACATTTCAGGGTGACTCCGGAGGTGTAGGTGCGATCGATGGTGTGGCCAGGGCTATCGTGTCTTTCGGCCGAGGTTGCGGCCAGCCACTGTCGCCCAGCGTTTTCACAGATATCTCTGCTCCCAAAATGAGGGACTTCATCACAAAATATACAGGACTTTAGATGCAGTGCTAGATTTATTAAAATGTAGATATCCTAACTTTAATAAAAAGTATTTATTCAATAATCTATATAACATAATTGTACTTAAATTCAAGGCATCAATAAAAAATATTTTGAAAAATGTGGATTTTTCTCTTTTCCAATATTCCTGAAGAATCTAAATAATATCATACTTATTCAATGCAACTCATACTTATTCAATAGGGGAAATGTACGTGATTTAATTTTCATTATTATTTAGTTCACTTGAAGGTTTGCATGGCAATGACCAACTAAGTGCTATTTTAAATATGTGGGTAGCTTATATGAACGGATCGCGCTAAATACATCTTTCTTGATCTCATTTTTGCATTCAACGAGGTTCGTCTGTCTCACAGTGATAATATTACGTATTTTTATTATTTGCCTTACTTGTTTCAAATTTTATTTTAATACCCCATTTAATGATAACAGGAAATTTAATTGTCAAGATGTTTATTCTCTTATAAAATTTTAATTTTGATTTTAAAACGTTTTCATCACAAAATAATATATTCTATACTCCTAAGACTTTAACTGCAAGACTGTAAGATAACATTACTAACTTTTATAGCTAAGTGCCTAGGAATTTGGAAAATATTATTTTGTGGCAAAACCGCACGCTAAATTTTCAATACAAATAAAATTTATTGAAGACTTTTCAAGATATCTGAATATCTTATGTAAAATCATCTATAAACTTTGACGGTCTAATGTGCGTAAATCACGCAACTTTGGATGTTGGTAAGTTTGGATAAATCGTCATATTTTTGACCCAGAAAACTTTGGTACTCCGTTATAAGTCTTTCCCTGTAAGTCTGTAATTTAGTCTTTGACAAAAGTATTAAAATTTTAATGATGATATAGCAGTAATTAAGTTTGGTTTTATTTAACTGATATAAACAGCTTGTTGAATGCAAATTTTGCTGACGTTCCTTTAATTTTGCATCAATTCAGTCTGTCGATCGATTTGGTTATCATGTGGCATTTGCCTTTTATTTATGGTCTAATATATCTGTCGTCTCTGGAATCAAGTGAGTTCACAAGAACATATTTCTTTTTATTTAAATCGCATTTCAGAGATTAGAGTAATCAAATCCATAAAATACCAGGATTTTACAGATATAAAAACGTGGTTTACCACATTACTATATTATTCCATATTAAGAGGATATTAAAAATGTGATATAATCTATTTAGTAATAAACTACGTATCTTTCTATAGAGGTAAGTTGGGTTGTGTCGTCATAATTTCAACCAAGGAGTCTGAATTATGAATGAATTATTGACACCCAGTTTATCTTAAATATTTTTTGTCTATAAATAAAAAATAAATAAACATGGGCAAGGGCCAAGCCAGTAAGAACAGAAATATGGGATATTATTAAAAAAAAAGAAAGAAAAAAGAAAAGGTACAGGTTTTGAACCAGTTTTTTAATTAATGTAAACAAAGTATCTTCACTTTTAATTAGCACTACAATATCTCTAATTAGATATTCATAACGAGCATTAACATTGATAACGAAAATATTTCTCAATAATGTATGTTGTCCATAAATTAAACCCCTACCAAAATTAAGCAAAACACCTGATACATTTGTTAAAGTATATCTTGTGATCTTTATTACTCTTTTTATTTAATACTTTACTTTAATTACTCCCGCACATATCAGGTACCTTCTAGTTAAAGCCACGTCATAATCGAACCAGCCTTTTTGGTTACCCGGAACATACTACGTGTTTGTCCCGGGAAACCACTTTACTACTTTTTAATACTCACAATAGGTAACTTTTCGTTTTATTCCAGTCATTTGTACTTTTAATAATAGCAACAATTGGTAAGAGACTGTGTATACATACTATGCTTAGTTTTCCCTATTTTTTATATTTTTCAGTCATTCCGCTATAGAGTCAGCTGAAAACCATCGCAGGGATGCTATGTTTTAACTTATTTTTAATATTTTAATTTGCATTAAATAAATTTTTGTGACAATTTTATCATTTAGAAATCATCGTATCAGAAAATGCGCCAGTTAATGACGCGCCTACCAGCGATCCAGTCGACGACGACGATGGCCCCCAGATTAGGATAGTCGGCGGTTTCAAAACCACGTGCACAGAGTTCCCCCATCAAGTTGGCTACATTGTGAACAATGCGTATTTCTGCGGGGGGTTCGTCGTCAGTCAACGTTTCATCCTAACAGCTGCACATTGCACACAGAAGTAAGCTAATCATTGCCATGATTTGTTAAATGTTAAAGTTTGCTTCGTACTGTAATGTTCTTCTTTTAAATATTTTAGCGTCGACCCATCAACCGTAGTACTACGGGCTGGAAGCTCTTTTCGTACGAATGGCACTATAATACCTATTATAGAAGTGATTCCGAACCCTGGATATGATAACCCACCATTGGATAAAGATATAGCGGTAATGAGGACTGCAGAAGCTATCCAGTTCAATTTCTGCATACGACCTATTGCGCTACCGCCCAAAGGATTGGTTGCGAGAGCCGGAGAAAAGTTACTTGTGAGCGGTTGGGGACGTACTGAGGTAAACTTTAAATGCGACAAATAAATGATCCAAATGGTTGTCGTCAGCTCATCCACATCCTCCCTGAGGCAATTCAACCTACAGAAGGAGACCAGGTCTCAGTCAACCGAGACGCGGTGGTTATAACAATTGGTGCGTTTAACAAGCAGCAATAGACGATATCTTTCTCTTGTTCCAGCAAGACGCTACTACGCTCCCTGTGCGACTGATGGCAGTAAACTTAACAGTAGTGGATCGCAATTTATGTCAATCTACGTATTCCGAAGATATAGAAATAACAAGAAACATGTTGTGCGCCGGTAACTTTTTACTGGGAGGAGAAAGCTCTTGTCAGGTAAATTATATTTCTCTTAAACTAGTTACAGCAAGCTTGAATTCTTTTCTTTCAAGCAATCCATAAACACCTCATCATTTCGCTGAGATCTCTTCCAAGTTAAGTCACGAAAATTAAAAGCCCTCTTTTAATTGAATGGATTAACCGTGAAGCAAAATAGAAAGCCAAATTGCAGATTTATAGAAAGCACAGTATCTACTACTCAGGGTATACAAGTAAAGAAGAAGAAGAAATACAAGAAGTTAACAATTGCATAAGGTATTTATATATAGAATAATTTACTTCAGGGCGATTCCGGAGGTGTTGGATCGATTAACGATGTGGCCCGGGCTGTCGTTTCATTCGGCCGAGGCTGCGGCCAGCCACTATCGCCAGCCGTCTTCGCAGACATATCAGCTCCCGAGATAAGGGACTTCATTACACAATATACTGGTCTTTAGATTACTGTACGGAATTTTTAGTTACTGTGTTAATAAATTAATATTATTTTAACAAGTTTTTTTTTTATTTTATAAACGAATCCATACCCCTTATAAATTAAAAAGAATTACTGATAAGAATTTATGAAGACAATATATGATGATAATGATAAGTTAGGATCTTGATAAGGTAATCGAGCTAGAAGTCAACGTACCAAAATATTTTAAAGTATATGGAAAAGAAAACAGATAATTTACACGATTTTTTTTTCTCCCCCATAAATCCATAGATAGCGAAATAATACGGTCTAATTCTTCAGAAGCTGCGCCGTAGTCATTCAAAAGAGAATCTTTGGTAAATCTTTTTTATAATTATTTGCATGACAATAGCAAATACCTACATAGGTGTATATTAAAGTGCTTTCTGAACGTGTGTATGATAAAATAGAGCTCATTTTATAAGGATAGAAAATTAATTTTTAAGACATTTTTCTCTTATAAAATTTTAATTTGCTATTTAAAGGTTTTTATTATAAAATAATATTATCAAAACTCCTAAGAGCTTAACTGCGGAATTTAAGATAACATTAAAAAAAATATTGAAATGTGGTTCAGATCTTTGAATATTAATGTGAGAAAATATTACTTCATCGAAATAAGTATAAAAAAATATTTATAGTTCTGCACTTGGATACGTGAAATGAAATTTTTATTTCCACGGCAATACAGTGTCGAGACCACACGCGCGAGTTAGAATGACACCGAGGAATTGCGCTTTTAGTAAAGTGTTTCTCTTGGGCGACTTTTCCTGCATTTTTGGTCCGTACTAGCCTTCACTTCTTTGACTACTCTATTGTGGGTTCTGGATCGGTGTTACCGGCGCAAAGTGAGGTCCGAGTTGCGTGCCGCAATTTGCAAGACGACGTCCCCCCTTTGTCTTTTTATCACCAGTCAACCATTTGGGAGCTTGTCCCAGGCGACGAGTAGGTAGTGCCTTTCACGTGTTATCTAGCTACAAGCAGCCGAAACACCCGGGTTCAATTGAATTTAAAATAAAGAGTGTCCTGCGCTACTACGTGGTGCACAAATAACATCTAAACTTTCATAAAAGTTTAGTTTATGTTACCTTAAAGTGCCAGAATTAAGCGAAAAGGAATTTGTAAAATGTTATTTAGCGGCAAAACCACTCTCCAAATTGTCAATATGAATAAAAGCCGTTAAAGGCATTTCCAGATATTTCAATATATGTAAAATCATCAATAAACTTTGAAGGCCTCTTGCGCGTAAACTACACAAATTTGGATGGAGGTAAATCTGGATTGAGATTAATCTTCATATTTTTGACCAAGGAATCTTTGGTATCTATTGTACATGTCTTTCCCTGTATATCTTCAATTTAATCTTTGACAAAAGTATTAAATGTTAATGATAAGATGGCAGTAATAAAGTTTGACTTTATTCGGCCGATATAAATAGTAAATTGAATGCAAATGTTGCTGTTATTTCTTTAACTTTGCATCAATTCACTGTCGATCGATTTGGTTATCAACATGTGGAATTTGATTTTTCTTTGTGGTCTAACATGTTTGTCGTCTCTGGATGCAAGTGAGTTCACAAGAACATTCATTTATAAGAAGCAGTATTCGAAATTTTTGTTTTGTAATTCCTGTTATTAGCAATTTCTTTTTAAATTTTTAGTTAATGTTTTATGAAACATAAATCGTGTTTTCATTATTATTTAAATATAATAAAGATTTTTAAATAATTTGCTAACTGTAAATGCATCTGGCGCCTAAACTATGCATATTTGGGTTAAATCAAAGTTTTCATTGTTATAGAATAATGTAATTTTGCAGTGTAATTTTTTATGTGAATCTTATCATTTAGAAACCATCGTATCAGACAAAGCGTCAGTAAATGGCGCGCCTGCCAGCAATCCAGTCAACAGCGCACTTGATAGGTCCCAGACTAGGATAGTGGGGGGTTACAATTCCACGTGCACAGAGTTCCCCCATCAAGTTGGCTACATTGTGAACAATTCGTACTTCTGTGGCGGCTTCATTGTCAGTGAACGATTCATCCTAACAGCTGCACATTGCACGCAAAAGTAAACTAATTAATACCTTGATATAGTTAAATGTTAACTGATTGCTTCGTATTTTAACGTTCTTCTTTTAAATATTTTAGCGTTGACCCATCAACCATAGTATTAAGGGCTGGAAGCACGTTCCGTACGAATGGCACTATAATACCTATTACAGAAGTAATTTCAAACGCTGGATATGATAATACAACGTTTGATAAAGACATAGCTGTATTGAAGACTACAGAAGCTATACAGTTTAATTCATGCATACAACCTATTGCGTTGCCATCCAAAGGATTAGTTGCGAGTGCCGGAGAAATGTTACTTGTGAGTGGATGGGGACGTACTCAGGTAAGTTTAAAATAGATGCAAGAAATAAATGAGTCAAATGATCGACGTCAGCTAATACACCCACTGAGGGACTTTAACCTACCATTGTTAGGGGTAACAAGGTCTCAGTCAACAGTGTAGCGGTGGTTATAACAAATAGTGCATTAAGCAATAGAAGATATATATCTCCTGTTCCAGGAAGACGCTACTACGATCCCTGTGCAACTGATGGCAGTCAACTTAACAGTAGTAGACCACACGCTCTGCCAGCTCACATACTTAGTGGACACAGAAATAACAAGTAATATGTTGTGCGCCGGTAACTTTTTCCTGGGAGGGGAGAGCACTTGTCAGGTAAATTATATTCCTCCTAAACTTTGTTTGCTCTAGCTTGAATTCTTTTCTTTCTGTGCTTATTCTTTTCGGCTGGCTATCCTAAAATACCTTATCTTTTCTCTGAAGTCACCTCCAAGTTCGTCAGTCGTGAAAAGGGAATTTTGATTGGCTTGAGTAACCCTCAAACAAAATAGGAAGCAAAGTAAAAACCATAGTATCCATTAGTCAGCGTTTTATATCTGAGGGGGAATATACAAGAAGATAACAATTGCATAAATGTCTGTATAATGTTTTACTTCAGGGCGATTCCGGAGGTGTTGGAGCGATTGACGGTGTAGCCAGGGCTATCGCTTCGTTCGGCCGAGGCTGCGGCCAGCCACTGTCGCCAGCCGTCTTCACAGACATATCTGCTTCCGAGATAAGGGACTTCATCACACAATATACTGGTCTTTAAATTAATATGCGGCAAATTTAATTACTGTGATAATAAATAAACAGTATTTGAACAATTATTTATTTTATAAATGAATCCTTAATCCTTATAAATTAATACATAAAATTCTCGTGTCACAATTTTCGTTAGCATACTCCTCCGAAACGGCTTGACCGATTCTCATGAAATTTTGTGAGCATATTGAGTAGGTCTGAGAATCGGCCAACATTTATTTTTCATTCCGCGCGGACGGAGTCGCGGGCGACAGCTAGTAAATTATAAAGTATTTGTGATAAGATTTAAATACGATATATGATAAGTTAGGATGTAAAACCGCATTAATTCTATTACCTTGATAAGGTTCCTAGACGTCAATGTAACAAAAAAATTAAAATTATAATAAATGGGAAAGAAAACCATTTATACGAAAATTGTTTTTTCTTTTTCTTTTCCATGATTCCTTAGATAGCGAAACAAATCCGTTCTAATTTTTAAGACGCCGGAGTCATTTAAAAAAGAAATCTTCGGTAAATGTTTTTCATAATTATTTAGTTTCCTTATAAGCAAATTGTTTGCATGACAATTGCAAATACGTACATAATATTAAAGTGCTATTTTGAACATGTGGGTTATTTAAATAATTTGTTCGCGCTAAATACATCTCTCTGTTTGTACTTGATCTCATTTTAACATTCAATAAGGTAAAGTTCGTCTGTCTCAGTGATGATGTTACTTATTGTTATCATTTGTCTCACTCCCTGTAAATCTTTATTGGCAAGTAGTAAGTATTTTTATATCTATATGATTTTTTATCAAGTTGCATAAAAATAAAACCCATTTTATGACACTATTTAAAATGACATTTATATCTAATCTACTTATACTGTATATACTTCTTACTAATAAATGTGAATGTTTGGATGGATGGATTTGTTTAAAGGTATTTCCGGTACGGCTGCATGCATATCGATGAAATTTGACTTATACGTTGAACATAGTCTGGAAGAACTTAGAGAATATTATTTTTTTTTATTCCGCGCAAACGGAGTCTCGGGCGACAGCTATTAAATCATAATTGGTAATCTTTTGGTTACCATCTTTATTTATATACATTTTAGATTCCATATCCTATACCTGTAACATAATAAAATACATAAAACTTTATACTTTAATACCACATACCTTTTAATCAGAGATTATTCAATTGGAAAGAGTGGCACTACGCAACGAGGCCGTTCCATAGAGTAACATAACTTTAGAGAGGATCGTGGGAGGACGTGTTGCTACATGTGAGCAGTTTCCTCATCAGGTCAGCTACGTCGTCAACAACTCATATTTCTGCGGTGGATTTATCATCAGTAAACGATTTATATTAACAGCTGCGCATTGCGCTCAAAAGTACGTATCTACTAGTTGAACAGACAGTTACTTTACCAATTGCTTCAAGGCTCAACAAAAAAATTATTTTTATAAATGTAACAGCCTGTGAATTAGCTAAGCTCTTGAATGAAAGGAATATTAACTTAGTGTAAAGCAGTCTCAAAAAGGTCTCCCTCTCGCTGCAGAATTATCGAGTAGTCACAAGGAGACACTGTTTATATCTTGATGCGAGTCAACTTTATTTAAGTGCGATCGGCAAGTCGATAAACATACCAAATAAATCAATATCGTGATCCAATAATATGTTCCGCCATCTATTGATATAATAATGTAAACTAAATTGACATAGCGTTTGACACTTAGAGATGGCAAATGAAGTGGATGAATTTATTCTTACGCTAGTAGAATCATATTTCCCCAATATTCTTTTTATATATTGTCTTAAAATCCCGAATGCGAAACAATGAAACTTCGTTATCGTAATATGCGAAGATGGCATTGCATGTTGTTTTTATCCATCGGAACTCTTATTGCTAGTTCTCTTAAATTATATAACTTACAACGCGTATTATTTCAGCGTTGACCCATCAACTGTAATACTTCGTTCTGGAAGCACTTTTCGAAAGAACGGTACAGTTATTCCAATAGTTGAAGTTATCCCGTATCCCGGCTACAATAGACCTCCATTTGATAAAGACATCGCGGTGATGAGGACTTCAGAAGACATCGAGTTTAATTCTTGCACACGACCGATAGCTTTGCCTCCGAGAGGATCACTTTTGAGGGCTGGATCAACCATGACCGTTAGTGGGTGGGGACGAACAAGGGTATGTGTATATTTTAAGTGTGGAGATGAGCAGAAGCACCTTTATGGTTTTTTACAACTAATGATTACGGATATTTCAAAAACTCAAAATTCAATCCTTGGGATCTGATTACATTATTATAATTACGCTGTATGAAACGGAGTTCTAAAATTATTCAATCACTTTTAAGGAATAGATCAAACGTTTTTTTATTGCTTTTGCTATTCGATTTCAATTCAGCGCAAAATTTAACCAAAAATTATGGTCTGGCGTTTCACTAATGTTATATTGCTATAAATTTTAGCAAGGCGCTTCAATATTACCGGATCGATTGATGACAGTTGATTTAAATCTAGTGAGTAGGTCTCGATGTCAATCAGCATACAGTCCACTGAGGATTACAGAAAATATGCTTTGCGCGGGAAATTACTTCTTAGGAGGGAAGAGCACATGTCAGGTAAAACGTTTTAAAATAAGAGGTTATTATCTTTAAAAACAGTATTTTATATTATGTCGTGTCATATGTTGTGTAATATCAGTAGAAAATAGAAGGTGAAAAACAAGTTAGAGCGAATCGAGTAAACACGAAACTTTCCAGCGTCAGCCTGTCCCAAAGTTATCTGGCGGATTTCCACATACGATGTCCCATTGAAAATTGTAACTAAAATAAATTCAAAGCTTTTTTGTAAATGTAGATAACTACTGTGTTAGGAACCAGAACGTCGATATTTAATTCAAAAATGTCAAGGTCAAATTGTAGTGGAAATGTTAGGATGTTATTATATTATAATAATAAGTCAGATGAAGTAATAATTATTTGTTATGGCTTTTAGACGATGCTCAAGTTCAATATTTCTTTATTGATATAAAATATTTATCTTTATTCGTATAAAATATATTTCCTTGATCAGGGTGATTCAGGAGGGGTGGGAGCTATTGACGGGGTGGCACGTGGTGTGGTATCGTTCGGCCGGGGCTGCGGGAAACGGCTCTCTCCCAGCGTGTTCGCGAGCCTCGCCGCGCCGAACATAAGGGACTTTATCAAGAAACACACGGGATTATAAAGTTGACAATTGTAACTATTAATAAAATAAATAATTGTTTTTCTTATATTATCACTTTATCATGTATATGTCATTTAATATTTACAGTTTTTTTTTATTAAATAAAACGTCTGAATTAACTCAGTCTAACTGTAGTAATCAAGTTGGAACAGTCGCTTATAGCAACTCTAAGCGACAAAGTAGGGAACGTCAAAGAAAAATCTTTACGGAATTTAAGTAGGTACAATAAAATGTTCGAGCCAAAGCCTTTCATAAAATAAATTATTTAAAATACGTATAACTTGCAGTACCATGTAATTGTTCCTTCTCTATGGATGTCAGTATGAACATGTTAAGTCTTAAGCGTTTGTACAATTATTCGCAGAATTACAGTCCCGTAGTGGCGCCATCTGCAGTTAAATCATGTCACCATGTTCTGAAGATGGCTGCCCGCCAAGTGCTCCCGAAGCAAAACTATTTAATGGTTACTACGTACAAGAGTCTTAAGTCGAATGTTACTGCATTTAATTGTTATTCTATTCAATTGAATTCTCAATAAAAGAATTTGAATTCCATGTACAGTCAGCTGCACAAATAAAAATTTATTTAGGGCTTTGGTTTCAAAACTACTTATGTACGAATTCGTTTATAACATTTAATCATAATCAGAGGCATAGGACGGATGCGTGTATACACATATTTTTTAAACCAAAAGCGTATACTATTTTTTGTTGCTTTGTAAAGGTATACAAATTTATGCATCTGACTGTACATACTGACATGAAAGCAGTTAATAGTATGGGCACCAAAGCCACATACACTACTGATATTGAAAAAATTTACAAATTTGATACTGAGATTAAATTATATAATAATATATGTTAATTATTATTAATAAGACTGACATAATTTAAATAAGTAACTTTCTATACAAGTTTGAATTGTTTAAAAGTAATAATACCTCACAGAAAATTAGAGCCTTTCATAGAATATCTTTTACACAAAGGGTTTTAATTTTAATTAATTTAAAAAATTATTAAGATTCATTTAAAGTTTATTAGAAGCTAAATAAAAGATTAATGAACTTAATACCGAGAATTTAAAATTAATATTTTTTGTAAAATATAATCATTTGAAATTATACGCACATGTTGGTAGATAGTACTAGAAAAAATTACAATGCAAATTAATTAATCAATTCAATGTACCATTTAATAACGTAAGACTTTTTTTCTTCAATCTAAAGGCTCTATATTACAATAGATTTGCAAAGGTTTTGTTTTCTTATTCCCACATACTTAAGTAAATGTACAAAAAACAAGTCACACGAGAACAAATATTTAATTTGTTAATTTTACAATATAATTAAATTGTTTTTATTGATGTTTCCAACTTATTTAATTTTGAACTTTTAGTTTTAGGGTTCCGTATCTCATAGGAAAAAAACGGAACCCTTATAGGATCACTTTGTTGTCAGTCCGTCTGTGTGTCTGCCAAAATCTTTCTTTGCAATAGAAGCGTAAGCAAGATACTTAAGTATTTTAAGGAAGAAAATCCGACACTGTGCCGGTGTATTGGAACAAAACTAGCCTTACTAAAATGTCGACGTCCATGTCCCCTCACTAATCATTCTGATACTTGACTTGGTAATGAAAGCGCGCCATTAACGCCAAAGTATTGTAACTAATAAATATCTAAAAGTAAAAAGAAAAGGTAAAGATAAAATATTGTAACCAAGTTTATAGTTAAGAGCATGAAATTGACATCAAATAGAATATTTTTCATAAGTAATAAACGTGAAAATAAATGACCAATATTTATAATTTTACTATTTTGGTCACATGTAAACATCACTTATTATTCAAAATTATTGCTATGTACATCTCCAAAATTCTACAAATTATATCCACAAAATAATGAACGCTGAAAATTAAAAAGTAAAATAAAAACAAAATTAGTAGTCGGTGAGTTCTTCCAGACTATGTTCTACATTTATGAAAAATTTCATCGAGAACCGTTTCGCCGTTCTGGAGATACCTTCAAGCAAATATCCACTCATCCATCCATCCATGTAAATATTCGCATTTATAATATTAGTAAGATTTACTTTTGAAAACAAGTAAATACCTCACTTATTATTCATATTCACTGCTATGTAAATTACTAAAATTCTACAAATCATATTCGCATACTAATAACATATTATATAGGTATTCATTTCCTTAATTTACTTTATTGTAATTTCTTATGTATTATTGTATTTTGATTTTGCATGATCATTTGTCACGGCACACTGCGAGTGCAGGAAATGACATTAACATAATGTACAGTGTACTTGCTTTATGTAATGTGTCTTGTCACCGATCGACCTTGCCCACGTATGTATGAAAAATAATCTTCGTGAAAACTACGAGCGTGGAGCCAATATTTCACTCTAGAGTTACGATGCAAAAAAGGCAATGTAGTCACGTTTTTGTATGGACATAAAAGTAGGATTTTCCACGTCTAAAACATGCGTAGTTACTAATTTTCGTAGGTAGAGCATCTTGGGTTTGAATAATAACTATTGTGTTGAAGGATATTTTAGTAAAAGTTTGGCAGGAAATATTATAATATTGTAAAATTATCACGCTTAATTACTTTTTTTTTTTGTGAGTTAAAGAACTTTACTGATTACTATTTCGCTTTGGATATATGTATTTATTGTTGGTACTTTTAGTAAACAAGTTGTAATGCATTGTCACTTTTGTAAATAACAGTCATTATAAAATCCATATCACAATGTTTGTACAAAAGGTAAAAACGGATATGTTGATTTTTATCTCTGCTTAGAATAGAAACAGTATTTATATTGAAATTATATCAAAAGTAGTTATTTTGCTTTGTATACTATCTAAAAAACTTGTAGGTAACAAACGATACTAGTATAAAAACAATCCTAGCAGATAAGTTAAAGATGTGTTGCTTTTTAATGGACGGAGAAGGGGACAAAAGGTGGAATCTTATTGTCTTCATATATCTATCCCTTCTCTCGTTTGAGGTTGTCTAATATTAATTTTCGCTTCCGCGTCGGTAAAAGGACTTTAAGGCAAAAAAATTGGTCCTCCCGTGCCGGTTTTTTAACTCTTTGTTCCAGACTGAAACATAGAGTAAGGACTGAAATTTAAATAAGGAATTGATGTAATATAGAATAATCAAGTCATGGACATTTTTAATGTCATGAATTCTTTGTAATTAGAAGAAAACTATTACGTCATCAGTTATTAGTTAATAAACATGAGACAGAAATAGAAAATGAAGGAAACAAATGTCTCGTTTGCACAAAATATATGTACCTTAATGGCTTCCAAGCTATCGACCGCAAACCACTCGGTGCGACCTCTTGTTTACGACCTGTATAGTTCTAGATACTAAATCTTGTCTAAGGACTTTACTCCCACATAAAACTGCTTTACATAAAATTGTTTTTTTTTTTTTAATTTTAGTTTTAAAAAATTAAGGTCAGCATTAAAATACTTAGCGATTTTTTTTAGAAATTATTAGCAAATTTTTTTCATTAAAATCCGTACCCTTAAACCATTAGGCTATTAATTATTAATTAAAGGTGTAATAAATCTTTAAAATGAAATACTTGTTTAAATAATTTTGTGATAATCTCCCTTATTTTGTAGTCAGACTTAATATTGAATAAAATCTTGATAATTATATTATATTAATAAGTATACTTAAGCCGAATATGCCTAATGCTATGAAGAGATTCACAATAAGAAACTTTAGTATTTTTTTACAAAACTGTACATTGTAAACAATTATTTCTGAAGTCTCACGTTTCTATTGTAATTGAATGAAATAAGCGCGTTCCTTGTATTTACGAAGTTCACAATTGTTATATACATATTTATTTCATAATTAAATATTGTTTGCACATTAAAATAACATTATTTCCAGTACCAAAACACCTGAATTTTGAGCAAACCAATTTAGTTTGGTTCCGTGTTAAATCTAAACAAATGAGCATTTAAATTTATAATTCCTTTTCACAAAAATATCTTTTATGTATTTAGAGGTTAGAGTTTAAATATTTTGCCAAATAATCCCCGTAATAACATCGTAAAATATTAATAGTCTGTTACTAGCTATGATACATACATATGTTATAAGAATACTGGTTATTATTAAAATATGTAACATAGGTAAGCTTATCAGAGATATTCTTTTTTTTTGCCTTTTGAGGCACCAAAGAACTGGTATATAACTGTAAAATTTTGTGCGTGCGACCGACTTTCGGTCTACGCTACAGTTGAGTACGACCTTAGTGTGCAACTTATTACAATTAAAATCGTTTAATAATGTTATCTTACTAATATTATAAATGCGAATGTTTAGATGGATAGATGTTTGTTTAAAGATATCTACAGAACGGCTAAACAGATGTCGATAAAATGTGGCATACATATAAAACATAGCCTGGAAGAACAGATAGACTACTAATTATGTTTTTTTAAATTCCGCGCCGAAGGAGTCGCTGGCGAAAACCAGTGTTAAATACATGTTCTAATTAGATGAAGTATGTGGCTAAAAGTTATCGAACTATGTTTTGGGTTCCTATTATTTTTAAACGACTCGTTACTTAAATAAAATTCTTTTGCGATTATTTAATAATTTTTAAAAGAAATTCTGATCAACTTTAATCGGCTAATTCTTTAATTGATTTTAATTATTTTTTGTTAAATTCATAAAGTCTAAGTAACATACCGTTGAATTACATTTCGTGATTTTTAGTCCAAATAAATATTAGCTTTTCAAAGTAATTCAAAGTCAAGGAAAACGTCATAAAAGCTTCAATGTCACATATTTTAGTGTCATCCATACCATACTTTGCTTTCAATATCAAGTAGAAAGGACGACACAAGTAGGTTACATCGTAAAATTGTGAATTCATAAAAGACTTCTTTTAATCCCTTTTTTCCTATAAAATAAATATTTGCATATTATCGTACACATTGCTTATACAAATATACTAGCTGTATACCGCGACTCCGTCTGAGTGAAATTAAAAAAAATATTTAGCAGCCTATGTGTACTTCCAGACTATGTTCTACATCTATGCCAACCTTCTAACAAACATTCATCCATCAAGCCAAACTTTGGCATTTATAATACTAGTAAGATCATCATCATTAGCTCCCTATACGTCCCCACCGAGGGGCTCGGAGCCTACCCTAAGTTAAGGGTGATTAGGCCATAGTCAACCACGCTGGCCAAGTAATAGTAAGATACTTCACGTTATTTACACATCACATGGATGGTCTGAAACGGTACGTTCCAAGAAAATATGCGACATTACTATCATAAATATTTTATAAACTATCTACAATTTAGAAAAATTCTCTAGAATTCTACAGGATGTAATTTTGTTGATCGAGGAGGTCTTAGTCACTTTCTCATTATATTCACTAACCGTGGGTTTCATAGCCCAAAATACTCGTTTAAAACATATTGTTATGTTGTGTCAAAGATAATAACAGAGACGATGATATGTTTAATACAGAAATTTTAGTATCAGAAACCAACGGTAGATGCACCATACAACGCGTTTATCCCAACTCTATATCTGGTTGACATACTTTTTTGGCAAAAAAAAACTTGTATTCCACACCATAAATGGTAACTTGAGTTTAATTTAATTTCTGAGTTATGTGCAATTTTTATGTTAGTTATTGTTTTTTGGTTTCAAATTTATGAGCTATAGTAAAAACTTTTCTTTCTCTCTCTCTCCCTCTCTTTCTTTATTTCTTTCTTTCATTACTTATTGTCTCTTAATCCGTTTGGTTTGTATATTTTAAAAGGTAAAAATTAAGGTCATTAAATTATAAAAAAAACATAAATAATTTTCACGATACATTATAGTGGCATTCTAAGGCCATCAAAGTTGTATATTGCTTCATATCATGCGAGATTTATCTGAAATAATTGCAGTCATATTAACAGCTGCAATTAAATGTTATCAAGTAATCATATCTTATTAATACAATATTTATTTTGCTTGAGTTAAATACGATTATGAATGACCCTATTATAATGTAAGATATGTGAAATAGGATGTTGATGCAAAATATTAATTTTTATTGAATAATTAACCAATGATTTCGGAGACTAAAATCTTTGTATAAAACATATTATCATCCCTATCTTTCATCTTTGACTAAACAGAGATAACGATATGTTATAAACGGGGTTTTTGGTCTAAGAAACACAAGGTAGTAAGCTGAAAGCGAAGTTAATCAATTAAGCAATAGTAAATATTACAGAAAATAGAGTAACAATCTTAAATAAAATAAGAAGCGACTGAGATCTCGCGTTTTAAAATCAAATCAAGTAACTAAAGACGACACTTAACAGCCATACACATAAATACCATACTTTAAAAGAAAAATTTAACATTTCATGGACATTAATAAGTAAAATGATTTTTTAATGCTGATTTAATAATTAAGTTATCTGTGGCCATTATTAGAATACTAATAGATATCCTCATTGTAGCAAGGCTGAGTAAGTCACGGATACACTTAATTAACTTCCAATTACATGCGTAACTTAAGTGACAAAATGCTACGTCACTTGATTATTTCATTGTAGATGCTTTTACTCAGTCGAATTAGAATTCTAAATTAAAATTAAAAAATTCATCATTCGGATTGTTATTTGGCGCTTATTTGTAAATAAAACATTGCAGTATTTTTATTATTTAAAGAAAAAAATAATTAAAAACAATAAACCACGATACGTCTATTTTGGGCAATTTAATGTAAAAGGTTAAGGCTTTATGTAATAAGTATTAATGGTTATGATTTTTTCCATTAAAAATAATTTCACTCGCTTACGTATAATTTACTAAATTTATTTTATAAATTTTTCACATAAAAGGTAGTTAGCTAGTCAAGTTAGCTTGATTAACTAAGTAAGCCTTCGAGCGTTACGTCAGTTACTTGCTTTTATCGAAAAAAAAATGACAATGAAAACAGCAAACGTATAGTCCGGACCGTTATTGTTTATAACGTTGTAGTGTCGGAGAAGACGGTCCTCTGTCGTGATACGTCCCGATAATTCGAAATTTAAAAATTAAAATGTTTTATTAAAATTAATTTTGAATTTCTTTAACTAGCACTTTTTTTAATTATAAGTGTGTTATTTTTTTAAGTTTAAAAAGTGTTTTAAACCAGTGATAATGTTGGGAAAACATTCAAAATTATTTTTCTTTATTTCTTTCTGTGCTCTCATTGTTGCTATTGTATTAGCTTCGTGGGGCTTCCCGAAAATCGTTAAGCGGCAAGTTCAAAAGGTAATTGGTTTATTTATATGACTAACCGTCGGTTTGTAAAACCAGAATCCCTGTATAATTGCTGTCATCCCTGTCATTATCATTAATAAAACAGAGATAACAATATAACCATATTAACGGTGATTTTGATCTCAGAAACCAGCTTTTAATGTATAAAATTATGTCTATTATTTAATTACAAAAATAATGCAAATTAATGAAAGGAAATTAAAACGAAATTAAAAATATTTTTTAATCAATCATGTGATACATTGGCGGAAAGTAAAACACACATATATATTAAAAAAGGGTCTTGACAGACAGACGGACGGACAACAAAGCGATCCTATAAGGGTTCCGTTTTTTTCCTATGAGGTACGGAACCCTAAAAATACCTCTATTTACTTTGCTTCTTTTTATCTCGGAATCCAACATTAAACTCTTGTTTCTACTTAGCACATAATATGCTAAAACATTCATTACGATAGTCAACAAAGTTAGTATAATAAAAAAATGCATATTTTACACATTTAACATGTATATGCTATGTGGCACTTAACATAACTAATTTATGTTACTTTTATACTACAATTAGCTATCGCCCGCGACTCCGTCCGCGCGGAATTAAAAAAATTATTAAATAGCATAGGTGTTCTTCCAGATTAAATTCTACATTTATGCCAAATTTCAGGAAGTTCCGTTGAACCGTTTCTGAGATACTTTCTAACATATACCTATCCATCCATCGAAACATTCGCATTACTAATGTTACTAGCCGTCGCCCGCGACTACATCCGTGTGGATTAAAAGATAGCAGCCTATTTGTTCTTCCAGACTATGTTCTACATCTATGCCAAACTTTCGTATTTATAATATTAGTAAGACACTTCATTTAAACATCACATGGACGGTCTGAAACGATTCGGCCAAAGAAAATATGCGACATTACTATCATAAATATGTGTGCCAAATTTCAGTGAGATCCGTTCTGCCGTTTTGGAGATACCTTCAAACAAACATCCATACATCTAAACATTCGCATTTATAATATTAGTAAGGAGTAAGATTAAGATTCAGGTATCTTATCACACTACCTGTCTGGTAGAATTTTCCGAATAATCTACCATTTAAAAAAAAATCATTCTTCCTGCTAATTTGGGCCAATACTAGTTTTCAAATTTATAGGTTGACAGCAGCACAAAAAACTCTTAACATAAAAGCTTCGATTAAAATTTAGTATGTATATTGTCTTAGCGTGACCTCTATATATTTATATATATGTATATGTACACTACACAATGTCGTCTACAGTTTTTTTATGCCTTTTAACAAAGTAATAATTGCAATTGTCAAACATCTCACGTCTCAGTGATATTCAGATATCTTTCATCTTTATCCTGTAAGTTCGTTATAAATTATGCGACTTTGTTTACATTATTAAATTAAATAAAGATTCAAAATAATTTATAATTCATTTTAATAATAAAGAATTATTTTATTATTATTTCCCACGCATGTGTATTATCACATTATGAATATATTGTAAAGAAATTGTTAAATTACAAATAAATTCAGTATGATTTTATTTTATTCTTTTTAACGAAGGAGTTTAATAATTTTTTTATCAATTGAAAGATGGATTATCTAGAATAAGTGCACTAAGGCTCTTCGAACATAAGACAACGTAAATCTTCAAAACCCGAATAAGTAACGATGTTACCCGCGACTCCGTCCGCGCTTAATTAAAAAAAAACATAATTATTAGCCTATGTGTTCTTTCAGACTATGTTCTACATCTATGCCAAGTTTCAGAAGGATCCTATAAACCGATCCAGACATACCTTCAATCAAACATCCATTCAGCCATCGATCTGACCTCCACGAACATTTCACGACCAAGATAAGATAAATCCGTTTAACCGTTCTCGAGATTTAGCGAGACTAACAAACAATTGAATTATACAGGGTGTCCCAAAAGATTACGTACATAGGAAGGGGGATGATAGGGGTGGTCACAAGGGTCACCAGAAAAATAAAATAAAAATTCCCCTCTGGGTATTAAAAAAAAATAAATGGCATTTTTTAAAAAACTTAAAAATTTTACACCTTCTGGGGCAACTTTAATTTTCTTTAAAATCTTTGTTAGTTGTATTGTTTTTTTATTTCATATTGATAAAGGGTTATTGACGATAACACAATAGCTTTTTTTAAATATAGCAAAATTTGTAGGTCATCGGTTACAAAATTGCCCCAGAAGGTGTAAAATTTTTAGAAGGTGTAGCCTTTTGGGACACCTGTATATACATATATGTATATAATTATTACAGACACATCCACATTACGATTAAATACAATCAATATATTATATTTAATATTAAATCCAGTCTAGGTTACTCCAGCAACATTAGATTCAGGTCGAGGTTGTTACTCCACAAGACACCTTAGGCATCGTTTACATACGCTAAAAAAGTTATAAGTATCAAAAAGATTCTTTCAATTAGATATTAAAAACCAGCAACTTAAATTTTAATAGAATGTATATGTCGAATCGTTCATGTGCGTTTGCCTTTTATTTAAAATATAAAGTCGCTAACACCCGAACCTAATAATTAATCCTTACGATCGATCCGATGATAACTTTGTTTTATACGCCTGGGAGTGCAAAATGTTACACAGATCAGGTTTTTCAAGTTACATTAAATAAGCAAACGGATTAATTATATTAATTGACAATATCTCAGATAAGCAAAAGGTAACTTAAGCTATTAAAAAGTTGTATAATTATTGTAAAATATTCAAATCTAATAGAAGTATTTATTTTTCTTTTTGGTTGGTACTTATCAAACACTAGATGGCGCTGAGTCAAATGGTATTGTATTTCTATTGTTTGAAAACGTAAAAGCACATTTATATTAAAAATTCATGTATTTAATAAGTCAGGAAATTGTAGAATAATAATTATTTAAATTGCAATAATAATGTGGATGAATATTCAACTAGTACTGGCCACCGAGAATGCAATAGACAAACACGATTAAAAAGAAAACAACCAAAGTGAATTAGGCGCGAATCAGATGTGAAAGCAAAAACGTATTATAATAATATTTTGTTTGTGATAATGCAATTTTGTTAGTTATTGTAAATATTAGAGTGTAAACAACAAAACAAAGAAGTATTTATCAATGGTACTAAATTAAATTTATAAACTTTTAACATACGATTCACACAGGTGACGCCGACGTAACTGTTTTCTTTCCATAAACCTTATTTATCTTAATAATAGACGAAAAGTGACGATGTAATATTATAAATAAATACGGTAAAGTTATTCATTTGTCAATAATTAAATACAACATGTTAATATGTAATCCGTAATGCAATAAAACTACTTCTTGCGTAAGATAAGATTAGAATACAATTGTTTATGACTATAAACACCTACATTGTGTTTTTAATGTCGAAAAACTAGTACAAAAACATATTCTTATCCTTCTCATTTAATCAATAACCAATGTTTAAATTAATAGATAGATAACTATGTTATGTTTAATATATTTTTTGATTGATAGATAGTGTTATAGATTAATTAGACTCCACATACGTTGGGAACGCATTGTGAACAAATATACAAACTGTATACATTGATATTTCTTTATATAGATAAAATAATACTGCGTCAAAAGTTAAAAACTAGTTTTAAAGTGATTTGTATTACTTAGTGTTAAGTAGTGATTTTTAACATCTTATTAATACATTGAATATTTATGAGATCATTTGTGTTACAAAAAGTTGTTACAACTTTTTATCGTCATATTGAATCTCTAACCTGTATTTGTTAAGATAAGACGAGTAAGACATAAAAACTTTTTCGAGCTCAATGTTTGAGTATAAGGTCTAAACATGTGCCACAGAATTGAAAACAGACGTCTTAACTAAGTAATTACAATTATTTAATCTATAAGAGAAATGTTTAAATACTTTAATTTGAAAACTAAAGAGGCAGCGACTGGACTTTTAATACAATCTTGATGAAAATCTCCTAGATTTATCTTAATTAAATCTAAAATCAAATTTGATATTATTATTTTCTTTGCTAATGTTCTTTAGCTTCTTAAATAAATAACTCGAACATAACGACATTTGTCCATTTGACATCCATGAGATCCAATTGCAATGAAATTTATTTTGAATCTTTCTTAAAAAAAAAACATTTTGACGTAAAATTCAAATTTAAAAGGTTCGGATTAAATATAAAAAGATCGAATATTTTTCCGGTGAACCTCTTTTCTTAACATATTTTATAATTTATCTCTATTACTACTAATAAATTAAAGAAAAAAAATATGAGATAATTATTTAAGTTGCCGTCAGATAATTATTTAAGTTGTTTACAAGTTGATCTTATAACCTTAAGTAATTACACTCAATGTAAGTTACTTGCAGTTTCCGCGACTTCGTAACTTTGTTTCTACTATTATTTATACTGTCATCAAAGATTATGTTTGAAAACTTTTTTTTAGAAATTTAATAAAATTACATAATATTTTTTCAGAATGTTCAAATCGAAAATTCCTCGAAGATGTTTGAGAAATGGCGAAAGCTGCCGATGCCTCTCACATTTAAGGTCTATGTTTTTAACATTAGCAATCCAGAAGAGGTTAGCGAAGGAGAAAAACCTCGTTTACAAGAAATCGGACCTTATGTTTACAAGTAAGTTAATACAAAATATATTTTTTACTAATATGTCATTTAGTAATTAAAAATTACGTCTTAACTCGCATGTCTCAGTTAAGCCGTACAATGTCTGCCGAAGTAAGAAGTTTAGTTTATCTAAAGATTCAATAGATGGCGTTACAAGTCGATACAAACTAAATTAGAAAACTTCTGTAGTAATATTTATCTTTTCATAGAGAGCCCAAATTTAAATAATTTTATGTTATTGTCTGGATATGTTACGTATCAGATATCAAATAGTTAACCTTTTACCTTATATTAAAGTAATTAGAAAAAAACACGGAAAATAAGCGTTATCGTTAACAATGCAAAGCCAGGAAAAAATCAATAATGCCAACGTCAATTCATAATTGATTCTAAATTAGCTGGTGTTTTTTTTATAACCGATGCGTATCAAACAATTGGTACCAATTACGTAGCACTCGTAATTTTCCATATCGCATTTTAAAATCTAAAATAAATTATATATGTATGGTCAATTACTAAACGAGTACATAATATTAAATTACATAAACATGATTATTGCTTAGTCATGTAAAAAGTTACTTATGTAGTTTGTTTTTAATATTGATATTCTAGAGTGGAGATAAAAACCCTCAAACAAATTCCATATGTGTAATATTATTATGATGTGCGTAGAAAATGTTCATAGCAAGTTGGAAGTATCATAGGTCGAATTTAACTTAGTTAAATAATAACAGTAATAGGAGCGTCGGTGGCTCAGTGGTCTAACGGTTGACTTGCAATCTGCAGGTCCTGGGTTCGAATCCCGCCATGTACCAATGTGTTTTTCGATTTTCGATTTACATATGTACATTTATCCGACGTTCTTACGGTGAAGGAAAACATCGTGATGCAACCTGCACGTATCTGAGAAGAAATTCAAAGATATGTGTGAAGTCAACCAACCCGCAGTGGGCCAGCGTGGTTACTATGGCCTAGTCACCCCTAACTTAGAGTAGGCTCCGAGCCCCTCGGTGGGGACGTATAGTGAGCTGATGATGAGTAACATATTGAGATCTTTATTTTAAATATGAATTTGGAGAAGTCCATAGACTTAGGCCTTAGAATAGAAATGATTGTGTTAACGTGGCATTCTTAAGAAGAAAGTAAAAACTGAAATGACTAACCATTGATCGATTTGGAACACAAAACTTGTGCTGACCCCACATAGAGTTGAGGAGAGGGATATGACGATGATTTTATTTGTTATTGTGTTGTTTCTCAATTCTATCGTCAGATCATATTACTAGTGCTGTTAATATTTTAGAGAATATCGAGAGAAGACAGTTCTGGGTTACGGCGAAAATGACACAATCAAGTACACGCTTAAGAAATCATTTGTGTTCGACGCTCAGGCGTCTGGCACTCTGAGCGAACATGACGAGCTCACTGTTATCAACCTTACTTATATGGTAAGTATAGTACACTACAAACTTTATGGTTGCTCGCAATTTAGAAATGCTGCGCTAAAAACACCAAGCGACCGATCGCAAGACACATCCGCAGTGACCCAACATATGTATAACTGGGTTCCGAAACTATAGAACCGATTTGAAGAATTCTTTCGCAGTAGAGATGGTACACTATCCCAGTGTTCTATAGGCTATATTTATAACTAGTTTTTTTTTAATTCCACGTAGACGATGTCGCGGGTAACTTATAGCATATTATAAAAACATTTAGTTTATGTCTCGGAGTTTTTACATTGTAATTCTTTTCGGCAATTATTGATGTTACGTTTTATTACTTGTCTCCAAGGTAAGCTTTTTACAACCGATACTCGATTTACGACCTATCACATACTGAATCTATGTTTAACACTAATTTATGTCTTCCAAAGAATTCAATTTTTCTGTACACGTGAAAATTTATTATCCGTAATTTTACTGCAGGAAATTAAATCTGTATTAAATCTAACCTTCATCCTGGGATTTGACCTAAAGTCACCTAAAGGTAACCTAAGAAAAACTCTTTGATTAATAATACACATACAACCTTTTCTGATTTTTTTAATACCGTTTTCTATATAACACTGATGGGTCATCTGACCCTTGGTCACCTTTGTAGGTTTATTGGGTGAGTCGATTTTTCGTCTTTCAAGAGTCAAATACTTAAAAAATACTTTTGCCTTTTTACGAAAATCTTGCGACACTTGAGTAATAAATTACCAAGTAATAGATTAGCAGAGATACGAAAATTCCTAAAATATTAAATACGGTAATAACAGCGAGCTCTAAAGCCAAACTATTTGTTTTCAGCGGTAACCGTGTTAATTGAGAATGTATGGATGACAAGCTGTCGATCGCGTCTCCGTCCGCGCGGTATAAAAAAACTGTACATGTAGCCCATGGGTTCCAGACTCTGTTCTGTATTTATGCCATCCATCCATACATCTAAATATTCCAATTTAAAAAAATATAGTAGGACTTAGGATCCTTCAGGAAGCGAGCTTATCACTATCTCAAAGGCCGGCAACGCATCTGCGGTTCCTCTGGTATTGCTGATGTCCATGGGCGTCGTTGAACACCTCGGTGTTCCCGCTGCTCGTTTGCCCCCTTCTGTTATTAAAAAAAAAAGTAAGATAATTATTTCATCATATGATTGTCTGATAAAAGTTTTATTTTTTTTTTAATTTTAGGCTGTAATATTAACAGTGAATGGTATGATGCCAGCTATATTGGGATCTGTCAACAAAGCATTGGAAATATTCTTCGGTAATAATCTAACGGATCCGTTTATGCGAGTAAAAGTAAAGGATTTATTATTCGATGGTATCTTCCTCAACTGTGAAGCCGATAATTCCGCTTTAAGTAAGTATAAATACATACAAATGATTAGTATCAACACATGCAATGCCATTCAATCGTAAGTACGACATTATTTTAATATGTGCAAATCATAGTGGCATTTAACGTGTTAAAAATACATTAAAAACTGCTAATATTCTTAAAAAAAATATCCGTAACGACTAATATTTTTGGTTACTAGATAAGGTAAAGAATTTTGAATCTAAAATAAATGCATAAAATAATGATTATCTTTCCTCTGAACTAGTGTTGAGAGAGTTGAGTTACATATGCAAACTCTTTGATGAACGAAGAATAATCACTCTCCCAAAGAAGTGGCACACTGACCAATAAGAACCTTTGCCTTTTAGATTAAAAAAAAATTGTGAAAAAGAGACAAGACATTCGCGCGGGAAGTCGAAGTGTTAACGAGGTGTAGGAGTGAATTGAATTTAATGCAACTTTCAATGTAAATATCTATATAGTTTTAATATAAGGTTTTTAACAACGTAATAAATGCACTTTGGCCGCCGTACTGCTGTTTATAATTTACATAACTAGATGGTGTTGCTTTATAATGAACTATTAACCTTTAAATTAAAAAAATTCCAGTCGCGATCCTCGTGTTACTAAAAATACAAATGATAATTAATGTTATGTGCATGGGTAATAATACTTAAAGCATGATGCTATTTTGTACATGTACAGTCAGCTGCATTAATATGTATACATTTATAAAACTTTAAGAACTAGTTTACTCCTTCTGTTTCAAAGATATTTGTGCACGTTTCTGTGCGTATTCTTCTGTTAATCATAACATGTTATTAACAAATTAGTACTTTAGTATTTTTGAAACCGAAGACGTAAACAAGTTTATAATGTTTTGTATAATAAGTGTATACATATTTATGCAGCTGACTGTACTTAAATTGTTTTACACAAAAATATCTTACTAACGTTTGATCGAATTCTTCTTTGGCTACGCCTCAACCAAGTCATTATTACTCTTTATAAATAAAACCAACATAATTTATGAATTGGCACGTCGGACAGAAGAGTTATCTTGTTTCCGACGTGCCATATCAGTTTACAGTATACATATTAATCAATTTTTTAAATACTTCCAGGTCTGGTGTGTGGAACATTGCGCGCCAAACGGCCAACTACAATGAGACTCGCGGACGATGGCAAAGGATATTATTTCTCAATGTTTGGACATGTAAGATATTTTATTACTAAACACGTATACCTCTAACACTAAAAATAATAGCTTAAATTATTTTGTGTTCTTTGCTAATAAAAAAAAACAAAAAGCCTGTGACCCTATAACACTCAAAAGAAGAATATAAATCGAATGACACCCTACTTGTCAAAAACAATATATCGTGAGTTTCCGAGACCAAAATATCTGTTTAAATCATTTTGTTATATCTGTTTTGTCAAAGATAATGACAGTCACCATGATATGTTTTATATAGAGAGGTCTCAGAAACCCACAGTTAGTCAAAAGTTAAAACATAAATACGCTCTGAAACCGTTTCCAAACTCATTCAGTCGGTTTAAAAAATAACGGTTATCTTTAGAAAACGCCTCAATTTATAAAAAATAAATTCATAAAACAACCGTTGTTTTTTTTAAATCGATATACGTATATTTTACTACGCGTGGATATTCTTTTAGGCCATACTTGCGTAGTCGTGGTATAAAGCCTTAACAAAAAAGTGGGTTATTGTCAACTCGAACCTGTTATTCATACGATGCAAATTCCATAGTGTCAATGAACGAAACTTATCGCTCGTAACAAGTTTAAAGTCTAAACTGATATATAAACACGGCTGAACACTCACGTATATACGTCCGGTGGCGGCACCGACTAGTTTCTAGCCCATCGGGGGCCCTTCATCAGGATGAGTGGCACTGGTATTATTTCGCGGACGCGGCCCGTCGCTCACGTGAGTGCTTATATATCAGTTTAGTATAATGTCTCACGAAAGTTTGAATAATTTAAGTTTAAAGTCATAAATTATTTTTTAATTCTATAAATATACGAAGAAATAAGACTATCAAGGTAGTTTATTGGCTCACGATTCTTAAAATTTTTATCATACAGCCAGCTACATTTTTTTTAATCTTTTTTGTAATACTTTGTATTCGTGGAAATGGATTCTAATAACTTATTTCTATAAGCTATAACTAATATTTTTCATAGTATTTTCTAAATTTTTATTTGAAATAATAAAATAAATATATCGTAGAGAAACAGGGAAAGTTCTATATTGCTCAGTTCAGTCGCAGGAAATTACGTTCCACGCGACTGCCATCTTTGAACTGTCCGCTTCCATTTTCCATTTTCTCTTCTATACAATAAGTTATTTAAATATCTTAAGCTATTGTAAAATCTACAAACTGCAATTATATGAAAAAGATTCCCTTTTCTAAAATATCTGGCTATTAAATATAGAGATGCTCACAGATCAATTTGAGAATTAAATTCCAAAATTCTGATCGGAATTCGATTTTGCCAGTGTCAATTGAATTTGTAAAAGTCTGATATTGGAATAAGAAATACATTCGAAACAAAGAAACGAGGAAAACGGTCGTTGATTTGATATCCAGCATTCCTATTGTCATGTCCTATTTTCAGAGCTTAGTTTTTTTAACAGTGGTAGAGCGAGCTTTAACATCTTCGCACGAATAGTCCCGGCTCGCCCGGTGAAATACCACGATCACACAGAAGACAGGCGTCAAGTGGAAGCTATTCCGTGTTTCGTTTTAAGAGTGTGCGTCCCGGAGGCCTAATTTAGTCCTCTTTCTCTTCCCACCCTTTTTCTTATAAGAAAAGGATGGGAAGTGGAAGTGGACTTTCCGGATGAGAGGATGCATGGAAAGGGAAGATATTTTCTTTCTGTGCATCCTCTCCTCCGGCGATTAAAGGTAGACAACGCATATGCAATTGCGTATGTCTATGGTCAACGGTCACTTCGCTATTTCAGCGATTTCAGGTGGCCGCTCGCTCGTTTGCCACCTTATGATATAAAAAAAAATAGTTAAGTTACGCATATCATGATCATCAGCTCACTATACGTGTTCACTTAGGTGCTCGGAGCTTACCCTATGTCAGGGTTAACTAGGTCATAGCTAACCACTCTGCAACCACCAATACGGGTTGATTACACATACATTTAAAAAATATATAAATGTTATACTTCTTGTCACTTCCAGTGGAACAATACCCCGCTGGGTCCATTCGATATGGTCCGTGGTACAGAAAACGTGTACGAATTGGGTCACATAGTCGGGTACAAGGACAGACGCACTATGAAGGAATGGGGCGACCCTTTCTGTGGCATGATCAACGGATCCGATTCATCGATCTTCCCACCGATCGACGAAAACAACGTACCTCAAAAACTTTACACTTATGATCCTGATATTTGTAGGTATGCAAACTTTGTAACCCTCATACAAATATTTTTGTTCTAACATATCCTAAGTTTAAACCCCATTTCCACTGACTTAGCCTTACAATTTATCTATACTATACTAATATTATAAAGCGGAAGTTTGTTTAAACGCGCTAATCTCAGAAACTTCTGGACCGATTTGAAAAATTCTTTTTTTGTTGGATAGGCCATTTATAGAGAAAGGCTGTGTAACATATACGCTGCGACCAATAGTTTTTTTTTAATTCGCGATAGAGATGGAGTCACGGGCGACAGCTAATATTTAATAATAGAAATGGTATACCCATTACTTGATGAATTTATAGTCAATCTGCAGAAAGAGGGATTAAAAAAGTTATTGCGTAATATTAATGTCTGCATTACATTTATTGGCGAACACAATATGGAACATGGGGTGGAGGGTTGTTGCCAACATACTTTCCTGCCAAGTGACGTCATCAAATGATACATAAAATAGTGTAACAACGCGCAACATTTTATCACTAGCAAAATGGCCCATAACTATAATATATTTCCTTTAATATTTAGGGTAATAAAGCAATTAATACCCCATGTCAAATATCTATTAAAAAGAAAAGTAAAAAAAAATATCTTAAAAATATAAATGTATTGGTAACAACTAGTGTTAAATGATCTATGTGTAGTAACATTTTGTACCATCTGGCAGATCTTTGTCAGTGGACCTGATGGGCAAGCGGTCGATATTCAACATGAGCGCGTACTACTACGAGCTGACTGAAACAGCGCTCGCCTCAAAGAGTGTTAATCCTTCAAACAAATGCTTCTGTAGAAAGTAAGTTTTATATTTTTTAGTACACACACAGTACAGGATCCACAAAAAAGTTATATTTCCTCTAACTATAAAACCCCTCTCTCCTTAAATTAAAATCTTCTATCGCTTTACTCTTTAGAAATAAGTAGAAAGGATAGAATTTGTGGTTTCTGAGACATTCTTTATAAAATATATCGTCATCCCTGTCATATTTGACTAAACAGAGATGTTTTAAACGGGCATTTTGGTCTCAGAAACCCACGGTTGGTCGATTTTACTTTTAAATTAATAAGTTACAAGAACAATACACTATGAACTTATATAAAACGGCTAAACACTGACGTTTATTCTTCCGGTGACGGCACCGACTAGTTTGGAACCTATCGGGACGCGGCCCGTCGCTCACTCAGCGAAAGGCCGCGTCCGCGAAATAGTACCACTCCCACTCACCCTGATGAAGGGCCCCCAATGCGTTCGAAATTAGTCGGTGCCGACACCGGACGAATATACGTGAGGGTTTAGCCGTTTTTTATATCAGTTTATTATACTCACGAAAGTTTAAATAATTCAATAAACTATGTTCTTACGCTTTCAACTTAAATCATATCTTAAAATCATGATTATCGCATTTAACAAACTAAATAGTTATAAAATATTTAAGACGTAACAACTTTGTTGAATAGTAGTTAGTGAATAAATCCTAACGCCTCGTCTAACAAAGTTTATATAATGATGTTACTTAAAACTGTAAGACGTAATCCTTTGAATGGTCTCCAAAGTCCCTGACAGTGATAAATGTTTTGTTTTAAATATCCAAAGACTTGTGGCTGCGTCAAAATGGCACTGGATGCCAATAATTTGCTAAGTTAATTAACTCGTTTATCAGTCGCGGAGAGGAAAAGGGTCTTTTCTTGTTAATTTCAGATATATATATTTGTTTCTTAGATACATTAGTTCGAAAAATCGTTGTTAAAATAAATTGAATTATTTTTATGAATCAAAATAAATTTAAAAAGGTTATAATATCGTATTTGCTGAACAATGTAAATGGTAGAAGCGCCTATGCTCAGAAAATAGCAAACATGCAGATCTACGATAATTACATCTCAAATTCGCTGCAGAACAGTTTTTAAATGACACAATGAGCAACGTGTAGCAAAAATTTAAATCCACGAGCATTTCATTCAGATCCCGACAAATGTAATAAAAGTATATTAAAATTATAATATAAACTTGTTCCGCGCACTCTGCTCCGCCATTAAAATGAATAAGTCGTGTCGGCGCGCGTTACACTTTAGCAATATTTTAAATTAACGCTGCACTGAACTTTATGTTCTCTAGTTTTATTTTATTTACAGAAAAAACTTATGTCCATGTAGGTTTAGCATTTAGCTATTATTTAAGGTAAATGTATGAGGAAATTCAATACTAGAAAATGCTTTTTAATACCCGATTGAAACAAACATAACATATAAAATTTTATGCAATTTAAATCCAACAAAAAACATATTCTGAGTTTCTGCTTTTTACTTTATTGATGTATTTACTAGACTCACTAATTAGATTAACAAAAATAACTTAAACATCGTACAAATAAAATACGACTTATTTGAAACAATGTTGAGGAAGAGGAAAAAGCAATTTAAGCTTTCGTTTTCAAATTGCGTTACAATCATAAAAGAGAAACTTTTAACTGGTCATAAAAAATACGTTAAACAAACAAAATAAAATTTTATATACAAAATAGATATAATTACAAATTGTAACTCCAAAATCTATCCAATGTTTTTTATTATACTTTTAGAAAATATTGTTAGCTAAATTAGCTAATTGCAAATTATTGTCATACATCCAATAGTCGTGTGTATCTTTCTAAAAGACTATTTTATTTTACGCGTAACAGCTACGATCTAAGATAAGCTTCGATTTATTCTAAAAAGAAAAGTTTTATTAGAGTTTCGATTGCGTGAACATTTTTTTGTATAGACACATATTGTCTCTGTTTTATCCAAAAAGATTGTAAGAGATGACAATATGTGTCAATAGAAGTCAAAACTTACGTCAGATTACAAGAAAAAGTGACTCGTTATCCAGATAGAGAGGGAGAAATAGAACAGTATGTTGAAGGAGGTGCTGTATTCATCCGTAGGAACTGGAGTGGCAGCCACGACGGTTGCCTCCTGATGGGCGTGCTGAACCTGATGCCGTGCCAGGGCGCGCCCGCCCTCATCTCGCTGCCGCACTTCTACCTCGCCTCGGAAGAAGTCCGGGAGTACATCTACTACGGACTCTCCCCGGACAAGGAGAAGCACAAGAGCTTTATATACTTAGACCCGGTTAGTAAATACCAGTACTAGGACTGTCTTTTAAATACATAGGTTTTTTTCTTTTCATTTGATTGCAAATATTTCATTGTTATTTTTATTCGATTGTGTCAAATAGTGTTATGGATAGAGGCTGATTGTGTTTAGTTATATTTAAAAATAATTATTTTATCGACTAGTCTTTTACTTAGTTATTTAAACGATTGAAAATTTATGGACATTCATAATTTTTTGAAATGTGAAATTTTACTTTTGGTGGTTATCTTGAAAATATATTAACTTAAATAACACTTGAAGTAACACAGACTGAAATGCTGTTTGCACGATATTAATCTATTGTAACGTTGACACAGAAATAACTCATAAACATTCACAAAGGAAAACCTTAGTGACAATTTCATCATCAATTCGTTGTAAGCGTCAATAGCCTAATGGTTAATGGTACGGATTTCCGATCACGAGGTCGGGGTTCGAATCCCGCCATTCGACTATTGTCGTAAACCATATCCTAGCACAAGCCTAGAGCTTAGTTGGAATGGTAAAAGAAATATTAGTAAATTTACAACAAAATCTGCTATTTTAAAACAAAAAAAAAATTTCATCCAATTTCGTTACAAGTTATGTCATCATATCATTTTTATACACCCTATATTCTATTTTCTAGTAAATATTTAAAACATATCGTTATCTCTGTTTTGTCAAAGATAATGACAAGGATGACTATATGTTTTATACAGAGGTTGTGATCTGAGAAACCAAATGTATCATTGCATAGTAACATAATATTTATAAGAAATTAATATGTCCTTCATATAAGTTTGCTTAAATCTGATAAATTAGATAAAGTGAAATAAATAAACATAGAACGTATGTTCTGACGTAACTACAAATACAGTTTTACGGAAAACGTGTTTCATTCATTACACATTTTTATACACTTTATTAATAGTCATCGCTTTTTGGGAAAACGGGAATAAAGTAGCTATAACTATTCTAGATTAGATTACATTCATTATAAACGATTACTTTTTATAGTCCTGTTTAAAATTTGATACACCGTTGGACTTATTTATAATCAGTATGTTTTAATCGACGATTGATGATGATGATGGTGGTGATGATGACGGCAGGTGACAGGTGTGGTGATGAAGGGAGCGCAGCGCATTCAGTTCAACATAGAGTTACGCAACATGGCCAATCTCCCGCAGCTGGCTAAAGTGCGCACAGGAATATTCCCTCTGCTCTGGTTCGATGAGGTAACACTTCAAACTTATCCATTTAAAAACAATACCGTGTAGTAGTTCTATATTGATAATTATGGTTATTCTATTCGTTTCGTTCCCAAAAGTAAAGTTTGCGTCAAATCCAATTATATCAAACCCTATTATAATCATTAAGTATAGGTACTTTGTATTAAAATTCCCTTTTTTAATGATCATTTCAAATGGGCAAATCATATTAACTGGCTCAGTGTATGGATTTCATTTAAATTAAACGGGAACCATTTAAACACACGCGTAACCACGTCCCATTCATCTCAATTTACACTTCTCAATAGAATTAGATACGTTTGTAACACCCAAACTGATTGATATTTAAATCGAATGGTTAATTTACTATATGATACTATACTAAATTGCCAATAATAATTAAATTTATATCAAATTTAACTTTATTTAATAAAATTAACATTCAAATATTCACGATATTATATCAAGAATATATTTAAACACAAATAGAGGCTCGATCTTTTCATATAAATGTCTGAATTTAAAAACGTCACCAAAAAGCCGGAAATTGTGCATTATTACAAGACTTACGGTGGGTTTCTAAGACCAAAATATATTTAAAACATATCGTAACAAATAATAATAGGACAACGGGATTTTAGTGCCAGAAACCCACAGTTAGTGAACAAATACTGATTTCTAGGGTGCGGAAATAACTGAATCTATTCAAGAGGAGCTGAGACACTCGCATACATTGCTGGGGTACGTGGAGACTGTCAGGTGGACTATACTGGTGATAGCTTTTGCTGCAGCTCTCATCTCCGGCGTCGCGCTGGCTCGCTCCGGCGCTGTGCCACACTGTCGCAGGAATAACAGCATCAACTTCATCACACGACCTTCTAAACCTACCTCACTCAGCAAACATTGATATTTAATTATGTCTAGAAGAGATAAAAGATTTTTTTGACTAAAATAAAAAAAATATATAAATTCCTATTTATTTTAAGTGTTAAACATAGAAATACAAATAAAAAAACAAACTATTCCAAATCTTAAAGTGTAATTAATTTTATTGATCAAAGTTCAAAGCAATAACAAAATTTAAAGAATGTGCATCTTCTAGTATTGTTAGTTTAGGAAGAAATGTTAGTATTTTTATAATTGTTGTTTTTTGTGCTTCATTGTTCAATCTCACTATTGTTAAATGTTGCCTTAAAGTTTACGTAACTTTAAATCTTTGACCATGAGTTTCAGAGACCAAAATCTCCTTTTAAAATATTATCTCTGATTTATCAAAGATATGACAATGATGATATGTTTACACAGATTTTGGTGTCAGAAACCCACAGTAAATATTTGTTAAATTGACTCAAAATATTATAAGATAGAAACAGTAAATCAAAACTTGGATAACATATTAAGTACATATTTGTTACCGTGACTTTACACTTTTTAATTGTTTTCACTAAAATGCATACAAAACTAAATTCTCATTTCATTCTTCTTGAGAAAACATAAAATAACAATTTTGAAACTCGGTAGTGGAAGCCGACTCTTATGATGGTTGATATATATAGATATATCTATCAGTAAATCTGTTTGTTAGATAACACGACCGACACAATATATTTATTTTAATATAGTTAAAATGGATCAGGGTAGAGATCAATGTACTGTGTCTTACTAGACTAACTACGGAAGCATCATTTGTGTGATTTAGTTATATTTGTTAATAAAATCTATTTTATATAAACGCATGTTTTATTACCTTTATATCGAATTAAATAATACTGTCCAAATAAATGTTATTTTATTTTAAAAAATAAACTGAAATTAATTTAATTCCTTTGTTTTTGACAAGTAAAGGATTCAACGAATCGAATTATCTTCAACCCGCATTCTCTCTTGTCAATGGCGTTTTGTTTTACGTTTGATACATTGTTCAAGATTACATAAGCCCCGTTTCAATTGTACAATGATTAAAAATACGTATAAGAGCGTAATAATTAAAAAAATAGTTAAAATACTTTGTATGTTTGCAAATTTGTTTTAATATAAAAAAAAACATGTTCAGTGCCACACAATTGTATATGAAAGTGGTGGCACTGAATGTGTTATAAATTATTCAAAACAAGCGCTTAACTTGATGACCTTTAAAAACCTAAATCTAACACAGCAATTGATATAAATGGAAAAGTTTTATGAATGTTATTAGGTAACTCCAAAATGGCGAATTTGGATGAAATTTGGCACAGATATGACTGAAACAACGCTATTACTTGTTATTTTAATTCAGCACGAAGTATGTCGCATACAATACGGTATTAAAATAAAAATGAATATTGTAAGTATAAAATCATTTTATTAACAAATTTATTTAGTCTGTGTCAGAGAAAGTTCCCCGACCGCTGGATTCATTGTCGGTGTCCATCTCGACATCTTCTTGTTTCGGCGCTATCTCAGCTACTGACTTTATACAGCGTATTGTATATTTGTTGAAGTCACATCTGAAAATATTTGAAATATATTATATTTGTAATATATATGTACTTCTAAATATCAACCTTTGAATCAGAGTTTTTTTTTACATTAAGAGTAATCCCTAGTTTACATTATGCCAGTACAGTATAACAGTAGGGCTCAAAAATTAAACACTAACAGCGCATGTAAGCCAAATCTATTTATTCCAGGCCAGCGCTACTGGCCTACTGTACTGGTATAATATAAATCAAGCATTTTCTTGTGACTGACGTCATCGGACTTGAGACGCAGATGACGATTAGTAACCTCGTTTAAGAGTAACGAAGCTCAAGTTTTCGGGCTATTACTTAGTAAACCAGTCATAAAAACTTGAACATAATATACAACTGAGGCCGTTTGGTATTATAAGTGAATTCACATAGTATATTTTATAAGTTTAGTGATTCTTTCCATCTGACAGTGTTATCGTGTTTATCATATTATCACACACTTGACCTTATCGCACGTCGGCGGGTGATTGATGCCCAGCTTTATGTAATGCATGCGAACATGTCTCAGGAGATTTCCAATGGTTTTAAAAAAAAATTTATATTACAATGGAGTCCCATCGAAACCCTCGGCAGAAGACAAGCTACAAGTTATCATAAAACTCTAACCAAATATTTAGATTGAAACACTACTCTAATAACTAAAAAAATTTGGTACCCTTATTTTAGTATATATTATCTTACTTTATATGGAATTTGACGTAACTCCGTTTACGTAATTTATGCTTTCAATCGAAACGTAAGATTTACGTATAATGTGCTTGAATATATAATTTTTTTTTATATCATAAGGTGGCAAACGAGCGAGCGGCCACCTGAAATCGCTGAAATAGCGAAGTGACCGTTGACCATGGACATACGCAATTGCATATGCGTTGCCTACCTTTAATCGACGGAGAAGAGGATGCACAGAATGAAAATATATTCTCTTTCCATGCATCCTATCATCCGGAAAGTCCATTTCCACTTCCCATCCTTTCCTTATAGGAAAGAGGGTGGGAAGGGAAAGAGGACTATATAAGGCCTCCGGGACGCACACTCATCAGACTGTACGCGGAATGGTCGTGGTATTTCACCGGGCGAGCCGGGACAATTCGTGCGAACATGTTAAAGCTCGCTCTACCACTGTTAAAATATTATTATTTTCAATCACTTTTTATTTCCTTAATATTTTACTACGGAAGAGATATAATATTAATATGATAAATCTACCCTAATGGAATTACTAGCGGTCGCCCGCGACTCCGTCTGCGCGGGATAAATTAAAAACATTGTTATTAGTCTATGTGTTCTTCCAGAATATATTCTTCCGTTCCAGACATACCTTCAATCAAACATCCATCCATCCATAAATTCGCTTTTATAATATTAGTAAGAAGTAAGATAGAACTCTGAGTGCGATTTATTAAAATTGTAGATTGGGGAGGTGAATAATTAATAAGATATTTATCTTATAAAACAGTAATTTGAAACAATATTCTGCGAGTATTGTTCAATGAAATTTCGACTTAAGATGTTATTAGCGGAAACTTCTTCGAATACAAAGTCAGTATTAGTAACTTTGACTTCCGTAATCTTATTGAATTAAAAAAAAAAGGTTACAAAAGTAAATAAATGTAAGATATTTTGTGTTTACACAATAACAGGAAGACAATTGCTCAATTGAATCAATATATTAGAAATCTGTTTTCATAGGAAACAACGGAGTGGTAGTTTAGTAGTGTTTTTTCGGACCGATTGATCGGTAGGTAGTAGGAATCGCAGTGGACTTAGCACGAATATTTATGAGAATATTTTCGTAAAGTCATTAATTTTTGTAATAAAATTTATGCAGTGGCAAATTGTCGTGACTTTGTGTCAACGTGACGTGTCGCGTGTCGTGACGTGACGCGACCTTCACGTAGCAGCTGATGTGTTACGTAACGCTGTCAGATGATTGACCCCAATTGAAGGAAGACTTTTAAATTGTTTGATCTCTTGTTAAATTGATATATTAACATTTTATTTTATACAAAATAATTTCTTAATGTTACTTCATTAATTTATTTCTCATTTTTCATATTTTCATTTCATGAGTCATAAGTCATGGCGGCATTTTCAAATGGCGGCCATTTTGAATCATTCAAATTCTGTTCTAAAAACCCCTTTATTTGATACTCAGTTCGCATCCTTCATTAAAATACATGGCCGATAAAAACCATACAACTCGGCTGCTTTCTAAGAGGTCGTCCATCAAATCTTTAAAACATTAGTACATATATTTTATTCACTAAATTTACGTGGTTAGTAAGAAATACACGTGATATCTTACTTTAAACCCCCCCCCCCTCCTCACCCCCCCCTTAGAACATGACGTGATGAAGAGATGAACTTACATCTTGCTCAAGTGTGAATATTTAAGAGTGAGGACTTTCTCGAGGGCGAGCAGCACGGTGTGCGGCAGACGTCCCCCGGCGAGGAGGGCGCGCGCCCACACCAGCAGGTGCTCGAGGTGTCGGCTGTCCTGCAGCAGGCGCGCCACGCTGCCGCCCACACGCTCGCGGTACTCCTCTTCCAGGTCCCGCACTGTCAGCTCGACTGGAGAACGTGACAAACATATGCCTTAAATACGATTACCTCAAGCGTAGCATTCTTTTAAACTGTACAAAGAAACATTTTAATTTAGTTTTAAAGTTGATGCGTTAAGTACAAAAAAATTACAAAATTCAATCCATAATCGTAATTTCTAATAATAGCTCAGAGCCACTCAGAATGGTTAATAGTGCGCTAATAGTATATCCACGCTAAGGATAACAACTAAACGATTATGAGTGTGGTAGTAGACATAGGAACTGACTATCAGCTGGTGGTATGGCTTCGACACACTGCTGTATGAGATGGTGCTCGTTGAGCTGCAGCGCGCCGAGCAGTGCGCGGCCCCAGCTGCCCTCTTCTAGAAGACTCTTCACCGCTGCAGGAGTAGACCCAGTCTCCAGCCGGAACGGCCTATTGTACATTTACTATCTTATTAATATTATAAATGCGAATGTATCTATGTATGTATGAATGGATGAACGTTTGTTAGCATGTATTTCCAGAACGGCTGCATGAATCCCGCTCAAATTTGGCAAAGCTATAGAAAATAAAAATGGCAGAACTCATAAACTACTAATTGTTTTTTATTTCGTGCGGACGGAATCGCAAGCGACATCTAGTGTATAATATAGTCAGAAAAACAGTTAAGCGGCTTAACAAAGTGTTTTAACACCGTCGCGGGTGACAGCTGTTCTCAGTACACAGCAAAGCTATAAAATATAAGTTTGTGTGTATGTTCGTGTCACCTGAATGTGCCATCAAGACCGGCGTTCTGAGTGTACACGAGCAGGCCCTCTGTGGCAGCCACTGCAAAGCTCTCTCCGGTCGGCGAGAACCGCACACATTGCACGCGCACCTGCATATAACAATATTTATATTACAATTAAATAAATAAATTATTATTAAATGTATGTAATTATATATTTCGAATATTTTTTTAAATGTTTGCAATTAAATTAAAAAACAAGCGGTACCATAAACAATACATTTTATTTTTAATCTATGTCTATGATTCATAAATTCTTTATTATTTCACAAAGAAAGAGATAATGTGTTGTTATACATGTTTCAGCTATGTAAACATGATGACGAGTGTTACCTCAGGCTTGATGTTCCTCTCGGCCATGTCTCCGGCCTGCACACCTGGCAGCCGCACTCTCACGTCGCCGCCCTCCAGCTCGCCGCGCTCCTCCACCAGCGCCATGTTCCCGAACTCTGACAGCAGACGACGGTTCACCACATCCTGAAGACGAATGCTTTTATATAAATTAATTAAAAAACACCAGTTGATCTTCTACACGACACTAGTCAACCATCTCATTTGATAACCATATTGAGGTGTTTGTACAAAATACGTCATCCTCCATTTTGAAATGGCGGCCATCTTGGATTTATTCATAATACCAGTATGTTTGTGAGTATTGTAGGTTTTCACAAACAAATATGACAATATCGTTTTTTATCTTGAAATTTTTGAAGAAAATTATAGCCTAATTTAGTTTTCGTTATAAACATAATATGAATAATGTAGTATGTTACACTGATGGCATCGAGCGATCTGTTCTGCGTGATGACAAACTTCTTGATGAGCACGGCCTCCTTGACGCTGTAGAGACACACGTGCTTGGAGTTGCCGCCGCCCAGCACGCTGTTGCCGTCCGCTGAGTAGCAGATTGTTGTGAATGCTCTGAAATTAATTAACTAATATTATTTCAACTAATATAAACATCTCATTTAAATTTTGAGAATATTTTTTTTTAAAATTATTTATATGATTCGACCACACCAGAGAACTGTAGATACGTTGTCAGGTTTAAAATGAAGACTTACTTAGATTTGAGTTGTTGTTTAGCGGTGACGAGGTCTGTGTCAGCGCGCCCGGAGCCGAGGTCGTTGCGGCCCTCGATACTACTGGTCTGCTCGCAACTGGTCGCGTTGAAAAACGTTATATTACCGTCCAACGTCGACACCGCAATCTGGACCGTAATAAATAATAAGACACAATTTTCATTGAAAAATACGACTATACATTACATAATGGTTGTCAACTCAGGGGTACTGGGTTCGAATCTCGATGTACCAATGTGTTTTTCAATTCACATATGTACATTTATCAACAAATGTTATGGTGAAGGAAAACATCGTGATGCAACCCACCTGCATTTGGCCAGCGTAGTTGACTATGACCTAGGCACTTGGTGTAGCGTAGGAGCCTCAAAGTGGGGACTCAAAGTGTGATTAAGTTAACTTTATAATAATACCTCTTCACCATCCGGCCTGTATGCGACTTGAAGTGCGTCAGAGGTGAGCTGTATGACCTCGCAGTCAGTACTGGTCTCTATACAGTTCCAGAGACGCACTGTCTTGTCCCAGCTGGCGGACACGAGCCGGGAGCTGGCTAATGTGGGGCTGAAGGCCAGGCTCACCACCGGAGCCTCGTGACCACTCAGCACCTGCAGGTCACAAAGAGGTGAGGGTAGTCAAAGAAAAATTACGCATTGGTTAGAACTATTGTTACTCTATTTTATATTTTAATTTTTATAAATAAAGATTTGTCATTTTTTATTTAAAATTGCCACAGTGACGCATCTGGAGTTTCTAAGTTATAGACCAACAAGGATGTCTGAACCGGTGGGTATAAGTGAAACTAAATTAAAAGAGCTCACTAGCGCCACACTGTCAATGTCAAAGAGTGTCACAAAATAGTGCTATAACTGTCATGCCGCTGCCGATAGCAGCGCCTCTCTCACCGGTTCAGACATCTTTCGATTAAATTAAATATTTTGAATTTATTATTTATTTTGAAATCAACTCTACTGTCTCTAATTTGATAAACTCCTGACTTCGATCTTTCATTTGACACAATCATGAGCAATCACTAAGGTATGGTACTGACATCGAGCAGCTTGCCGAACTTGAGGGACCAAAGGAATATCTCGAAGACATCCTGTCCCCCGGCGGCGCACAACTCGCTGCTGGAGTCCAGCGACACGCACCCGAACTGCACCAGGCTGGGAGACGTCAGTGTGCGGAAGTTGCGGTACCTGGACAAAACATATACAAAACTAGTCATTACTCAAAAATATATACAAATGCAACAACAAAAATTACTATTTTCTAATTTATTATAAGTTTTTTAATTTTGTCACTGTTTTTAATTTTTAAATATTTAGGTAATGAAGTAAATTATAGGGAGCCTATAGTTATAATACTCATTAACCGTGGATTTCTGAGACCAAAATTTCCATTTAAAACATTTTATTACGATTATTTTTACATATGTTTACAGGGCTTTTGGTCTCAGAAACTCATGATAAATGAGCCACAATATAGTTTGCCAAAAAGTGGAATAACTACCACGATTGCTGCCAATTTCAATTCTACCAGTTTCACTCTACCTGCTATTCTTTAAAGCCTTACCTTGTCAAATCATAGCACCTGACAGTGCCATCAAGCGATGAGGACACGAAGAACTTCTTGTTGGGGCTGAAGACAATACTGGTGACGGTGGAGGAGTGCTCGCTGAAGGTGACGAAGCAGAAGCCGGAGGAGGTGTTCCACAGTTTGACTTTGCCGTCGTACCCGCCCGTCACTATGTACTGCCCGTCCGGTGAATACGCCACGCACGTCATGTCCTGCGAGTGACCTTGTTGCTTCATCACGTATTGCTCACCTGGAATAAGTCATAATATATCATTCAAACTCATTTATTGTGCGTTTCTGAGACTAAAATCCATGTTTAAAATATATTGTTACGTCGATTTTGTTAAAAATAATGACAGGGATGGCTAATCGCTATTATAACACGATGATTGGGGGAGGATTGATTACCAATTTAGGAGAGGCTTAACTTACATGGAAATCAATATCAATAATTTTTTTTTAATGCATACTATAATTTGTTAAAACAAAAAATTTCTCCTTCTTGAAGTTGGATAAAAAAAAATGTATTTTATACTAACTCTGCCACTCCCAGACGAGCAGCTGTCCGATGTGGGGGCAACCGAACGCGACCCAGTCCCCCTGCGGCGACACCGCCACGCTGCTGATGCGGTGCTCAGACACACTCAGAGTGTGCACTAAGTTCACATCCGGCATCTCGTGCAGGAAGAACACGCCATTTGAGAAACCTAGTATATTCACCTAATTAATATCATACATCCTTATTGGACATCTGCCGATGTTTATCCACAGTTGCAGATGCGTTGTCTAACTGTAATCGACGGGGGAGTGGACGCACAAAAAGAGAAAGTTGTCCCTTCCCATGCGTCCCTTCCTCCAGGAAATACACTTCTCTTTCCACCATCTTTATAATAATATTTATTTTTAACCTGATTACAAAAATCCATGTAATAGCATTTGAGATAAAGCCCCAAATAGAAAAAAATAAACTAAGAACTTGGTTTGCAACAATTACATACTAGATTTTATGAAGTAGGGTAGTTAAATAAAAATAAAATTTCACCTGTGATCAACATTTTAGTAGCTTTGTGGTACTGCGCAGCTGTCAGCTTCACCCTGTAATTGGCATTCCGTATTGCATCTCCTATGTAATGTCGTCCCAGTTTCGTGAAAACCAATCTCTTTTCTTCCTTTACTTTGATTTCTTCTTTAGTACTTTTCTTATCATCGTCACTCTGCTACAAAACATATAAAAATACAACAAATAAATTATTTTATAACTATGGTAACAACTAATAGTGGAATATGCCAGCAACGACATTTGTTGCACAAAAGAAGTGGACTTAACAGAGGAGGGGACGCATAGGTAAAGTAAAGTCCTCTTCCTATGCGTCGATTAAATTAGGCAACGTCCATTAAAAGTAGGCAACGCATCTGCAATTGCGAATGTCTATGATCTGTGGTCGCTCGGCAATTTCAGTTGGCTGCTAGCAACCCTATAGTATGAAAATGTTATGTTTTCTTACTTTTTTAATTCCTTAATATAAATTAAACTTACATAATCCTTGTCTTTTTCAATAACATTTTTTTCATCAATATCATCTTCACTATCATCTGCCTTTTGCAGTTTTCTTCGTTTTCTATGCGATATTTGTACTTCCGATACAATCAAGTCATCGGGGTCTATACTAGCCTCCCACAAACAAACCTGTCCGTTCCTACTCACAGTTATCAAATCCAAGCTTTTTCTCTCAAAGAATACACCAACAATCTTATCTGTATGTCCTCCTAACGAAAACATGTTAATATTGTCCAAATAGTCAACTGTATAGATTTTCGTTGTTGTATCTTTTGAGCCAACCGCTAATAGTTTTGAACATGTTGACCAGTCTAAGCATGTTACATCATCATATGCCTTTTGATAGACTCTCTTCATGACAAAAGAACGGAATTCACCTGTGTAACTGGTTGGTGCTGTCATTATGAATACTGAAATTTGATTTAACATTTTATTAAAATTATATGACATAGATTTTATAATAATAGCTAATAATAACTTTATAACAATTACAGTGTTGCCATTTGCTACAAATGAAGTTACACATCTAATATATCTTGAAATCTTCTACACAAATATAGTAAAGATAACTTTTTATTAAATTAACTATAATAAATAAATATAGTAATGTCACCTGTATCACCACAACAAGCTGCAAAATATTTTCCATCTGGACTAAATTTGACCGCATTTACTTGCTGTTTGAATTTATATTTGTGTATTACTGAGCATGTCACCAGACTTATCATTTGTGCTTCACCCTCTGAAATCAACAAAAAATGTTTGACATATATTGTTGCAAAATTGCCACAGGAGATTTCTAAAGACTGGCAACTTAAGAACCTTAAACCAGCTTAGAACTCCTCCTACCAATGTTTAGTTCTACTTCTTTCTGGCTAGCATCTTACATGGTGCTGGAGTCTGCTTACCCTTTTTACTTCCTTCCATTTTCTTTTATCCTCTACATCTTTGTTACTGACTTAGCAGTAGACATATATAAATCAGCTTTGAATAGACTTGAACCTTATCAACACCTAAACTGGTAGCTCACAGCTCATGACAAAGTACTATAGCTATGTGAGCCATCAAGAAGCAAGCCTAGTGACTCATAGTAATGCAAAATGTAACCTTCATTGACAAAAATTGTTTATACAAATTGAAATGAGCTGAGCTTCGCATATGTGAACTGTGAGCTCAACTGCACTTGGGTTACCCATGACTATTTTGAAGGCTTGGTACTATTGAATATGAGTAAACACACTTACTTTCATTAATAGCCAAGAGAACAGATCCATTTGGTGAGACATCTATAGCAGTGTAATTGTAATGACTTTCCACAGATAATGTGATGTTTTTGTTTCTGGAAAAATAGTGGTATTTATCATCATACATTAAACCATATTAAAACAACATATCAGTAATGAAAAAAATATATAGATCGTAAACTTTTCTTTTTTTTTCTATTATTTAAAAGACAGTTTTTCCAGCCATTGCCATAAGTTGTTACATCTTTGGTTTGTATGTTAGTAACTTATTTGTTGGTAATACTTATTTAACTTACTGTTTTAAATTGTAAACTGTAATCCTGTTTCCCACAGGACTAATGACACTATTCCCGTCATGACTAAACACAATATCTCCTTTTCTATAGACTGTTCCCAGAAGGTTTTGGAACTGAAAAAAAGTATTTTTTACAGATAAGCTCAATTTTGAAATACTAAAATATCGCATATTACTTTGATGGTCAATATATTAATTTTAGTTGACAGTTACTATTATAAAGAAACAATAAAACAACTTGATTAGAGAGCACCACTTTTTAACCTATTTTAAATTTTATTGGAATTATTTAAGACATGGAAATACTAGTAAATTACCAGGAACTTACCTTATAATTAAACTTCATACTTGCAATCACTAGAATATGAACTTATCATTTATAATTTAAACAGACATGAATGTTAATGCATCTGAGAAACAAAAACAACGTGAAATCCACATGATATTTGACAGCTGACAGTTGACAAATGCTGTTGACAGTCAAAGCTGACATTTTCTCTGACAGGTAAAACAATGACTAAAAAAGGGTAACATTTAATTATTTTCTAACATTCAAAGTATTCTTCCTTTAATCAATGCTCCAAAATAGTATAACTTATTTTATTTTTTATCACTGGTGAATATAAAAAACAATTACAATATAATTTCCTAGCGTAAACTCAAAGTTTACGTCTTCACACCAACGCTTTAAGAACTGTGGCAACTATATTGATTTTTCAAAAAAACATCTTTTTATTTTTTTTTTAGAACATTAACAACTTTAACATTGTAATAGATATTTCATTCCAAATAATTAAATGAATCATAATTTTTTTAGTAGCCATTTTTACTTTTTTCCATTTCTACAGCATTAAAAATTTGAAAAAAGTATTTCAACGATCAATCTGCACATGCGCAAAATAAATCTGCTGGCCAGCGATCCACATCAATGTTGGACGTCACGTCGCTGCGAAATCTCTAGCTCGTGATTGGTTGCGCTTTTCGGAAGTGACGTAACAAAGCCAATCAGATCTTGGGGCATATCGAGCACTGCCTTGAACATCAATCGTCATATGACCCATTCTATCGAGTCTGCAAAGCTTGGGCCATATTTGTCTGTGCTGAAATAGTTCCGTGGAGTGAGTGTGTGCAGATAGTCATCACAGATTTTGGGACCTGTAAATACTCCCACACAACACATTCAAGATGTCTTCTGGGCCAACCGCTGATAGTCCCATCTATGGACCCTTCTTTGGAGTTATGGGGGCGGCGTCCGCTATTATCTTTAGCGGTAAGCATGAAATATATCTTATTTGTAATGGCTGTCTCGGGTCGTTATCGATCTTCAAATTTTGGCACGATAGACATTCTTCATTTATTGATTGCTTATTTCATTGTTTATTGAAGTAACCAACGTTAGAAAATTGGAAACTGGTTATTTTAAGAGTACTAATTATAGTTACAGCATCACCTTGTTTCTGTCTAGACTATACGTAGTTAATTAGTTTGCGTAAAGTATTGATGTTTCATGGCATTCCAGGTTTAAAATATTGGAGGGCGTTACTTTTTCATAAAATGTGAATCATTTATCATGTGACTGATAAATATGTTGGTAGCATTGATATAATACAAGGGAAAAAACCTTTGTTGAAGTGGAATTTCACATTACTCGCAATCCAATTTGAGTATGGTTAGTTGCCGGCTGTAGTATTTACGGCCTTATAACTAAAGCTGAATGGTTGAAATTCATATGATTACGATTTAGCATTGAATGTCTTTACCCGTGACCGATCGAGCGCGTATTCAATGAAAGTAAAGTTAAAATCTTAAGACACAACAAAATTAGAGCAATGTTGACATGGGCGTGGTAATAATTTATGGAATGTTAGATTTGTTCTGGCTACATTGTATAGATTTGACCTATATAAAAATTGTGACCTATTTTCTGTCTACGTTTTGAGCACTGGCGGCGGCGCTACTTGTGGGAAAAATCAATAAGTTGAATCACATGATAACTTCATCATGTGACCAGTCAGCTGCTCATCTTGTAACTTAACCCAAATGTCTATGGTTAAGTAACAAGTCCAAATCATAATTGTTATATCATGAGTAATTGAAAAATCATGTGATTACTTCAAATTTTTAATAATCTTTGGATTATATCTTGATTATCTTACAAATATGTCTTGGACCTATATTACATAATTTTTATAACATCAATTACTTACAATTTAACACAATTAGGTTCCAGTAAATATAACTACACAGCCCTTTTATTATATTCAAGTTATACTGGATTGCTTTATCATTGACTACATACTTCTGGATATCAAGTAGATACATCAATTTACTAAACTTATTGAATAATATGAATACCAGTGGCAATTGCTATATATACCATGACATAAAGATCAATAAGCTAACAGATTTCATAAATATGAAAACCCTATTTTAAACATCACATGACAGAAAATCCCATCTTTAATTGAACTTTATCTTGTAACAGCATGGTGATAGCAAAATACAAATGGATATTGTCTCGTATTTTAGTAAAATTACAGTGGATTTACATACTTTATTCCAAATTTTACATTCATATCTATATTAAAGTTCTCACACAATTAAATGGTTTGGGTGAAGTCTATTACTCTGGTTCTCTGGTGGGAGTATAATCTCCATGTTTATATAACAAATCACATGTGAATCAAATATCAACTTTTAATAAAATAATTAAGACAAAATCCAGCAGATTAGAAAAACTCTTAAACAAATATTAAATATTGGCTAATTTGATGAAAAGATTTAATACATCTTTCATCTTTGGACGGATGGATAGGAGTAAGATATGAAAATGAAGTTTATAACATTCTATTTCATGCACATAATATAACTGAATCTGTCTATTAATAAATATACTCAGATTTATTGACAACCTAAAAATGCATTTGCTAGGATTATACAACTGTCATTTTATAATTAATATTCAGAATAGTACACATCTTTAAAAATTAAAAGATGTTTAACACATTAGTTGTCAAAGAAAAACTATTTGATATCTCTTGCAAAGTTCATCACTTGCTTCTAACATTCTATATCCATACTCTAACCAATTTAAACTATTGCAAATTATATTTGCCTTGTGGGTAACAAGGCAAATATAATCTGCAATAGTCTCTCTGAACTGTGTATATGCCAGCATCATACATCAGAAAACAATTTATAGTTATTATCATAACATCCTGTTTCAAGCCATACTAACACAGTTTTACCAGATCATTAGTTACAACAAAAATTATGATTGTATTTTCAGCGCTGGGAGCTGCATATGGTACCGCTAAGTCGGGTACCGGTATCGCCGCCATGTCGGTGATGCGGCCTGAGTTGATCATGAAGTCCATCATTCCCGTTGTCATGGCGGGTATTATTGCCATCTACGGTCTGGTCGTAGCTGTGCTGATTGCCGGCTCCCTGGAAGCCCCACCTGCGTACAGCCTCTTCAGGTAATTAGCATTTGAAGTCTAGGTAACCTAACTTCATTGCCAGCTTTCTGCCTAACTGATTTATGATAGATATTTTGTTCAGATCATTTTGTCCATTTCCCAAATATAGGCAAATACAAAGATTATAGATTATTTTTCGTAATCTTAGCACTACTGATCCATAACAATAATTTTAACAGTTAGTCTTCACAGGCTATAATATTTCATGGTTGATCATATTTCCTGATATAAGAGGCCTTGATTTGAAAATGTTACAATGACATAAAGCAAGGTTAGAGGAAATTATAGCATTTAAACTTTTTTTTAAATGATTAGTGTCACAATATAAATAAGTTGTTAGACCAAAACAAACTGTGTTGCACACATTTTTCTGACAAAGTTAAACTACCACAGATTGCACTTTAACGCCATTCCTATGTAAATTACAAATTTGTTGCAGTCTTAAATTAGGAAGTAATGCAATATATATTCATACTTTTCTGTTACTTTTAAATGAGTGAAATGATTTTGTAAATTATATACTATTGATAAAAATAGTTTGACCATCAATCAATTCTTGATATGGATATAAAATATGTACCAAGAGATTAGTAATTTACTACTTGCCTACTACTACTCATGAAAAATATTGAATTAAATACATTTTAATCATATTGTATTCCTTTATCTAATATGTTTTAAGTGTTTAATGTACTTAAAATATGAATTTTGTAATTGCAGAGGTTTTATCCACCTTGGAGCCGGTCTCGCTGTCGGCTTCTCTGGTCTGGCCGCCGGGTTCGCCATAGGCATCGTGGGTGATGCCGGTGTCCGCGGCACAGCGCAACAGCCCAGGCTATTCGTCGGAATGATCCTTATCCTCATTTTCGCCGAAGTGTTGGGTCTATACGGTCTCATCGTCGCCATCTACTTGTACACGAAGCAGTAAATCTGTACACACCACCTCGTGCCGTGGAGTTCTACGCATGGAGAATGTTCTCGACGCGCGCACAGGGACGTCGTCGCCGGTAGCGGGGCGTAGAGCTCCACGGCAACCCCATCCTGTATAGTATAACCTGATTAACTTCTCCACCTCTTCGCACTTCTCCGGCGTGGCGTCGCCATGATGCTGCGGTGGCGTCCCGCCTCGAGACCGCGATCTGTATAAATAATTTTTCTATTCAAATTTTTACTATATTGCTTCGAGTCCCAATCATGAGTTTCAAACGCTACCGTGCGATGACGGAGTAATTTATTGTTAAGTTATTTATCTGCCAAGTTTTAATTTGTTGTGAAATAATTTCACGGAACCCCCCCTCGCTCCGACTTGTATGTTTTGCGCGTTTTGTCCCCCCAAACGAATCAAATTACGTCTGACGATATATATCAATTTTAGATTATTTTAGCGATAAGGCGAAACTAATGTACAGTTAGAGTAGAAAATTAAGTCCAAACAAGTTATCTTAAATAATTTATGAACCGTTGAAGCCCCGGGGTACCATGTACCGCTATCTTTGCAACTGAGAATGTTAGGTTGGACCTGGCTTAGTATCGCGCTGCGGCTTTCGGTGTTATAGTGGGTGTATTGTATACTGTTATTGTACTGTTACTATCCATATTGCTGTTGCTAAGTGACTTTACTGCGACCTAAGTATCAAAGCCGGTCACAAACGATGTATTGCCAGGAATCAGTTAATAAACATGATTTGTACATTCCAGATTATTTTGTTTCTACTTGTTTTGTGTTTTATTTTCCTCTACATTTGATATAAGCTTCATGACATACCGCTGTCGTTCTATATTAAAAACTATTTATATACTATAATAGTAGACTTTCTGATGACTTACTATATGAAATATATTTCAAAGTATTTTTATTATGTATACCTCATAGTCGAAATGTTTGAATGATTATAAATTGGTAAGTAAATAGGTGAAATTGTAATTTAGGTTTCATGTTAGAGAATGTTATAATATAATCTTTGGTGTTATTGAATGAATTGTGTTAATAAAATATTTTAAAAATTATTCTAAGTTATCAAGTCTTTATTCTCACACTTTTATTTGAATTATTTTTTCATTGAATAAGCTGACCCTGAAAAACTGAACAATTTTAGCTATAAATTACAAATTTTAAAATTAGTTGTTAAAACTTTATATTTGGATTGGTCGAAAAAAGCTATTATAATAAAGAAATGACAAAGTTAATTTCTGTTCCTACAGAAAAATAACCTAAAGAAGCCCATTGCCGGAAATCTTGTGATACTAACACACCCTTAAATAACTCAGAAGACAGTAACTTGTGATTATTTAGGGCATTGGAATTTTACAGTTATCAAATACACAAGAGCACAAAAGTGCTTGCAATCGATACATATATAAAGGGCTTTATTTGGCTTGGATTTCATGAATACAAGCTGGTTCACATTTTATACATATCCTAATAATCAACGTATACCCTACCTGGAAACCCACTGTTACGACTGCTCGGGTACCTGGGCCCACATCTGATTGAGAAAAGGACGTGCACTGGTTTTCCGCCGCCTCTTACGGCTAGTCCTGTGCGAATTTGCAAGTAGTCATAAATTTAGATGGACATCTAAGCTACTAAAGTAATCTCATATCGGTGATTTTTAATACTTCAGAAACTCATCAGTCACTAAATTTTTTTCGCCACTCCTTGCTCCGCTTTCAGCGCTCGACAACCAGTCGACTAGCATCACTTTTTCCCTTCGAACATTTCTTCCATGCTCAGGAGGTTCATTTAATAGGAGAAAAATGGATTGGAACGGGATAAAATAATTCAAAGTGATAAACGATACAAAATTTGGGTTTGGTGATAGTCAAATACTAGCCGAGTGGATGCAAAATTGATCTGGGTGTCCGTCCCACTCCGAAAGGATGTTTACAAACAAGCCGTACTACATTGTTCATTAGAAATATAAATTGCTCGTGTTAAGTTTGGCTCTGTGGAGAACTCGAATTAAATATCTGGCTATGTTTGTTTGTCTGTAGCTGATCACAGATTAAATTTGTTGACATTGACAGTTTTTTTTATCAAATTCAATTCAACATTGTTGGCGCTTGGTCATTGGTTTCGCTTTTTCGTTTGTAGTTTTATAAAATTCTCGAATAAAACTTAAAATGAGATTTAAACATTACTTGATTTTTACAATAGTGTTAACATTCTATAAAATTGATGCACAAACTCGTGCAAAAGGAGTAAGTAATGTCTGAAATTGTAATCGCCCGGCGATTGTTCCTTAACTTTTCCTGACTGTTGGTTTTTTTCAGCTTGAAGAGAAAGTACAACAATTGACTGATTTAACAGCAAAGAAGTCGATAATATCTTTAAATTACAACCGATTCAAGGATTATGTGAAGGCTCCACCTAGGGATTATTCATTTGTTGTGATGTTCACTGCTATGGCTCCATCAAGACGCTGTGCTATTTGTCAACACGTTTATGATGAATTTTTAGTCGTGGCTAACTCATTCCGATTTTCACAAATTTACAATAACAAACTATTCTTCGGTATGGTTGACTTTGACGAGGGGTCAGATATCTTTCAAATGGTAAGTATGGCTGAGACATTGAACCAAAGAAGTATCAAATATTTCTAGCTAATTTATATTTTAGAACAGTAAATTAATTTGACTAACAAAAGTTTATTTTATGCTGCACTACACACACAAATAAACAATTTCTGTTTCCAGCTGCGTCTGAATACGGCACCAGTAATCATGCATTTCCCAGCAAAGGGTAAACCAAAACCTGCTGATTCTATGGACTTTGAGAGAGCTGGTATTCATGCTGAGGCTATCGCTAAATGGATACAAGATAGGACTGATGTGCAAGTAGGTAGTTTCCAATATTAGCAGGTTCAGATTACCAAAAAAGCTTTATACATACTTAACAATAAAGACACAATAGAATTTTATAATAATAATTTGATGAAAACCATTAAATAAAATATAGTTTAACTAGATGCATTGACTTCAGTACAGTACCATGACAATATTGTGTGAAAACAAGAGTTTACTGGAAAAATGTTTCAATCTTTTACAAAATGTTTTTCAATCTATTACAGATCAGGGTGTTCAGACCACCAAATTACTCAGGTGCAGTGGCGGTTGCTACGCTGTTTGCCCTAGTAGCGGGATTCTTGTACCTCCGTAGGAACAACCTGGAGTTCCTCTACAACAAGCAGATGTGGGCAGGAGCTGCTTTGATGTTCTGCTTCACAATGGTCTCTGGCCAAATGTGGAACCAGATTAGAGGACCTCCATTCTACCATCGCTCAAAGAATGGTCCTGTTTATATTAATGGAGGCTCTCATGGACAATTTGTTTTGGAAAGTTACATTGTTGCTGCTTTGAGTATCCTTTTTAATGGTTTATTTATTCCTCAACTTTACTATGCAAAATATTTATATAATAAAAAACTTTTTTCAAAGCAAAACATCATCTTATAAACTAAATTTCGAGACAAGAGCATTTAATGTTTGCTGCTTTACTTTGATTAAGGTATTAACTAAATGAAAACTGTTTATAGCCGGCCCATAGACTGACCTTGATCATTATCCGTTGCCATGGTTATAACAGAGGTTACTAGCTGACCTTTCAATAACTATTGTGACCTTAATTCAACAAACTCAGATTGCTCAGTGGTGGTGGGCATGATTGCAATGATAGAAGCTGCTGGAGGTGTCAAAAACTCGGATGTTGTCCGATCCCAGGTTGACGGGAAGAAACGAAGATTCCAATCTGTTGTAGGACTTATATTAGTATGTGTGTTCTTCTCTTTGCTTCTGTCAGTGTTCAGAGCAAAGACGCAAGGTTATCCTTATAGGTAAGAATTTTTTATAAGTATTTTTATATGACTATAAATAATTACTTTCATTTTGTTGATAGAATTAATTTTTATGTTACTATATCTTACATCATATTATAAATGCGAATATATGGTGAATGATAGAAGGTATCTCAAGAACGGCTGCATGAATCTTGCTGAAATTTTGCATAAATGTAGAACATAATCTGCAACAACACATAGGCTACTCAAGTTTTCGAAGTCGACATTAAACTAATAACCATTGGTTTCTGATACTAAAATTTCTGTATAAAACATATTGTCATCCCTATGGGGATTTTGGACTCGGAAACCCACACTTATGCAGTTTGTTTTTATGAGAATTTTTACTAATACTTGTTATTTCTTTTGTTGCAGTTTTTTATTTAAATAAAAGAAGAGTGAAATATTTTATTTATATAGTGTGCAATTTCACCTATCTGTTTTTGACATAAATATAAGTTTAAATAAATAAGTTGTTACTTTTATTACGGTCTGATTTATTAATTTTAAATTCTGTATCACTTAATGTATCTCATGTAAAATACAACAAAAACTTCATCCTCCAGCTAAAGAAAATGAAGTTAATTAAAGACAATATAATAAAAATTAAAACAAGTTCTATTTGATACAAAATTATTTTATTTAAATTATAAAACTGGCCATGTATCGTACATTATGGTATACTGAATATTTATATAAATATTGAAACTATACCATGTTTGTGGACAAAAAAATACCTTGGTAACATACCACTAATTAACAAAAAATATAATGGCGATAAAAAGTAAAAATAAAATAAGTTTATTCAAAATAAAAGCAGTAAAAAACGTAACGAATACCGCTCATTAATTATCACACAAAAAGTTTTACAATAAATAAGGGAATATTGCTGTTCTGTTTTTTGGATAATCTTTGAATGTCCTCTTGTACCATTCATGGGCGTGCACCGCGGACTGAATCTGAAACAAGGGTTTCTCATGTTCAATCTTCACTGTGATTGTATTGCGACAATATTGCCTTCCCTCTCATTCTCTTAGAAGAAACAGAGATAGCAATAGTGTTATCGGTAGAAGGTTCGGGCGATCGCCCACTACTTCGCGCTTCCAGGGGCCTCACGTCTTAAGCTGAAATTTATAGAGCAAACGTCGATTTTGCTCAGATTTATCTTACGAACTATTAAAAATTAGCAGTTCGCCACTTAAGGGCCTATATACCTACAGCATATTATTATTATTCTATGTATCCATGAAAATAATGCGTTTTGAGATTTTAATCTAGAGAAAGTAAATCTTGTTCAAACTGACCTGATTACAGAAAACCCAAAAACACATGATGAGCATCGTCCTTGTGGGCGTCAGTGTTGCCAACACAACGTATAAGACGATCTCGCATAGTCTATGCGGACTGGAGACGATGTCGAACATTTTACCGCGAGGTATTTTGTGCGCCTCCGTCACTACCGCACCCGTCTTGTCTCTACGTAAGTTCGCAAGCACCACGTTGCTATTGTACTGCCCGTATGAAGCGAGGAGGAATAGAAGTATGCAAGGTACATACACTAATTTCGTCCAGTCGTCCGTCCATTGGATATCCCCTTTTTGTTCCCCTGAAATGCAGTACCAACATAACATTACTACCTACTGCCTACGATTTTAGTGGGTTGGTAAATTATAGACCTGGTTTAAGGAAAATAGATGAAGATTCAAATGCATATTTATATTGGGTTTCGAATTAGTCGACAAATAGAACTTAGTCAAGCTTTTAGTGAGCTTAGTTAGCTAATTGTAGTGGTCAAAATAGCAAATTAAAAATAATCTCTTTGATTTCAAAGTGTTAGTAAACTTACCACAAAACAACGGCGCTTGTCCAACTGCGATCAGTATGAGGGCAGCGTAATGGACAAAAGCGGTACCGTAGAAAAAGAGGTTGATCTTGCTGGTGCGAGCGAACACTTGCAGCTTGTGCGACTCGTAACAACGTCTACAGCATTGTAACGTCAGCAGGCTAAGGGTTAACAATGCCGCCATTGCTGATACTGGAAATTGAGTCATAAAAAAGATCGGCTTTCAAGACCGTACTACACAATCCTGACACATCTTTCTTGCTTCTAAAATATTAAAGAAAAAATATTTTTGTTTAAATGCTAAACGGGTTACGATAATTTCTTGCGATTAATAAGCGGCAGACTAATGGTTAAGTAGGATCACCAATAGCGGTCGCAATCAAAAACAACGTTTGACAATTACCATGTACCATATTCTAGCACAATCTCCAAGCTTATGTAGAATGGAACGATTTACTGTTAAGGGTTTAAAAAGCGACATAATAAAATGTGATTGCGTGGATGAACAATCATATCGACATACTCACATTTAAAATTGCAACCTTTTGCGCAAAAAGAGAAAGCAAAATTGCTGTCTTAAATATCTTAGGTCGGTAAAAAAATTAAAGGTTCGTATACTTTTCAACGTAAGACAATAATGTTAAGTTATATGAATGTAGTTTATGGTGTCGTGTTTTTTTTTCGATAATATAAAATGCAACCTACCATCGACCTTTTAGCATTCGACAAAAATAATGCATCAAACATAAACAGATATATACGTAAGCGAAACTGTATACCCTCGAAGGCAAACTTGATCCTTGCATAAAGGAAAGAAAACACCGGTCGTTCAAACCGGTCAATGGAAGCCGGTTGTTAGTATTCAACTTTGACTTTGATTGTAATTCGTAAATTGGTTTTATTAAATACCAAATTGAATTAGATCGATAAACATCGGCTAATAAATTTTTCTATGTTTTCTTAATCGATATGCTACACAGGTTTGTTAGACACTTTAATAAGCAAAAAAATGTTTGAGGATTCATAGTGAGAGAAAGTGACTGTACTTTAATACTGTATTTTAGTGTACTTTTTTATGAACTCTCTGAATGTGTACTCTTATTATTCAGAGTTAGAGAGATATATTTGTTTACATTAAGTTTTGTGCAACGAATCGATGTCTTTTATACACTTCTGATAGTGCATTATATACATCAATTCGTAGATATCGTTCAAGATAACTTCTCAACGTAATGCAATCACCGTACGCTCAAGTTCTGCGCACCGTAGTATGGTATCAAGAATCAGTCCAAGATTTGATCCCATAAAACCCTCATTATCATCATCAGCAGCTAACTATACGTCACCACCGAGGAACTCGGAGCCTACCCTAAGTCATGAGTGACTAGGCCATAGTCAACCACGCTGGCCCAGTACGGGTTGGTTGACTTCACAGATATCATTGAATTTCTTCTCAGATATATGCAGGTTGCATCACGATGTTTTCCTTCATCGTTAGAACGTCGGATAAATGTATATATGTAAATCGGAAATAAAAAAACACATTGGTACATGGCGGGATTCGAACCCAGGACCTGCAGATTGCAAGACAAGTGCTTGACCACTGTGCCACCGACGCTCATAAAACCTATTTGTTATTTAACGTTAGTTCACAATTCCAATAAAATAAACATGACATTGTTTGAATTGTTTATATTTTACGTACCTTTAGGTTCCTCGTCTGTAAAAATTCGCGCCATAATGATTTGCACAAATGTATTTGCCGGAAAACTTAGGAAATAAATCGAGACCATGTAAATTAATGTCACAGCACTAAAAACAGCGGAGAACACGTAAAAATGTCTGAAATACGACTTGGGCACTTCAATTGTTTTAAATAATTTTTCATCCTTCCCTTTATAAGCGAAACTCCCGTATCTAAATAATTTAATTAAAAATACTGGCACATGTTCCTCGTAGTTAGTTATAAGACTGCCTACGATCACAAAAGTTATCGAAAAATTTAAAAGTATTATATCTAAAATATTAAACATTTTTAATTGATACAAAGTTGTTGATTTGTAAAACCCGCGCGAACGAATGTGCAAGGCCGTGAAAAACGGTACAGTTTTATTGCATTACATATTATTAAGGTCCATTTACACGAATCAAGTTTCTCGCCTGTTGTATACAATTAAATTTATGCAATAATTGTCTTGTGATATTTAAGGATAGTATCGTATAAATGGTCCTTAAGAGAACAAGGATGTTACGTGTTTGGACCATACAAGACAATTCTTGCTTCAATTTAATTGTATGCAACATACTCTTGTATCTGGCATCGTGTAAACGGGCCCTAATGTAAGTATCACTACGTCGCTTACGATTTTTTTATTTTATTTAAATAATTCGTCTTGATCGAATTTAAAGAAATGATCACAGACTTTAAATTGTAATAGACATGAGACAAACCGAAATTATAAATTCGTATAATATATCAAGACTTATTATTGACTCTTGTAAATTACGTCATGTTTTACCAATTTTTAATTTGTATTTACTGATTTAAGTCTATTCTAAATTGTTTAGGCTATTGTGTGGAACGTCACGGGATCATAAAACATTCGCAACAGCGACCACGATACCCCACTGAAGGCTCTTAAGTCACTGACAACCTTAATTGTCTCTGATTATCAAATAGAACGGAGCCGAAGCGGCAAAGCCCGCCATTTTGTTATTTTGAACCATATCCTAGAACTAGCCTCGAGCTTATTTGTAATAGTTACAAGAAATAAAAGAAAATTAAAAAAAAATCGTTACAATTGACGGACATCGTCATCGCCAGGATATAATCGTGAGGTAACATCGCGGTCGAAATCAACAAAGAACCGTTACTGAAACATTTTGGCGAAAGTTCAAGTGGGACGAAGGTTTTATTAAAAATGGGTTCGATGACCTCTCTTATGTAACTGGCTGGATCTTAATCCAGACTTTATTTTTTTTTGCCAAAATTCGACGACTGGTAATTAAGATACAACTCGAATAATAATGACTTTTCATATGTAATAGGGGGGAGTCATTTTAAGCAAAAACTTTAATTAGACTAAGTTAAAAAATGTCTTATCCTCTGATATTTTGATTTGATATTTATAATTGAATTAATCAGCGAGTGATTTACGTTTATAATTTGTGATTTCATTTTTTCAGGTGCTTCATAATATTGTTGTGTAAAAACAAATTATTTTTTAAAGTAAAGTTAAAATTATTTATTTGCTGTTGGATGAATATTAAGTACCCTTTCGCGAATTTATCACATTTTTGTTTCATGTAGTGCGTGACTTCATAATTAACAGACTTCAAAAACGAGGTGCTAAATTCGTCTGTATGTTTTTTTTAACGTAATTTTTTGTGGCTACTTAGTTTTATGTTGCCATGATAATATAAAACATTAAAAAATTACATTTTTTAAGATAATTTATCGTCTGTTTTAGAATTAAGACGAATAACAATTTCTTTTGTTTTTGGATTATGATTAATTTGTTTAACTTTTGCACGTTCACGGTTATTTCTCATAAAATAATCGTTTTCCCGTAATAAAGTCTGTGAAATTCGTGATTACTTTTCATGATGCTGCATTCCCTTAACAATGGTATGGTATCCTAAAATTAGATATTTTAGTATAATTTTGTTTTTTATACGCAAGAAGAAAATAATTAATTGTGGAATAGCGCGTTTATGAGTGTTCCAAATTCGAAAAAGTAAATTCGCCCCTACCTTAAACCTCGATAGACTATATATAGATTGGTTTCGGAAATTTTCATAGTAAAATTATAAAAATCTTTAAAACAGATATGTTTATTAAAGAAATGTAAAAAGTGTAAATGCATTTTTGTAGATGATAAGAAATAAATCAATGTTTTATTTTTAAAAATAAAATATAATCGATATATTTTTTTATAATTCTTATTCTAATCACAAGTCTAATACAATATTTTTATAAATAAGCCTCTTTTTAAGATATATATTTTTTTTAATTTTAAGATTTAAAATAAATTCGTTAATTATAATAAAGCTGGAATTATTGCAGCTCTGTTGACTGGATAATCTTTGAATGATTTTTTGTACCATTCATGTGCTTGGATTGCGGTCTGAATCTGAAACATAAAAAAAAACATTCTTCATATTTATATCCCGATAAGAAAAACAAACGTTCTAATACTATATCTACACTAAAAAAGTTAGTAACCCTTATACATCTCCGACAGATGGTTTCTGAGACCAGAATATCTGTATAAAACATATCTCTGTCATTATCTTTGACAAAACATAGGTGAGAATATGTTTTCAACGAGGATTTTGGTCTCAGAAACCCACAGTTAGTATGACAGTAACAAATTAAAGTGGACAACTTTCATTTGTAAATACTTTTTTTACATGAAAAGTATAAAATATTATTTTCTTATTTACTTATTAGTCAAAAATTAAACTAACCTGATTACTCAATACCCATAAATAAATGCAGAAAAATGTCTTTGTTGGTATTAAAATTAGTAGTACAGTGTACAAAATAACTTCACACAATCTGTGCGGACTGGAGACTCGCTCAAACAATCTTCCATTTGGTATCTTGTGGTCTTCCGTTACAACCTTGCCGGTCTTCTTGTCTCTACGTAGATTTGCAAAGATTATATTAGTCTGGTACTGCTCATTACAAGCCCACAGGAAGATAAGAATGCAGGGGACTGAGACAAGAGTTGTTCGAGTATCTGTCCAAATTATCTTTTCTCTATTTTGATGACCTGAAATTGATAATATTTGTTTTTAAACAATCAAAATATTATAAATTATTGTAATTAAGTTGCAAAATATAGTAGAACATTATATAGTATACGTTTCATTTATTTTATTCTATTACTCTTTCTTTTCTCTATTTGTCTTACTAACAACCTTTATGATTGAATAGCATTTGCTCACGACTCCCTTAGTGCGCGATTAAAAAAATCTTAAAAAGTGCCTATGTGTGGCAAACTATGTTCTACACCTGTACCAAATTATATTAGGATCCATTGAGTCATTCACATTTCAAACATTCGTATTTATAATATTAGTACGATTTTTTCCCAACAAAAATGAGATGAAAATGATTTGTACCATTACAAAAACTTGCTAATTTGACTTTATAGTTGTAAATAAAATAAATCAATACTTGTGAAGACATTGCAAGCATCAAGGTTGAAATGTTAAATGCAAGTTAGCATTTCATTTGTATGCAGACATGGCATTTGTTAACATTACAAATAATTTAAATTCTATAAAAGTACTGCAATTTATAAATAAATTATACAAACATTTGTGTTAGTTATTTGTTTAGAGAATAGAGTAGAACCTGGATAAGCAAGAGTACAAGAGACTGAGATATTGTTCTTGTTTATAGAGGTTTCATACTAATCCGAGTTTCTTGCTTATGGAGGTCAAGACCAGACAATCAAACCAGTTCTTATTTATCCAGGTTCCACTTTGTTCCTTTCCATTTAATTGAATATCCTTTTCCATTAGTGAATATGTAACATAATTAAGACAGAATTACTTACTGTCTTATGCAGAGTTGTTAGGAATTTACTGACATTCCTAAGTATGAGAAATTTGCACTAAACTAGTACCTAAGTTATCAATTATGAATATCGGCCACAATTAGAATTTTTAATTTAATCTATAATAAGGGAGACCACTTAAACTGTGTGCACTTACCACAAAATAGTGGTGCCTGGCCCACAGCAGCAACTATACATGCGAAGTAATGAGCGATGCCAACTAAATAGTGGCTGAGGTTCATCTTACTGGACTTGGCAAATACCTGCAGGTAGTAAGTCTCATAGCAACGTCTGGCACATTGCACTGCCAGTAAACTCAGAGCTATCACTGCTGCGGTAACACACACTGAAATACATTAGCACACACTTAAATAAACAGGAGTATGTTCTAATATAAGAGTGTTGGTAGCTCACGAGTTAAGCACCTGACATGTAGTCTGCAGATCCTGGGTATGTATTCTAGTTCATTACTACTAGGAACAATCCGACATGATTATGCAGTTACTTAGATTGAAAGAAAAATTTCTAAGCTTAGTTTTTAAACTAATTTGCCTCATTGATTTACAAATATCATTCTATAACCAGATGAAACACAAGACAAGAACCCTTCTAAATAATAGAATTTTTGAATAAAAATTAAATAGAAATTAACTTACCACCGGGTTCATCTTGCTCCAGAAGTATCCTCAGCATAAAAACAATTAAGGAACTAACATTTAAATTGAAAAAATACACTAAAATTGTATAAATCAATGTAGCGACACAAAAAACTGAGGAAAATGAATAAAAGTGCCGGTAATATGCTTTTGGTATCTCTATCATTTGGAGATAAGTCGCACCAGAGCCACGATACGCAAAGCTGCCGTACCTGTACCCTTTAATGATAAAAACTGGTACATGTTTTTCAAAATTATTAATTAGAAATCCTGTAAAAGTTACCATAAAGGCCAAGCCTAGAAAAATTAAATCTAATATGTTTAACATTGTCGAAGGTAAGTTATCAGCTCTGTGTTAGCTCGTGACAATATTCCAAAAGCAAATGCTGTTTGAAAGTAAGAGACTTAACGGCGTATAACTCATAGTGAATACTAGGACAAGAACGGTTGTTCCACTTTTCTTAAATAACATTAGTTTCTAATATAATCAAACCTACTTTACGCCATTCACTTGCACGTGTACCTAAGGTTCATTTTCTCGTATCTATGATCGTATACTTTGACAACTGACAGTGACAATAACAACAACAAAATAAACAACGTCAATTGGGTATGGCCCGTAATGATTTTGACCTTGAGTTGCATCATGTTACCTCACAATGTATCATGGACCTTTATTCTTAGTTATGCTAAGTGTACATTTTAAAAATTAAAGTAAATAAATGAAAAACCAACAACTTATTGCCACTTCAGAACTTTTACCACGTATGTGGAAAAGTCGTTTTTGCTTGCAACATTATCGGAAAATGACAGATTTTTTTTTTAATAATGGAAACACCTCTAACGAAATTTTATACCAAATATAATTTTTTTGATTATTTATAAAATAAAGTTTATGTCAAGATAGCAAAAGTTTTATTTCTGTTTTTGTATTTACTTCAAAATACAAAGAAAAACATAATAGAAAGTGGCAAGTTGAGTCAAGCACATTTAAAGTAATAATTTAATGTTCCTCTAGATGTCGCTGTAAATATAATTGAAACTAAAACCATTGAACACTTTTTAAAATTTTATTTTACCAACAATAAACTGTATGATTGTTATCGATTGTCTATATCAAGTTATTGTTTATAATGAAATCCAAAAACTAATAAAATATATTTGCTTTTTATTTTTTTACGAAAGGTAAAATCATATTTTGCGTAGGTGCTAAATTACACATACGGAAAGTATGGTTTAGGATTTTTCAATAACTTTTTCACTGCTCACCTAGTTCCTGACGCCGGCAATTGTTCCAATCCTTTGCTATACAGATATTTTTGCCCCATTTATGTTTATCATAGAAATGAGGCTATTGTGAATATAATTGTTGTTTAAAACGGAGAAAATAGCCATAGTGGTCATTTACATGATGACTAGCATTGCTTCCAGGTTTTCTACACTAGTGACCTTTTATATTTTAACACGAAAACTGTTACCGAAACTAAAATAAATATTAAGCATTTATTACTTTTGTTAGTTTCGTTCGTATGTTCAATTGTTCGTTTCGTTCGTATGGCAATTTGGGATTTTAAGATACATCATTTTTTTACCATAAGTATGAAAAAATCTAATAAAAACGTTTACAGGAAGAAGACGTTTTGAATAAATTTCTATTGATTAATGTTTCCATGGTTTAATCTCCCCTAAGCGTTCGTCGGGGCGGAATGAGGTCACAAATGAAGTGTCAAGTCGAATGTAACGCCTCGCTTCATCTTATTTGACGGCTTAAGTGTGGCCCAGATTAAGTTTGCGACGTTGATGTCTTTGAGCATAAATATGAAAGACTGTTTAGCATAAAACAAATGGCTTTAGTACCCTTAAGCGAGCAAAGGAAATCGTATCTAATTCGCATTTCCTTTAGGCATATTTAGTTACAACTATCACCTTAATTTTTTAAAGTTGACTAAGGCAGCCCCTTAGTGGTTTCTCCAAGTTTTTTCAATTACAATTAAACGATTGTTAGTGTGACAGCTAGCAAGCTTGTAATCTGTTTACTTGATGTTACGTTGGTACTGTTATCTTAGGACAAATGTAATAAGTAATGAATTTTTACATTGCACCGCTTGGAACGATGGAAGGGAGACGAATGTAAAGAGATAAAGTCACCGCGTCATTAGACTACTGCTACTAATCTTCTTTGTCATTTCCTTACCTAACAATATTTTCGCCATTTTTATGACAGGTCAAGAGGAAGCTGGTCGACACGGCCGCTGAAGCGTACCAGGACAAGCACGACCTTCAGTAATGAAGAATACGAAGATGACAGGTCAATATTCGTGGAAAAATTACTGTAGTAGGTGCAAGGACTGTTTAAAAGTCTGAAGGTTTAAGTCCTTTGTTATACGTTGTATATCTCATTTATGTTCATCTTTTAGTTTCTGAAATACTGAAGGTCGAAGGTATGAGGAGAAACAATTTTAGACTGAGTTGATTCGCGTCCATGTTTTGCATCTACGACTTTGTCATTGTCATGCAGCCACATTTGTACCTTTCGTCAATGTATTATACAAATTTGGTTTCGTGGTCGAAATATCAACAAAAAGATTATCTTCATATTAAATAAATAAAATAATTATAACGAGGAGTCATAGATTAGAATAATGATCTCACTTCTAAAGCAAATACGGGGGCACGTCGTACGCTTCATTTAGCAATTACTGACACCCTCACTTGAGACGGATTTTAATATTTATAAGTGCTCGTGTGGAACAGTATATAATGAAGAATTTCAACCCCTTTCATCACATTCACACCAGGTGAGTCGACGAGAAGCTACCAACAGCAGCAAGGTGAGTTATGAATTATAAATTATACCGTTACATTGAATATATTGTTACATTCATTTGATAACCATTTACAAATTACTTTTATAGTAAATTGTAATCATCATTGGATCCAGGACCTTGGCTGTCTCAAGACTATTATTAAAAGTTTCTTCAACATTACTATAAGCTGCATCATAACGCAGTTGACAACATTCCTGAACTTTTTTTGCTCAATTCTATGCCGCCCTCTCCTTCTCCCCTGGCTTGGTGTAGCCAAAGAATTCGTTCATACTTTATTTTTTAAATAAATTAAAATAACAATTTTATTCCTAAATTTTACTTGGCGTCAGTCCCATCTAAGAGTAGGATCCCTGGACTCATATAGCATCTTCTATAACTTTTTCACTGGTTTCTCTAATATCAACATCACATTTTATCGATTCTACGCTCCATATATGGTTCTTATCGCAGATGTTTGACTATACATTCCAGATGAAATTCATAATTTTTACACTCGCCTCTTGCCTGGTTCTGACCATGTGCTATGCGCACATCGGCGGTGGAGCATCGCTCCAGAACATCAGCCCTCAAGTCTACTGCGGCAGATCCTTGGCCAGAGCTATGGCATTCCTTTGCTTCGAAGAAGACGGTTTCGAGAAACGATCTGATGTTGGAACTATGTATGGTAAGTTATCAGTTTCCTATACTTGGATACCAGGATGCCAGCGTTTTTATGGTTTGATAACGAAAATTGAAGTCACCATTCTAAAATTGCAAAAAAATTCCTATTAGATGCTAATCTATGATGTATTCCAGGACAAGTTCTGCCACCGTATTACAAAGACCAAGAGGTCCAGATGAATCTGCCTTGGGCCGGCCGGGCACGGAGCCTGTCACTTGCGGCCCGCGGCAAGCGCACCTCGGGCATTGTCACGGAATGCTGCGACAAACCTTGCAGCATCAACGAACTTCTCAGCTACTGTTGAATCTTTACAACAATGATATAACTCTTGCGATCCATTGTTATTTACTTTATTCTTATATAATATAACATTATTCGCTTAAACTATGTAACCAGCTATTTATATTATTCTAGTAATTAAGTTAAAATAATTGTACATTCTACCACTATTAAATTCATGGAAAAGTTGCTTCTAAGATACCTATGTGTTTCATTGCATTCCTGAGTGAATACATAATTCTAAAACACACCATCTTCTTTTTAACTTGAATATTAATCATGTTTATTAAACAATGTTTTGTTTACATTTAAATATTGTTTACTTGTTTGAAAATAAGATCATAGAATAACATGACTTAAGTTAGCTGTATGCAACACAACGCATTGTAATGATATCCGTATGTTCTGAAACAATAAAGAAGTAATCACTGATCCGTTATTATTAGGTCTAGTTGATATTCGAATTTTAGTTCTTATAAAAAACATGAAATAGTTTTCCGGATCTCTACCTTTTATTTTTTTTGTAAGGTGCAGGAAAACTTACATTTTTTGATCACCCTGTACAGTTTGTAGAGGTTGATTTATTTGGTATTTATTTTTAATGTGGAAGTTTGTAATAATTGAGGCGATTTTCTAAGAATTTTTTTTAAAGATACTTGCATCAAAAGAGACTTCACATAAATTAGAAATGAATATTCTCTCAACGTTGCCAAGAAACTAGAATAAAATATGAAGCTCCCGAGAGTTTTAGTTCACGGAAAGCCAGGCTACAACAATTTACACTAAATCCCGCAAAGTCTTTGTTAACATCAGTGCTTTGACGTTAATTAAAGCATCAACACGTAAGAATATTCTCCTTGTTTACGTCAATTACGCTGAAGGAATGCGTAATAAGTAGCACCCTCTACCATAATAACCAACGAAATCTTTTAAGAAAATAATATTTTAACATCCATTGCCCGTCATTTAGCAGTACATTTAACTACTTTCATACCAACCCAGCAATGAAACGTATACTATTTGATATTTTGATAAATTAAAATTCAAATAAGTGGGATAGTTGAGTTAGGTAGGCGGTGTCAGTTGTTGGCATTCAAGTTACGATGCACTGTAGACGCTACCCGTAACCAGGGGGCACGGATTTAGCATAAAGTTAGCGCTCGGCGTCGCGTTACTACAAACGAGCTTTTGGAGCGCAGCGCTAACATTTTTTTTTTAATAAATAATTCAAAGAGGTTGAAACTTAGCTTCGAGTCGCTTAATGAATTGAATTCGAAAAATCCATAGGTATTTGTATCGCTTATTTTGTTTGATTATATAAAATGCAATGTAGAAAGAGTACGATTCCAAGATTTCGTTTCTTTTTCTTTCGAATTTTGCGCATTAAAAATAGATTTGTAAAAATAAAATATAAATTTGAAAATGACCTACATAAGGCTTATTTGTCTGTGTAATTTATTTAAAGAGGAAATTAACATCTCTTACGTTTCCCGCAACATTTAAAAAAAATAACGTTTAAATTTTAACATAAGATTTAACTTCCAACTAAATTGTAAAATCTTTATTACATTCATTTCAGCTTACTCGTTACTATTTAAATCTTTTCAAATAGTATTTCACGCAGGTTTTTAGTTATTAGTGCATTCCAGTTGTGTGCGGTCTAGCATTGAATACTTGCATTCGCGTCACGAAGTGCTGAGCTGCTTGTAAAGTTTCCTTCATTGCTCTTTCCAACATTCGTTTCAACTCTTTCGCTTACATATAACTTATATTCGCGTATTTAGACATTTTATTAACTCTTTTCACTTGTAATGTGTACTTTAAAATGTTTAAATTTGTAACTATAATGTATAGAATACTAGCTGTTGTCCGCGACGTCCGCGCGGAAATAAAAACATAATTAGAAGCCTACGTGTTTCTCCAGACTATGTATGTATGTTCAACATTTCAACCGTTCAACCTTTCTGGACATACAATGAACATCCATTCATCCATTCATCTATACATTCGGATTTATAAAATTAGTAAGATAAAATAACAACAAATGTTTGGTACTAGAAACATGTTTAATTCGGTCATCCTTCGTAATATTAGAGATAACAATGAAATTAAGTTTTACAAAACTCTACAAAATATTGTTACTTTTTAATATTGTACAGCAAAATAATAAATATGTAAAATCTATTTCAATGTCATAATTCTTGGAACTTAGACATAGAAACTCACTAAAATAACGCGACAGATTGTATTCAATATTGAAATCGGAATAACATGTCATTATATTGTGACAGGGTCGTTATGAGGAAGTTTTAATAGGGTCGGCGCGGCTGTGGCGCCGCCACTCGTGCGGACACTTTTAATGTGTTCGCTTTTATACTGGCAACCCTGTAGTCTTGCTTTGAATGCATGTTGATAAATAACCTAATAATCATTCGAAATCAAGTTTTGTTATTTAGTAAACATACGTTCTGGACCGTTTTACCGTCGGTTTCCGAGACCGAAATCTCCGTTCAAAACATATTGTTATCTTTTTTTTTCAAAGATGAAAGACAGGGATAATTTAGGTTCCTGAGGGGCGCCAGCCAACAGACGTACCACTTTAAGGGGAGCCAGACGGATTTTGTCACCTCGACGCCCTAATACGGCCCTGTATACGTTATCTGTTTCGTAAGGCAGAGGGGCAGAGATTACAAATTTCCGCGGTTTTGGTACTATGTAATGAAATTAATATTCTTATCGTTTTTTCTAGTTATATTAATAACATTTTGAAGACGTTACTTTCATTACTTATTAAAAATTTTTAGTTACAAAATATTTAAGTTTTTATTTATAAAAGTAAAAAAATAGTATTAGAAGATATTTTCGACATAGATATACGTAAATGTCGTTGGTCAACTCTCCAGTCGAGTGGGGTCGGTGATTCAACCGTGAGCCGAAAGATTCAAACAGCTAAGGGCTGTGCAATTACCTAGCTTTTGCCGCAATATACATACGCTCACTGAAAAACTAAATAACAGCTTTTGACAGCCATTAAATAATCAAAATACTGCTAATCCGTACCTAACACTTTAATAAATTGCGATTTATAATGATTTAAAAGAGATTAAAAATTGTTGTAAAATTCAATACCTATACAATCTAACTATTAGAAGATGCTAATGTAATTATGTTATGATAAATTAAAACTAAATTTTTCTTTATAAATATTATACAATATTTATAAAGAAAAATTAATGGAAAATTCTCCAATTTTAGCGCAAATAATTTTACTATTCAACTAAAATAACATCCCAAACATATTAAATTAAAACCATTGAGTGTTTACTGTAGCTTTTAAATGTAATTATACGCTGGCCGAAAATTCTATTAGTTTGAAAACGACATCTATTTAAGTGTGAGAATAATAGAAACGGTCTTCCCTTTGCTGTGGAAACATTTAGGAGCAAACACGAAAGGGGCGTTCCCAGGTGACGTCATGTAACAAGACACGGCTGACGGAGGGAACTGCTTTGATGTTCTCTCTGACATTTTTTTGACAAGCCTTTAGAATTATCAGTACTACGAATTAGACCTCGTTCTTGTGTAAGTGAGTTTTATAGGTTCTTTATCGCAATGGATTAAGTTTAAATGGAGATTTTTGTGGAATAAGCGAATCCGATGATCTAAATATTTCTTAACTTTGAAGTCGAAATGTCAATTTAGAAAAGAGTTGATTTTTTAAAATGAATCTTTCTGATGATTTATTTGACTGTAAACATTTAACATTTTTTGTCAATAATTCTGTTTGTCGTTTAAATTACCTATTTTTCAAAAAGAAGGGGGTTATTAATTAGTCTATATTTTTAATAGGCGCTTAGAGCCGTTAGTCTGCTTTTTATTTCAATTATTTCGAATTAATATATTTATTTGAAACATGATGAACATTGTGTTATTTACAGAGGTGTGAGAGTAATTAATTATCAGGATTATGTACTGATTAAATTACATACAAGATTTTGAAATGAGTATAATATTAAATAGTTTTGTTTTGTTAATTGAATCTTTGTGTTAACAGCATTCTATTTAATGTGTGTTAGTTAATTATATAATAATTACTTAATTTAAGAGTAGGTTTATCAAAACATACTGTGAATTGAAGATAATTTAAATTATACTAAAATAGGAAAGTTAATATGATGAATTTCACCTTGAAGTAAATTATATAACATGTAACGCAACTATAACTATTTAGCAATTGAAAAATATAATAACTTAAAAATATATACATAAACTTATTATTGAATTACTTAACTCTATATTAATTATTAAGTGACTAATTAAATTAAAATAATATAAATTATAATTAAACTAAAATATTGTATTTACTAATTATACTAAAATATTGTATTTATTTGAAACATATTAAAAATGTGTTTAATATTTATTTACGTTGTGATTTGTTTTGTAATTTTTTTTATTTAATTCTATTATAATATTACAAACTTCATCATAAAATATGTTATTGATAAAATTCTGTAATATTATTTTTCAATTGTCAAAAGATAATTTACCCTCAGGAATATCATTGTTAACGTTATCTGGTTCATGCAAACATTCCTTTGGGAATTACTTTATATCAGAATTGATAAGGTATTAATAGTAATACACAATTATATTAAAATTTAAATTGTGATACTTAAATTGTAATCACGCTATCATGATATGGGTTATTCCTAGATTTTAGAGAAAATAATGTTTTGGTACAAACTAGCTTGCAAAGGGTAACGCGAAGAATTTTATCTTCGAATAATAAGAAATTATTTTCACGCATATGATTTTAAAACCTGTATTCAAATGAATTCTAGATAAAGATAGAAGCAGTAATATTTACAAAATAGATTTGTGCCGTGTGTTAAAGTTTTTGAAACGTTTTTGTTGTGATTCAAACTTAAATGGCCGTATAACTGCCGCTAATGAAACATTTTGCAACTTTATATTTATTTATGATTTGAAAAAGAAATGTGTCTTTGAAATAAAATATAATTTTACCATTAAACAATATTTCAGACTTTAAGCTTCTATTTTATATGCACCTATTTCAGTATTCTTTAAACTGTTCGAGTTAATATTTGCTAAAAACGTTAACTCTAATTACGATGCTGTTGGTTCGCACATTGT